CATATATATATATATATATAATTGGTGGTCTAACTATATCACGCCTCGCGTTGTTTCTATTGTTACTAATTTCAATCACAGCCATCTTAAACCTAAATTTATTTATTTATAAATATAATTATATGCCGGTTATTAAATAATGTCTGGTAACGACTAACAAGTGGGTGAAATGAATGAAAATGGACCGTAAACATATGCAGAGCCATATGATGAGCATACGACAAAGAAGCAGGATTCACGGGATCATTAAAGATTCCATGGGACCCACTGCCTCCTTATTTATCTATTTAATTTAGCACTATTATTTATTAACTACTTTAGGGTATTTATGTATTCATTAATTCAACTTTTATTCTGACACCAACTTAAATTATTTTAGGAAACTGCGACCTTGATTTACTTTTATTAAAATATACTAGTAATAAACTAGAATCCCGATTTTTGTGGGATTTTTAATTTTTGTTTAATAAATTTTAATATGATATTTTAACATAAATTATGAAGTTTAATTTATTTTAAATATTAATTATTATATCTAGTACAAAAAATAAATGACAAAAATATTTTTATTAGTATTTTATAATACTAATAAAAGAATATATAAAAATAAAATAAAATACAAATATAATGATATTTTTAATGTTAATAGAATGATGCAAACGTATATCTAATTTTGAAAGGCGAACAAAAAGAATAATGTTTTTATTAAAAACTTAATTTTAATTTAAATAATATAATATATATTTTTATTAGAAATTAAAGCTATTTTTAATTTGAAATCAAATGAAAAACACTTAAAATACATATTATGCATAAATAGGGTATGGTATACACAATTAAGAATGACATATACGCCGAGATTAAGGGGGTGTTTCGCCATCTTTAAACCTTCCAAACCTTCCAAAATTTGTATTTGTCCAGGTCGCAGATTTACAAACCATGAAAAAGCTGTTCGAGTAATAAACAAGCTAAATAGTTGCAGTTTAAAAAAAAAGTTATTACCGACTTTTCCTAACTGTGCTGTGAACCGACCCACATGCTCTATAGTGGAGGATCCATTTTTTCCTGAAAAAACATGAAAGTCTGGCGGTCGATAATTCCTTGGGAGAGGATAATCGTTGATGATTCTCTTTGGAAATGGTCTCTGATAAACCGGCCAGTTCATCGTTTGCGGATTCATTCCGAAATACTCCCGTAAAACTTGAGCGATGTTTTCCGGATCTATCCTTGGTGGAACCGGATCGAACACCGGAATGAGATGAATAGTCTGTTCCCCAAACCTCTCTTCTCTAAGGATGGTTGGCTCGGCTGGGAGGGGATTGTGAGCCTGTCCTCCCAATCTTTCTTCTCTGGTGACGGTTGGCTCGGCTGGAAGGGGATTTTGAGCCTGTCATCCCAATCTTTCTTCTCTGGTGAAGGTTGGCTCGGCTGGGATGGGATTATAAGCCTGTCCCCCAACCTCTCATTCGGCTGGGTATTATCAACCCTCGGTCCCAAAGGAACATTATCTAGAAAAGTTAGAGGAGTATTCCCCATATCTGTTCGGTTGAAAGTTGTGACGCTTGGAAATGTACTGTCAACGTATGTTGGCCCTGCAAACGTTGATCCTGAAAAAGTCGTCTAAAAACGAGAAGGTGACATGGCTGGAGGCATGTTTGAATGCAGGGTGAATCTGGAGAACGCCTGATCCAATATGTTCTGCATTAGATTTTAGTGTTCACGCAACATGATGTTCTGTTGCTCGCGCAACATATTCTGCATAGCCAAAGTTTGCTGATTGTTCAATTGTTGAACGTAAGACAACCAATCGGTAGGTGGTTGAGGAATCTCCCCTGGATTTGGCATGACTTGTGGTGAAATATTTTCTCCCACCGGTGCTGATGATTGAGGTTGTGTGCCTGCCATATTGATTTTTCTGATGATTCGGCCAGACCTTAATCGTATGAAACTCTCCGTTGACGTAGGATCAACAATCTTGCCTTTCTCCCACTGTGGTCGCCAAATTGTTGATGCAATTTTTCAACAATAAAAAGTAAAATTCGAAAATAGAGAAATATCTTCGAATTTGATAAATGAGTGACTGAGATCAGGAATCTCTAGAACACTGTAGAATACATAAATAAAATAGAAAAATAAAAATAAAGACTGGAAAATAAAGTGGTGATCCTAAAAAGTAATTTTCTTGAATTTTTGTCAGTTGAAGATGCCTTTTTTCGAACAGCACCGGATCCTTAAATAACCCTGTTGAAGAAACGGTTCGAACCGCTATCTGGTCGGTTACCATAACCGCTGTTAACCGCCCCAAAAGTTCTCTTCTATTGACACGTGTGTCAACCGTCCTACCAAGTCCGACCTTAAAAAACCGTTCGCCAGTTGCAACTTCCTCCAACCGTTCGCCAGTTGCAACTTCCTCCAACCGCCCCAGAACTGCTCTCTCACCCGACCTGCACATGCTACTTCACTGCCCGACCTCATTACGCCCGATCTTACCATACCTGACCTTCGAATTCGGCCTGTTTGCGCCCGACCTTAAAGCTTGGCCCGACCTTGTCCGACCTTATCGCACCCGACCTTACTTGGTCCGAACTTTGCAACAACCGGCTGTGGTCCCGACCACAGAGCAACCAACTGTGGTCCCGACCACGGACCAACCGACCTCGGTCCTAACTGCAGACCAACCAACTGTGGTCTCGACCACAGAGCAACCGACTGTGGTCCTGACCACAGGGCAACCGACCGGCTCTATTTGCCTTATCTCCTTAGATGGACAGACTGTCCTCTTGACAGACCGTCTGTTCATACTTCTTCTTTGTCCGACCTTCCTCTTGACAGACCTCCGCGTCTGTCCATACTTTTTCCTTGTCCGACCTTCCTCTTGACAGACCTACGCGTCTATCCATACTTCTTCCTTGCCCGACCTTCCTCTTGACAGACCTCCCCGTCTGTCCGACTTCTTTTTCCCGACTTCATGGCCGTTTGGCTTATATCCAGACCCATCCAGAATCGTACTGCCATTATTTATTATTATTATTATTATTTTTTGTGCTACAATTATTATATTTGTAGTATACAATTCCATGCAAACAAGTTATTTTTTGATCATCCACTACAAAAAATAAAAATAAAATAAAATATATTTGCAGCGGAATTCCGTCCCTAAAGTTCACGTAGCTAACGTAATTTCATCATAAATTCCGTCTCTAATGTTATTAGTAACAGAAAAAATGAATTTAGAAACAAAAAAAACCTAGTCACAAAAATAATTTTTTTTGTAGCGTGGTTCTTTGACCCCAATTACTTGTCGGGTAAAATATGGTGTTATTAATCTTTTGTAGAAGATCAAAGCTTTATTCAAGTTTAGCATTTAATTTTCAATGCAATACATGTAAGGGCTAAATCATGTAAATGGTACGTATTATAATAATGTACAGTACGTATTACATATAGATATTTTACACATGAGAAAGAATATATATAATGTTAATTTAAATTTGAAATCGAAAAAGAAAAAAGAAACCCTCAATTTTGCATTTGTTTAGTTCTTCAATAAGTTATACTCCAGTTTATTAGTAATTCTGAAACATTGTTAGTGGGTCCAAATTCCAAAATCCAAATTATTACAAGCAGAAGCAGTTATGCGCGCGCGTATCAATTATTCATTTGTTCGGTCCCCTTGTCAATTATTTTATGTACAGTATATTCAAATAATACTCTCTCCTCTCCAATGATATTTAAAATCACAAACACACCATAAAACTTATATTTGGATTTTTTTCCAAAGTTAATTTTGCACTATAGTTACAATTGCTACTTGTATAATGTTTTATGAGACAAAAAATTATACTATATTTTTTATAGTAAAGAAAAATAAATTCAAATTTAATTTGTTATTCTTTTAGTATTTATGATTAGTTTTGTACAACTGGGGGTTTGTTGTTATTATTATTATATTTTTTAGATATATGTAGTTTTCATGTTAAATTTGAAATTTTGTATTGATAATTATATAAAATATACATATTTTTAAATAAAAATTATGAAAATTGTTCCCTTTAAAAATACTTGTCAAACCCGTAGTTAAGTGAGATTCCCATTTTTGGCACTATTGACCAACCAATAAATATTAAATATGGTGTGTTCGATTTGTATTTATATTTATATTTTTTAGGTGTAATTGTAATTGTAAATATAATATTATATTTAGAGAGAATAATATTATATTTTTGTGTGGGGAGACATGGATTGATAGCAATGAAATAAAAAAAAAGGTTGCAAAAATATTTACATTTTATTTACTTATCTTTTTAATACTATTTAAAATATTCCCTCTATAGAAATCTTCACATATATATATATATTTTTTAAAAAATTACAAGTATAATATCTATTTAAAACATCATCTATATAATTTTGGGAATGATTTTGGTTTTAAATAAAAATTTGTTTGATTTTAATTCATTTTAATTTTAATTTCAATTTCAATTTAAATATTATTATTATTATTATTATATTTTTCTTAAAATACGATGTTGGCGCAGATTATACAGAATTGGTATTCAGCAAGTAAGTGTGGGGCCCGCTGCTTTGATTCGTTTTACAATTTAACAATTTATTTAGGATTTGTGTTGTGTGGATATGATTTCAAATCAGATATTATTTCGAGTTTTGTTTTAAATAATATGTTAATATTTCATTTACTTATGTCTTCATTTCATCTGGGTAATATTTTTTAATAAAAGTAGGTAAAAGTAAAAGTTTTGCTTTTTCAATAAAAATAAATATAATATTTTTTTACTAAAAAAAAAAATAAAATTAAAATGACAAAATAATAAGAATAAATTTTCCTTTTTTCTTTTTTTAATATATTTAAAATCACGAGACAACAAACCCTAATTTATCACAAAAGAACAAATCCATTAATTTATGATTATTTATATTTATCAAGTTGTTAAATTTCTTTCTCCAGCAAATTTGGCTATAAATACCGCGCCAGCTCCGGTTGTAGCCGGACACCACGGTTAATGCAGCAAAGGGGAAGAGCCAGTCATCAAAGATCCCGAACGTTTTCCCGATCTCGGATCGCTCTTCATGGTCATTAGCTTCGTCGTCGTCCATAAATTTTGATTGCTTGCGAACCCCTGATCCCCCGTCCCCCCGCAAAACACTTCCTTTGCTTTCCGCGGTCTAGCGACCATGGCTGCTGTCCAAGGTTCGCTTATTAATTGGATTGCATTCACGATTGGCTGTTTAATTAAACAATTAAATTGGATTTCGATAATGATGATGAATTGGTAAAATTGAATCAATTTGACGGGTGGGTCGGCGTGTGTTCTGAACAATGGCGTTTGATTTTCCTTGGCAGTGAACCGTTCAGAGCAAGAGCGTGAGGTTCAGAGGAGTTACTGGATTGAGCACTCTGTGAACCTTACGTTGGAAGCAATGATGCTTGATTCCAAAGCTTCTGATCTTGACAAGGAAGACAGACCCGAGGTATGGTTTCGATCTGTTGTTCTCTTTCTCTTTCTCTTTAGTCTTTATGTATATGCATTTACGAGTTAATCTTTCGTGTTATTGTTTTTCTTGATCTGGAACAAAACCGGCTTGAATCTACACATAATTGACAAGTGACTGCCATGCATAATAACAGAGATATATTTGAGCTATTTATTTGCTTTCTTTATCTTTCTGTTTTCTTCTTTTTATTTTTCCCTTCTTGTTATGTGTGCGTACAGATTTTAGCTTTACTACATACGTGAGAATCGACTCTTTTGAGATTAAGCAGGTAGAGTTTTTCAGTCGTGGGATAATTCAACCATTTAGACGACGATACATACTTGAATCCAGTGTATTTGATTTGTTTGCATATTCTTTGCAGATTTCTGTTTCTTTTGGATTTTAGCTATCTATATTATTTTAGTTGATCCTGCCACTCTCTGTAAAATAGAACAAAACGTCTACTTTGTACAATAACTGAGGCTATAATTGCTCAATTATTATGCAATTAGTGTTCAGGTATTTGAACCGATTTGCAGATACTCGTAATATCATTGTTTTGCCTGAAATCAAGTTCCTGTCATAGTTATACCAAACGGCCTACTGTGTCCCAGATCTGGAGATTAAATGCAACTTCACTGCATCAGAATCAAATGAAAACACTCTCGCAACACAGTGTACCATGAAATATAGACAGAATCTAGTTTACTCTGCCGGTTTCATGTAAATCATTTTCTGGGCCTTTTCAGTCATATCAAGTTTAACAGATTGAATTCTAATCTGCATGTAGTTAGCGTTGAGGATGTTACTTTACTCTCCCTCCTGCAGATCTGTCTTTTATTTAATTCTCTATTTTTGCTCTGTATCACTCGATGCAATGAACTGATTTCCCACACAGTTCCCATGATAAAGGGCATCACTTGACGCCGGGTTTTCTTCCTAATAATAATATAGGTGCTCTCACTACTCCCACCGTATGAAGGAAAGTCAGTACTCGAACTAGGAGCAGGAATTGGGCGTTTCACTGGTGAATTTGCTAAAAAGGCTGGTCAAGTGATCGCTTTGGACTTCATTGAGAGTGCACTGAAGAAGGTTCATTGCTTACCTGTGCAACAATAAGTTGCTTGGCATTTTTACGAATAAAGATCTAAGATTCTTGTTTTTTGCAGAATGAAGCCACTAACGGGCACCACAAGAATGTCAAATTCCTTTGTGCTGATGCGGCTTCCCCAAACTTGAATTTTTCTGAAGGATCCTTGGACTTGATCTTTTCGAACTGGCTGTTGATGTATCTCTCTGATAACGAGGTAAAGATTTGATTTACACATCTCCACTGGGTTCTGCCATGTTGGATATATAATGGGTTTATGTCTTTTATTATTCTTTACAAACAATTTGGTTGGCTCATCAAATTACAGGTTAAAACTCTTGCTGAAAAAATGGTGAAATGGTTGAAAGTTGGTGGCTACATATTCTTTAGGGAATCATGCTTCCATCAGTCTGGCGACCACAAGCGAAAGAACAACCCCACTCATTATCGTGAACCAAGATTTTACACCAAGGTTCTATAGACTTACCGCATCCTCCTTTCGAGTGTTCGATAACTGACTTATAACCTGCATATGCTACATGCTCGTAATTTAATAATTTACTGCTGTTTGGTTAAGTTTGCTGTCCTTGACCTCCGGTTTCAACTTGCAGGTGTTTAAAGAAGGTCACTTCCAGGACCACTCTGGAAATTCTTTCGAGCTTGCTCTTATTGGTTGCAAGTGCATTGGAGCTTATGTGAAAAACAAAAAAAATCAGAACCAGGTAACATATTTATAATTTTCCTTTTAAAATATGTTTTTCGTGCCAGATGTTCTTTGAGCCCAGTATTTGTTATAGACCATTTATGATAACGATCATACTAATTCTGCCAGCCTTCTTCTGCTTGTTGATATTAGTTTGAATTGGGTGAAAAATATTATTTGTGTTGATATAATGTGCATCCTACTTTTGATGGGCAGATCTGCTGGCTCTGGCAGAAGATTAGCTCAGATGATGACAGAGGATTCCAAAAGTTCCTGGATAACGTCCAATATAAATGTAGTGGCATATTGCGCTATGAGCGTGTGTTTGGAGAGGGATATGTGAGCACCGGTGGCCTAGGTATGTTTCCAGCCGTTGTTTGTTTTTTCCATTTTATAATTTACAAAGCATGACCATTCGAATCATGGAGTTCAACGATGGCAAAAAGAAACCATAGAATTAAAAGATGTCATCAGTTGTACTTATTTGAAAGATGTAATCCCCTGCATTTGAATGGACAGACACAACAAAAGAATTTGTATCTAAACTGGACCTCCAGCCCGGCCAGAAAGTGCTTGATGTGGGTTGTGGAATTGGAGGAGGTGATTTCTTTATGGCTGAAAACTATGATGTTCATGTTGTTGGCATTGATCTCTCCATCAACATGATTTCATTTGCAATTGAGCGCGCCATCGGCCTCAAGTGCTCTGTTGAATTTGAGGTTGCTGATTGCACCAAGAAAGACTATCCTGATGGCTCATTCGATGTGATTTATAGCCGTGACACAATTCTTCACATTCAAGTAATTTTCTTGCAAGTCTTGTCGAAAGTGAATATAGTTCTCTGGATACCCCCTGATGATGTTTTCTGATCTTATTATTTTCAGGACAAGCCTGCACTATTCAGGATGTTCTACAAGTGGTTGAAGCCGGGAGGAAAAGTCCTCATAAGCGATTACTGCAAAGCTGCTGGAACCCCATCGGCTGAATTTGCTGAGTATATCAAACAAAGAGGATATGATCTGCATGATGTTGAGGCGTATGGCCAGGTATACATATGTCCCTAACATGAAGATAATGCTCACACAGACACAGTGCTAGATATATATGTGCTTGTCCTTGTCCTACCTGAAACTTAAATAAGATTTATTACAGATGCTTCGTGATGCTGGCTTTAGTAATGTGGTTGCGGAGGATCGGACCGATCAGGTGAGTCCTTGTTGGACAGGGTTTTGTTTTTATGATGAAGTTACAAACATACAGATAGAGAGAGTAGAGGTATAACTAAGACGTTGTTAATTACCTTTCCAGTTCATGAAAGTTCTGAAGAGGGAGTTGGATGCAGTGGAGAAGGACAAGGAAGCCTTCGTACAAGACTTCTCAGAGGTGGGCAGTAAATATTAATTAGTATTACACTACACTACACAACACACAGAGACACAATCTGCAATGATTAATTAGTCAGATCATCATCATCATTCATAACAAATTCCCAATTGCAGGAAGACTACAACGAGATAGTTGGAGGGTGGAAGAGCAAGCTGGCAAGGAGTTCCTCCGGGGAGCAGAAGTGGGGTCTGTTTATTGCGAAGAAAAAGTGAATTACCAAACCAAACCGAACCATCATCATCATCAGTGGTGGAGTCGAGTCGAGTCGAAGAAATGCATGATATAATATATGAGTGAATGATATGATGACGTCTGTCCCCTCCCCCCCCCTCTCTCTCTGTGTCAATATATTATATTATATATAAGAGAAGCTTGTGTTGAATAAAACTGCTTCTTGTTTAACTGTTTGTCCATGGAAAATGGCTCCGATCCAATATTTACAGATGTTGTTGTTGAGTGGAAGTGATTAGGATCCCTTCCTTTGCTGATATGGTTATGTTATGTTATGTTATAAATCGATTATTATTATTATTATTATGAATGAATGAATGAATTGTCTCTCCAATTGGACCGGACCGGACCACTCACTGCCAAGTAGTCACTCAGTCCAGTCCAGTCCACTCATATATCACAATAACACCAACTAATGATCTTGCAATTTTTGATTAATGCTTACACTTCTTCAATAAAAGAAAGGGCTAAGGGCTTTAGTTTCGTTGGATCATCATCATCATCATCATCATCGCACGTATATATAGTCGGTCACATTCATCACTAGCTCCTGTTAATTATATACTACTATTTTAATATAATAATAATAATAATGATGTCAATTAATGTTTGTGGACAAGTCGGCATTATATCTCGCTGTTTACTCGCACATAAATGCTAGTGATAGTGGCCGTGCGCTATTTATTACTCTATGGGTCAGCTAAACTTATGCTCAAATATTTAGACATGATCATTTTTTATTTATAATAATAAATACTATATATATATATATATATTTATAAAATAATAAAAAAAAAAACCAAGTATAAATTTTTAGTACAGAGCGAAACAAGAACATTTGAATTTGATAACAAAATAAATAAGCATAAATTGTGATATAAAAGAAGATAATTTATATCCAATTAAAAAAACCTGCACATATATATATATATATATATGTAATAAATTAAATAGTAAGTTGTCAAAATAGAGGCAAGCGTGGATGTGGAACCAACCCATTAACCCAAGTAAAATGAAAGTTGAAATGAGGTCTCACCTAGCCAACTCATCATGACAGGAGACCATTCATTGTTTAATCTCGTGAAGGGATCGGGATCGGGATCGGTACAGGTACACAGACGACAGTTAAATTTTGAGACAAAGACATTATTATTCTTATTTTTATTTTTTAACGATGTGGAACGTAACCCAAAATCGTCAATCATGATAGATAATAAGCTTAAAGATGTCGGAATTTGAACGTATATATGATTTGATGAGGGTCACGAGCCCCACATCATTAATTAGATTTAGAGGTGCCGGATTTATATGTATATATAGTCACCAGTTCATAAGACATTATTCATTATTATTAATTATTGACGCTAGCTGTGAGATCAATGTGTGTATTGTATATATATGGAATATTTTAGGTATTAATTTGGGGATAATCCTATATGGACAGTCTCTGTCTCAACCCCAACTTGTAATGACAAAACTAGTTCAAGTATGAACTAGATATATATGGACATAGAAACAGACACCGACATAGCATTTATTAATTTTTCTGAGATAATTAAAATGATTCATAAAGAAGATATATGTGCAAACATATATCTGTAATCGTTGATGAATTATAGTGTCGGCAAGAAATTAGTAAGTAAATGAATAAGCATAGCTCAAAAGCTCCAGTTTTTATATATATTTTTTTGAAAGAAAAGAAACGCAATTGCATCATATATATAATAACACTAGTAAGATCATTAATGAGTTATAATTGCAGAGTAGAAAGCCCTAGTTTGCAGGAGGTGAATTATATATATATATATAACAGAATGGAGATTTGGAGGAGGTGGAGGTGGAGGTGGAGGTTAGGCTTGAAAAATGAAAATGAAAAGGGAATTAAAGGGAGACGAAAACGTACCGAGGCCAGATTTTACACGTAGTTAGACACACAGAGTGAGATACGTAGGCATACAGATTTTGCATTTTCAATGAAAATCATTACATCATAATTAATGGGATCGGAAGGAAAGAAGACACACACATATATACATATATATACAAAGATGTAGATACAGATATATATATATAGATGCAGTGATGCAGTGTGTGTGAATTAAAGGTTACTGCAGCAGGGAGAGGAGAGGAGAGGGGGATTGAGAATGAGATTGAGATTGAGGGGGTGAAATAGTATATAAATATAATATTATATATACGACACAAGAGAGAGAGAGACGGGAAGATTCCAAAAGGGAGGACACAGGAATTGTGATAGCACGTAAAGGTGTAATATTCGTTGTGATATAGTAGTATATGGGATGTATGTATGTATATGAGAGAGAGAGAGAGAGAGAGAGAGAGGCATGGATCGGAATGGAGTGGAAGGAAGGGTAAAAGGACAAAGATAATATATGGTGCTGGTGCGGGGTAGGGGGGTAGGGAGACAGTAGCAGTACCAGCAGCACCACACAAAACAAAACAAAACAAACAACACTAGCAAACATGTATTGTATTGTGTTGTGTTGTGTGTATATACATGTATATATATATATATATGTTGACTGGACAACCAGGATTTTCATGCCATGATTACGACCTTTCTTTCTGCTACTTTGTATATGTATGTATGCATCTCTCTCTCTCTCTCTCTCTCTCTCTACATGTGGTGTGGTGTGGGGGGAATGGATTCATTCGTTGATCAACTCAACTCAAGTGGTTAAACAACAGACAAACAAGTAACCCAATATAAAAGATACATATATATATATATATATATATAACCAACCTTCCTTTTTACTGCCCACCTCTACTTACTTATGAAATTAACCTACTCTATTATTATATTCTCTTCTTTTCATTGTCTATATATGTATGTATGTATGTATGTATATATAGGTTTATTTGTTAATAAATTTCTCTAAAATACTAATTAGTTAATTAAACACACAGATGCATGAGCTGTTGCAATAGAGAGATCATGAAACACATACATGCATAGATTAGATGAAATTTGCTTTGCTTAGAATGAATGTTTGTTTGTTTGTAAATGTGGGGATGTCTTTTTTATTTACCTGGTACCATATACTATTTCCATCACGAATAGATAGATACAAAGGGACAAAGTAGAATTAAGTGAAAGAAAGAGAGAGAATTTTAGAAGGGGGATTGATGAGAGAGAGTGGGGGGAGCATGCAGAGGCAGTTTGGATAGACAAGGGGGGTTGAAAGGCACCAGACAAGACCAGACCAGACAACTCTTATATATTCATTCATTCATTCATTCATTAATAATTAATGCGCAGTATTCTCTCTCTCTCTCTCTCTGTAAGAGAAACAGGTTAAAAAGTAAGAAAGAAAGAAGCCTTGCGGTTAAGAATATTAAGAAAGAGAATAGAGAATATTGCATGGAGATGATGGAGGAGTTAGTAGTGATGAGAGAGAGAGAGAGAGAGAAGGGGGGGCTACCGGCTATCTATATACGATTCTCTATATTATATGATATATGTATACGTAATTATTGATAAGGGTGATGATCGTCAAGTCCCTCTCCATCTTCTTCTTCCTTCCTTCCTTCCTTCACGTATTCCCATAACTCTCTTTCTCTTTCTCTTTCTCTTCTCAATATATCTATCAAATCTCATTATATATATATATTCTCCATTCCCATTCCCATTCCCATCTACCACCCTCCCTCACAGAATTCCACGCCCCTACCCTACCCCACCCCTTCAATATTACATTACTTACTTTGATATAATATATATAAAAGATGCATCATACATAAGTGTATGTATGTAAAATATTCTTATATATATATATATACATATGATATGTGATTTGTGACTGCCGTTGTCCCGCGCCCCCCAAGTATATATATATATACATATAGCTTAATTACCAATTCCCTTCATGGCTTGATCATCGTCATCCAGTCTAGTCAACTTCATCACCTCCCCCATTTAGCTTTCCTTGTTTCTATTACACACACACACACTCCCTCCCTCATTCTCTCTATTCAACCCTTACTACTAACCTCTTATCTTACTTTCTTTCTTTCTACACACACACATATTGTAATTATTCCCTTTCTCCACACTGTTAGCTTTTTGTCTCCTCTTCCCCCACCCTACCCTGCTTACCTCCATTCCACTTTCCCCATTCTTCTTCTTCTTCTTCTTCTCCTAGTAGATCCACGCTCTCCAACCTCCACATGTCTCCATGATTTTGATTTAAATGTCTCCCAACATCAAATCCATTTCTGCCCTGTTTCTGTGCTTTATGCTTTAATTTAATTCACTACTACCCTCTCCCCCTGTCCTCTTCTAATTAATTCCTCCTTGTATATTTCTCCCTGCAGGTTCTTGAAAGGGATCGATCTTGTTTGGCACTTGGCTTTTTTTTTTTCTAAAATCTCTGTCTTTCCCTTATAAGCAATCTTAACTCAAGCCAGCTACAGCAGTTCTGTGCTTATACATATATATACAAACAACTCATATCCATTATTCTTGCAGGGATATCACGCACGTAGGAATCTTTAATCAATTATCTTCGGGGCAAGTTTATCCCCTACAAACCCTAATAAGAAACAAGGGGCCCAATCATACTATATATATATAGAGAGAGAGAGAGAGAGAGAGAGAGATTGGGGGCGGGTGGTGGTCGTGGTGGGGGTTGATTCCTTTGTCTCCAAGGAATTATTAGATGATGTGGATGATGGGATACAGTGATGGGGCAGAATTCGATAGCATCCAGGACCCATTTACAGGCAGGAAGCTCCGCCCTTTTGTGCCGAGACCAGCCTCCGCAAACCCTCCGGCTGCTGCTTCCTTAACCCCAATCAACGGCACTGACCTTTTTGCCCTAAATCACGATCTCGGCAAGTTTCCAAATTTTCATCTTCCATTTTTCTGTGTTTAAATGAAATGGTGGCTTTCTTTGGATTCTGCTTCACATGATGATGCATACGTAACTAACTAACAAACAATCATCCATTTGATGATGGGAATCCTGTCAATCAAATCATCCATGTCGTACAGATTTGGGTGTTCCCACGAACTAGGGTTTTCATTCGATATATATATATTTACATTTCTGTGTTTTCATCACAGCAATGGCGGCTGAGCAGAACAAGAGAGAGCTTACCACCACCAACACACAGCAAGTAGTGGTGAGCTCGCGGTGGAATCCAACGCCGGAGCAGCTTCAAACCCTAGAAGAATTGTACCGAAGCGGCACGCGAACTCCATCGGCAGAGCAAATCCAGCACATCACGACCCAGCTCAGAAAATACGGCAAGATTGAGGGGAAAAATGTGTTCTACTGGTTTCAGAACCACAAGGCCAGAGAACGCCAGAAACGACGTCGTCAGCAGCTTGAGTCCCTCTCAGACGAGCCACAGATCACCCATGCCAATCACAATCACAATCACCACCAACTCCATACACAAATTGAGGAAAGGAAAGAATTACCGCAAGGTAAAATCTTCAACCCCAACAACAATTCAGTACATAATTGTTACTATTAATTATTATTATTGCATGTCTACTTCTTCTTCTCCTTCTTCTACTGTAAATTGTGTGTAGAGTCAGAAAAGGATAAATTTCGTCTGTACACAATAATATTCTTTTTCTTTGCAATCAGATTTGTTTGGTAGCACCACAATTTTGTGCGTTGGTTATTGATGCTGGGAAGCTAAGGGAAGGGGCCTTGTTTGTTTCCATCCCAATTGTTAATGGTTGAGGTGTAATGTTTTGTTTTTGTGTGTCCACTGTCCGATCCACAGGGCCGAATAAGACAGCATTTGAAGTTGAACAGACGAAGAACTGGGCATCTCCTACAAACTCCAGTACACTTGCAGAGGTTCAGTTTTTCTTTCACCATTCTCTTTCTAACCCCCATAGCTACCTAACCTGCCTGCTGCAATCGATCTTTTATTTATTTATTTATTATACTAGTATATAATAATCAATAGTGTATGTATATATATACTGTATTTGTTTCTTTCAAAGACAACATTTTTCGTACTTGGTTAGTTCATAACACATTTTGGATCTATTAATCAGTGCATAATTAGGTGATGATTATCTGTACGTGTCAGATTCAACATAAAAGAAATAAAGAGGGTTCTTGTGAATGTATGTATGTAGCTAGGTATAATGGAGGAGGGGGAGAGGGAAGAAGGTTAAGTTGAGATGGGAAACTGGTGGATAGGAGGATCAAAAGCGTTGTTTGTTGGGAAATGAAAAGGGTCCAAAAGCTGCATATCTTCCTTTCTGTCGGTTTTGCTATTATTGTTAGGGTTTTGGGGAGTTGTGCTTCATTCAACTGGTCATGTGTGTACTATGTATGTGTGTAAATGTTCATTTACGAAATTTCAATTTAAAGACATCTTCAACTTTTCTAGTTCCTTGTGTGCAGCTTGACCTTAATTTAAGCTTAGACGCCCATATCGATCTAATCTGATAGATACAGATATATAAATATATATGCATATTTACTTGCAACCTCCTGCATGTGCCAAATTCAACAATATGAGTGGTTGGTTTTGCAGAATCTGAATCATAGCTACTTTTTGAATGAATTTAATTTTTGTGATCAGAAAACTGAGTGCAATACTACTACACAAGGGGGGGCAGTGGCAGTAGCAGCAGCAGAGGTAGAATGCAAAGCAGGAGGAGCAGAAGGAAGAGGATGGGCACAGTTGGACATTGATGGTGCAGAATTGCAGCAGCAGCAGCAGCAGCAGAGGAGGAATGCCACGTGGCAGATGATGCATTTGTCTTGTTCATCTTCTCCGTCTCCATCTCCATCTCCCACCAACCATCAGCATCATCACCAGCACCTGATTATGGCTTCCTCCTCCTCGGCCTCTTCTGCACTCACTGTCACTTCTCCCGTCGTCACTGCGGCGGCATCAATGCAGCCACCTCGTCACCATCATCATCATTTTCTCAACTTCTTTTCAAATCCCCGTAGTGTTCACGACCATTTGGGGCGGCGGACCATCAGTGAGGAGGAGGAGGAGGAGGAGTCACGCACAACCCTCCAGTTGTTCCCCATCTCACACAACTGCAGCTTAGCAAACGATGGCGAACGAGAGGAGGGAGAAGAAGAAGATGATGATGAAGAAGAAGAAGAAGATAATGAAGATGAAGACGAAGGTGCGCAGATAGCTATGGAGGACAACAATACTGCTGGGGATCAACACAATCAGCATCATGTTGCTCCATACCAATATTTTGAATTCCTCCCATTGAAGAATTGATTCATTAAATCGATCAAGTCTATGATATAATGTAAGATGGGTTATTTGTTAATTTTTTGTTTGAGAGTGTGACTGACATAATATTATATTTATAATCGTGGAAAGAATTATTGTAGAGTATTGTTTGCTCGTTAGTTAGCATGCAATTATATATACGTGTATTAATTCGTGCATGGTGACTGCAGGTAGCTAGCTTTATGAGTTAGATGATGAATTGGATAGATTAGATTAGATTAGAGAGATGGATAATGATTGGTTGAAGTTGTCAAGTGTTATCAAGTTTATGGAATGAATTGGTGAAGTTGAAGTTGTTTGTAGGAGAAGAGAAGAAAAGGGAGGGCATCACGTATGTTGTATAACCATGAAAGAGACCATTGTGTATGTTTGTTTATTCTGAAACTAATACTATGAATTGATGATTTAAGGTGTTCTGAGCTGGCAATTGGCATAGTAAGTAGAAGAAGGAGATATGAGTATCTTATATCTATATGCTCCGGTCCACGGACAGACCCCCGGTCGATGGATATTCATTCATCATTCCTATAGTCACTCAGTCAGTCGTTAATTAAGAGTATGTAAAAAGAAAAGGCCCTTCCTTCCTTGTTATTCTTTTGAAGCCCAATTCGGCCCAACCAACAACCTTCGCTTGCTCGATAGCTATAGGATAGGATAGGATAGGATAGGATAGGATACCTTGTCAACGGTAAAAGTGGAAAAGCCCATGTGTTAATATTATTATAATTGTATTATTTCATTCATGACTAATAATAAAGTGAAAACACTTTTTTGTCATTCTACATACATATATATATATATTTTAATACTCCTCTATTCCTACTATAAGGTAGTGTGATTCGATGGATGGATGGATGGATGGATGGATTACTTAGTTAGTTAATTAATTAATATTCCCTCTTGTATAAGGGAGTGGGAATTTCAAAGTTGGACGGACGGACGGACGGACCAATCAATCCAATCCACATATTTACAATTTGATTCAATTCTTCTTCTAATTTTCTGGTATGCATCTCTCTCTCTCTCTCTCTCTCTCATATATTAAGATCTAGCCTTATTGTATCATTATATGCATACACTAGTTTAGAGGATTTAATTTAATTTGCTCGCTCAACCATTTATATATCATGTATATATAGTGTGTGTGTGTGTGTGTGTGTCAGTCAGTAATGGTATAATAATAGTAGTAGATCTGTGTGTGTGAAGGTACTATACATCTCTGTTTATATATATATATATGTATAAGATATGTGTGTGATAAGTGATACTAAGCGACAACAATTCCTGTAAGAGAATCTCTTTGAAGTTGGTGAGTTGGTATTCGTGTGTGTTTCTAGAGTAGAGTAGAGTAATTAATTATTGTGTATTGATGATTAGTAATAGTAAAGTAGTAGTAGTAGTAGTAATAATAATAATAATAATCCAGACGGTAAAAGTTAGTTAGTAAGTCAGTCAGTCTTATGGGGTATGGTATGGTATGGTATGGTATGGGGTACAATACAAAAGAAGAGAAGAGAAGAGAAGAGAAGAGAAAAGCAAGATGGTGATGGTATGTACGGAACGTATTGTATGGGTTGGTAAGTAAGGGGATACAGATACAGATACAGATACAGCTCAGCTGGGAATAGAGAGGATAGAGGAGGACAACATTAACATTAGAATAGAAAATATATATTACGAGTACATTATGACATAACATTTAGTTTCATTCTCCAAAAAGAAACAACTCCCACAACCATGTGCTTCTTTCTCTCTCTCTCTCTCTCTCTGCTCCGAGTAAATTAAAAAACAAGAAAAGGAGAGCTAGGGCCCACACGCCCTCTTTTTTAACCTTTTTAACTTTATCGGAGAAAGGAAGAGAGATATATAATGAAGGTCTCCCCAGACAATTCCAATTCAATGACAGTGTGATTTCTGACACAAAACAACAACCCACCTGGATAAACGAGCCCCAATTCAATCAATCCCGAATAACAATAACAATAATACCATACAATACACTCCTACTATATATATATATATACTGTATACATACCATCGCTTCACTTTTCATTGTACTTGCTAGGACTATGTAATGTAAAAAAGAATTAGAAACCCAACTAATTCAATGCATGAATTATCACTAACTAATTGATTAATTAATCAATAGGTGCTTCAATTCAATTCAAGTACAGGCTCAAGTGGGAAAGAAATACGCAGAACCCATCACAGGATGGATGATATACCAATTACCAAGTGCAAAGCAGACAGACTTCTTACTAGTAGGAAAATGGGAGATTTCCTCACTCCCCATTGTCCATTAATTACTAGTAGGAGTATTATTTTTCTTTATTCCCAAAATCAAATCAAAACATCAACACAAGACAGACTTCTTACTTAGTACTATTATTTATTTAGTGGCCACTGGGCACATGGTGTGGCCTTCACCCAAGCAGCTTTTCAAAGCCTCTGCTACTTTTGGCATCCATGCCACCCCCCACTCACCGTACAATACACACACACACACACACACACACTCTCTCTCTCTCTCTCTCTCGTTTTATCTACCTATCTATCGATTTTAATTTTACACACACACACACACAAACGCAACTGTGGCCCAAAACAACCAAATAGGTTGCTTTGCCTCTTGCCCTATAAAACAAACCCCTTCTTCCCAATCACCCTGCCCTGCCCACCTCAATTAATTTTACTGCATTTGCTTGCTTCTCCAAACTCATAGATCTCCCTCACACACATTCAGACTCATTCACCTTTTTGCTTGCTTTCTTTCTCTCTCTCTCGGTGAATATACATACATACATACATACAGCTTGAAATATGGGAGCAATGTCGTCGTCGTCTCGGCCTTTCCTTCTCTTCTTCTTCCTGCCGCTAATTGCTATCTCCATTCTTGCCCTCCATGCTTCAGGTATTTATCTATTTCCTGTTGTGTTTATTATTTGCCAGTTTCAAGGAGTAGTAGCAGTGGCTGGGCATTGCAATCTTTTCTCTTCTTTTCTTCTACTAGTTACTATTTTGATTTGATTTTGTGGTAATCAATCAATCAATTCAGGGGCGACGATGACTCTGTACAACAAATGCAGCCATCCGGTTTGGCCCGGGATCCAGGCCAGCGCCGGGAAGCCATTGCTGGCCAGGGGAGGCTTCAAGCTGCCCCCAAACAAGGCCTACACGATGCAGCTCCCCCCGGGCTGGTCCGGCCGCGTCTGGGGACGCCATGGCTGCTCCTTCGACGCCGCCGGGAAGGGCCGCTGCGCCACGGGGGACTGCGGCGGAGCCCTCTTCTGCAACGGGATTGGCGGGGCCCCTCCGGCGACGCTGGCGGAGATAACCCTGGGCGGCGAGCAGGATTTCTACGACGTGAGCCTGGTGGACGGCTACAACCTGGGCATCTCCATCACGCCGGTGAGGGGCTCCGGGAGCGGGACGGGGAGGTGCAGCTACGCGGGGTGCGTGAGCGACCTCAACATGATGTGCCCCGCGGGGCTTCAGGTCCGGTCCCGCGACAAGAGGCGGGTGGTGGCCTGCAAGAGCGCCTGCTTCGCCTTCAACTCGCCGCGCTACTGCTGCACCGGCAGCTTCGGCAGCCCCCACACCTGCAAGCCCACCGCCTACTCCAGGATCTTCAAGGCCGCCTGCCCCCGGGCCTACTCCTACGCCTACGACGACCCTACCAGCATCGCCACCTGCACCGCCGCCAGCTATCTCCTCACCTTCTGCCCGGCTCCGCATCGCCGTTGATAGAGAGAGAGATCCATTTCCATATCCCTCCCTCACTGCTACTTGCTCACCTGCATTAGTCAGTATAATTACTCTTTCGCATCAATCCATCAATCTCCCATTATATATATATTCCTGAATTTCACTTGGGTTGGAGCCTGGAGGGCAATGAATGGCATTGCATTAGTGGAATGAATTAAACATCATCATATCCGTCCCCGTCTTAGTTAATCTAGTACTATTTGTTTTCCTTGCATTTAATTTAATTACATCCCAATGCAATGCAATGCAATTTATGAATCAAACAATCGGCTTTTCCTTTCTTTTTGGTGTAGTTGTTGAGGTCTCCATTGCCTGGTCTAATTATTAATGGAGTAGTAGTACAAACAAGTGCATCCTATATACTAGTACTATTACTTAACAAGAGGAATTAGGAATTAATAAATAAATAAAAACTGTTGTGGTGCCAATGCCATAATTTGTTGTTGGGAGGGAGGGAAGGAAGGCAGGCAGGGGGGGAGGGGTGTGGTGTGTAGCTCTACTTGTTGTTGGTCATCATCTTCCTGAATTCGTCGAAGCTGACGTAACCATCGCCATCGGCATCGACGGAGCGGATCATCCCGGCGCAGTCCTCGACGGTGCAACGCTCCCCCAGACGCGTCAGGATCTGGTGGAGCTCCGTGGCGGAGATTTGGCCGTTGCCATCCTGGTCGTAGTGCTCGAATGCCTCCCGGAGGTCTTTCTCCTCCCCGGCCCCATCGTGGGCGGCCTTGCAGAAGTGGGCGAAGTCGTCGAGGTTGATCCGGCCATCCTTGTCGGTGTCCATCTCAGCCATCATCTGGGCGACCTCGTCGTCGGAGGGGTCGGATCCGAGGGCTCGGAGGACGCAGGCGAGCTCGTCGGAGGAGATGGTGCCGTCGCCGTTGGTGTCGAAACGGGCAAAAACTTTCTGGACTTGGTCGGTGTCGTGGAGGAGGGACAAGGGCGGGGGCTTGGCGCTGCTGTTCCCGTCGTCGGCGGCCATGAGATGAGATGGTGATGTGATGAGGGAGGAGGAATGGATTTGTAGAGTGTTTGTTGATGGATTGATGGATTGTAGTGTAGAGAGGGAATTAAATTGAATTGAATAAAATTAAGGGGCGTTGTTTGCGCAAAGTGCGTCATCAGCCGATGGATGGATGATCCAAATCGAACGGAACTAGTAGTTACTACAAGCAAACAATAACAGAAGAGGGCAGAGAGAGAGGAGAGAGAGAGAGAGAGAGAGAGAGAGGGGGAGAGAGAGAGCAGAGAGAGAGAGAGAGAGAGAGAGAGAGAGAGAGAGAGAGACCAATCCAACCCAATCCAAGCCAAGCTGCAAGCATCCCATCCCATCCCATTCCACTCCATTCATTCATTCATAATTGTGTTACTCCTATACTATGATAAGATACGTTGGCATAATTATGTAGGGGAGGAGGGGGTGGGTAACTGGTGTCTATTCTATTGCAAATGAGCTGAGCTGAAATTCGTTTTTATTTTTTTTTGGTAAAACTGATCATTATTAATTGGTTATATATAGGAGTACAAATGTCCAATTTATTTTGTTAGTTGAGATTAAAATGTGGGTGTGGAAAGTTGTTTGGTTTGAGATTCAATTAGGTGACCTGACCAAGTGAACAGAGAGAGAAAGAGAGATGCTTCAATTTGGGGAAAACCATCTCTCATCTTTTCTTCTTCTTCTTCTTCTTCTTCTTCTTTAATCTTCTCTGATCGAAATCCGACAACAAGCACTTTTATAGGACTGACTCACTGTTAATATATATTGAAAATCCAATCCAATCCCACCCACAGTTTCCTTCTTCCGCCTCCTGTGCAGGAATTTTGGGCACTCGTCGGACGCGGATCCCGCTGGTATGTCCCCACCGCCGCCCAACCCAAAATAACCCATCTCCGGACATCGTGGAACCCACTGCTTCTCAATGGCTCACTGGATCTCCTCGAAGCTCAAGGCCGCTGAAACCCTACTCCAACAGGCAATCCACTTTTCACTTCTTGCTCATTTTCTGTTTTCTTGATTTTTACTACATGCTTTCCGGGCCTTGCAATTTTGTCCATTGTCATCGCATTCAGAAATTTTCTTCGGATTTGACAAAGAATTAGTGTTGCCTTGAGGTTTGGCCTTTGAAATCACTCGTGATAACGGAGGATTGCGTGGGGTGATAGAGTAAATCTCTGAAATTCCGCCCACCAGTATTTGTTCAATCTGCCATGTAGACTGTAAAAATACATTAAACTGGTCATCAAGCTGAGAAACAAGTACCAAATCCTTCACCCTACTGGCGTAGATTACATTTCAAGATATTTCAACTCTACTAGTTTATCCGCTTAGATATTCCCTAAAAAAGTCGAAAACTAAATGACAGAGGCTCTGTGAAATCTTCTAGAATGTTAATGGGCAAAACTATTGGGGGTAGTTGAATCTATTTCCCAAAATATCTGCAACTTCTTTTCGGCAAGACCTGCAGAGAAATACTAGTTAATGCTGAAAGGTATATACCTCTTTCGATTCATAATAGGATGGAACTGATAAATACTGTGGTATCAAACTATGTGGTAATGCTTAATAAGCAGGACACTTGTACCTTTTATTATAGATCAATGGTGTGGGCAAGATATCTCAAAATATATCTCCTTTTACTGTAATGGTAATGCACGTTATTATAAGTATAAGAAAACAAAAAAAACAATTTGCCCTGCTTTTAAACCAGCAGAAAACTCGCTATGCATTTTTTCTCTGCTAAAGAATCAAAGTCACCTCTGTTTTAAACCATTGTGCTACTTATTACTAAATGGCAGCTGGAAAACGCCCCAGAGAATAATTTAATGTTTTTGTCATCGAGCAAACCATCTATGACAATTATTTATCGCATGTTTGATGTTGTTTGTACTATTATATTTTTTTATTCCATGGAAAAAGATGGATAATAGGCTTCATGTTATAATATATACTTATATATCTGAATAGAAATGAATGATTAAATGTTGGTTCAAATTTGAATTGAGCATTTCTGAATATACATCCTATTGCTTTAATTTTATGATTTATCTGACTTTGCTGGAGTGCTTAATCTTTATTTTTGTGTGTTTCAGATTGACCAACAAGCTGCAGAGTCACTTGGTAAGAATGAAAAATCACTATCAGATGATCCGTTAGATGTTGAAAATTCATCTAGATTGCATGAAACTAAGCCGCTGATAAAGGACCAGCTGAAGAAGAAATCTCCAGAGCATGTGGTCAACCAAGCTTTTACTTCTAGTAATGAACAGAATATAAACATCATTCATAGAAGCAATAGCGATGTTAATGGTGAAAATATAATTGGAGGACCACTACCGTTGAAGTCAAAGTCACAGTCGAGTTCTGCATTTCCAGATAATGATTGGACAGAACTTCTGAGTGTGCCAGATAAAAAGGGAGTATCTGGAGTAGGGAGTGTGAAGAAGAGTATTAACCACGTGCCTGGAATTCAAGCTTTGAAGAAAGATGTAAAGAAACCAGGATCAAATCTTTCACCAGTTGATAAGAAAAGTGAAAAGGTTAGGGATAATGGAGTTACGAAAAGTTCAAGGAAATTAGGAGTTAGGCTGGACAACAGCATCAGCGGTGATAGTGATGAAAAGGCAAGCAATGCTGAAAATGTAATGCCAAGAAGTTCAAGCATCAAGTTTCCAAGCAGTGCAGGTGAATTGGATAGGAGGGCAACTAATTTGTCAATTACAACCGACAATGGTACTGTGCAAAACAAGGAAACTGAGGAGCTGACAAAAGCTGGAGATGGACAGAAGCAGCATCACTTGGATTCTGATCATTCTTCTAACATGGCACCCGCTTCACATGAAAGGGAAATGGAAATGAAGGTGGAATTTGATGGTGGTGAGTTATTCAATGGTGGAACGGGTAAGAGTGAAAGCTCAACGATGGATCCTAGGATTGCTGGTTCTCTGAAAAAGGCTTCTTCTCCTCCTAGTGATGTAGAGTCTAATTCAGAGACAGACACAAGTTCGTCGTCAGGTTCAGAGAGTGAAAGAGAAATGGAAGAAAGGCAAAAGAGGAGACAGCAGATTTTGGCAGAAAAAGCAGCTGCAAAAGCACTCCAAGCAATTAAAGATCGTGAAAATTTGGTTGCTAGATTGGAGGGAGAGAAACAGAGTTTGGAGAAAATAATTGAAGAGCGAGCCAAACAGCAAGTACAAGAGGTGCTGAATCTGTATTTACTGCCTTTTATAATAATGCCTTCTCATGGTTTCTTGCGCTGCATGTGGTTGCATGAATTGTGCATTTAGCTGGAAAAACTAGAAATGAAAAAGTTAATGAATTTACATGATAATTGTTTAAATACAAATTTGTATTATTCATAAATGTTATACGCACTTTTTAGTGTAGTGAAATGAGTTTTCTCCAGCATTACTTAATCATGCATTCTCTAACGTAATGATATCATGTTTGGCTTGACCATGAGCTGATTGTAGCAATACCTTCTACATTTTGTGGGTTTATTCTTCTTGGACAAGTAGATGAAAGTCTTGTCATTTTGACATTTTCGTCAGTTGATTTTTCTGCCTTTTGGATTGGGTGATCCATTATTTTTTGTTTTGATACTATGGTCATGGATACATGGTTTTGTCAGAGCCTATCTGTAGGTTTCTAATTTTACCCAGTTTTTCAGGCTTCAGAATTGCAGACAACAATGATGGAGACCATGGAAGCAGTTGAGCTAGAGAAGCAGAGACATAATAATACTCGTATGGAAGTACTTGCACGGTTGGCAAAACTTGAGGTGCTCAGACTTGTTATAATTTGCTCCCGCCTCAGCTTTTTGACTAACAATAATTCTCTATGTGCACTAGATTATCTTGTAAATCTTGATTGTATCATTGTTTGGACTCAAACCCATCCTTGTCCTTGTTATTATTCTCATCATTTATCGCAATCTTTGTTTCCATCCTATGCACGTCATCTTCTATACCGATGTCATGTATATATAGATTGGACATTGACATTCCGTGGATATATCTTATTTGATATTTATCAGGTAGGTATGTAAAGTAATGGTTGTGAGTAGCTAAACAAATTTTGTCATTTTTGTATGTAAACATATATTCAACTTTACATGAAGTTTTGCTAACAGCTTATAGATTTTGAATTGGGCTTGTTTTATTTTGCAGAGTGCAAACGCTGATCTTGCAAGGTCTCTTGCTAATGCACAGAAGAAACTTGAAGCAGTGGTATTTTGATCACCTATTCACCTTAATGCTTGTTTTTGTTAGAGAGAATGAATCTATTAAGCTTGTTATATTCACCTTTCATAAAGCTTTTGATAAATCAAAATATGATGATGATGATAATGATGATGCATGCGATTCTCAATTTGGTTAACTAGTTATGAACCTGAACCTTTGTTTTTCCTTTTAATTGAGCTTGTAATGGGCTCAGTTTTGCTTCATGGTGATTGCTTGGTTATGCAAATTGTTGGAGTAAATATATTGGGAAGCAATTAACTATTATTCCACCCCACATATTTTTGAGAATTACCAATTCACATGGCAGTTTTGAATTTTTTTTTCAAAAAAAAAAATCATTAATTTTTTTGTATTTGGTGGGTTAGGTTGATCGTGTAGCTGACCTTCGCCAACAAATTCATGTGAAAGAAGCAATGCATGAAGGTGAGACAAGTGAAGCTAATTTGCTTTATATGTGCCCTGCTTAACTTGCCTTCCAGTTACCACTATATTAACAACCATGGTGCCTAAGATATTTACTTCTACAATAAGTTGCATAAATACACTCCATCTTTATTGTTTACTGGATATCCTCCCTCCCTATTGAAGCTTTATCATCAAAAGTATTTGGTATTGAATTTTGGTCACTACTATGTAGTAAGGTTACATTTGAAGAGAGTATTATCTATTCTCTATTCCAAGCATATTAAACTGTTTTATAGTGCAAGATTTTTCTTCACTAAGTGTCTGTTATCATTCTGAATGGGAACTTTGTACCCTGAGCAAGGCTTGTTCACATGCATTGGCTAATTAATGAAAAATTAGAATGCTCCGAATTAATCTCTCTGGGATCTTGACCTTTTAAGTTGTGAAGAAAGACAAAAATTACTGTGTTATTGATGACAACCAATTTGAATACTGAGCTTATGTTTCATTCCACCTGGTAGGGTTAAGAAGGAAGATATCAAGCTCAGAACGAAATGGTGAAAATGTGAGTAACAATAATTTATTTTTTCCATTATTGACACATTACTAGTGATCCTGCTAAACTCTGCACCAATGTTCTTTTAGTTACAGGTTTCGAGAGGTGTTGAACTAGAACTGAAGATGTTTGAAGCAGAATATTCTTTCATAAATGAAAAAGTGGAGAGAATGCAAGACCAGGTGACTTTTTTCCTTCAGAACTTAAGACGAATTTTCTTTGTTAACTATGGATATCTATCCTGCTTTTGGTTTCAATTTATTTAGAATGCTCTCTCTTTTCTCAAAGCTGTCACCTTGCTCCCCTCGAAATTAAAGAAATAATACATGTTTTTTTTTTTCCTTTAAAATTTTATTTAATGTTACTGGACTGTGATTTTCACTTATGATGCTAGGTGAGGACCCTAGAAACAAGCATTGAAACAACTCGTAGAGAAATCGAAAATCCTACTGATGTTGAAATTGAACTCAAGCAGAGGCTTGGTCAGTTAACTGATCATTTGATTCAGAAACAAGTGCAGGTACTGTTTATCAAACTGCTATCTTTGGGCACCTTCGGTGACACCAATAGTGTATCTTCACAGAGATAGTCCATGTCATTTGAGTTTCTTCTGATATATACATGTTATACCCAAGAAATTAGAAAGTTCAAGTGTTGGATGCTCTTTGATGATGGGAAGTTAAATGTTTATTCTTTTTAACTGGATGGTAGCATTTGAATAAGAACCCTGTATGTGACAGGTGGAGACACTGTCCTCCGAGAAGGCCACTCTACTTTTCAGGATTGAGGTAAATTTTCTTCCGAGCATGTATGATTTAGGGGATTGTTACTATTTGCGACATTCTTCGAACAAAGCCTCTAAGCACTCAATGAAACAACCTAGGCAATTTCAAGACTGGTTGACGAGAACAAAGCAATTTTTGATTCAGCTGGCTTTCTCGATGCCCCATCAAGGAATGATGTGGAGTCGGGTGTATGGCTACAGTCGCATTCAACATTTAAAGATAGAATACAATCAAGTCAACGGCATTTGGGATCAGTAGTCCTGCAATTGGACTCCCTCTTCTGTGCCGGCGCTGTGTTCCTTAAACGAAACAGAACAGCTAGAGTTTGGTCCCTCGTCTACTTGATTTGCCTTCATATCTGGGTGTTGTACATTCTAACATCACATTCTCAAGTGTCCGAAGACACTCAGTCGGGTGCTGTCATTTCCTTGGAGAATATTAACAACACCGGCGGGGTGTGATGATTTGGTTTTCTTGGTCACTTGCTGTTAAAGGATGTATTTCTGCTTTATTCTTTCCCACCGAATAATAAAGTTGATGTATTTGTCGAACTAGGGAAGGTAGGAATTGCTTGCGGCATGCCAGTTATGTACACAATCCAATGTTGTAGGGATGAACAATGAGTTGCATAGTATAATGAGAAATCAGTATATATAAGTTTTAATGGCAGCTGACGATGAATGACTTGTGTATTAATTGATCTTGCGTGCACTGCTGCTCCCTTCCTGTCTTCTATTCCTTGCACAGTTCGCATAAACCTATGCATTAGTTAAGTTTCTTGTAAAAGCATACAATGTAAGAAAGGATTCTTGAAAGAACAATCTGTTTTACCAGTTTTCTCCTGGAGGGAGACTCCGGCTATAGAGTGGAAACTCGAACAGAAATGTCGATTTGAACCACAGTGGCAAGTGACCGTATATTGCCGGCGGAAGCAGGACCAGAGGACTGGAATCGAAACAAAGCAACCCTTTAGAATTTCCAATCCAAGGATAAGACAGACAGACAATCAACAAACAAATATCAACCTCGTCGATCTTTTATAGTGCTGGTATGTAGAAAGGTTCCCATACTTCTTGTCGGCCGACTCCTGTGAAAGAGAAGATAGCATAAGCCTTCCAAAACTAGTGCAAAAGTAAGCGAGGGGACGCGCTCGAGCTCACCTCAAGCAGCGGGATGCCACTGACAAAGAGCAGCAGCAAAGTAAGGAATATTGGCCCGAGTATTACAAGCCATTCGGCGCGCTCCAGCACAGGCGTCGCAGCCACAAAGATTCCCCACCAGAGTAGAATCTAATCACATAAACAAGAATAATTTAAGATGAAATGACGGCATTGCTTGTATCCTGTGACAGCACAAGTTTGAAGCTCTTGACCTCGCCAAAGTAGTTTGGATGGCGTGAGTACTTCCAGACTCCGACATTGCACCATTTGCCTCTGTTCTCCGGAGAATTCTTGAATGCTAGTTTTTGCTGGTCGGCGGCTGCTTCAACAAGAAGGCCAGCACACCACATGATCCATCCTATCACGTCTGCAGGTCGAAGAGAGGGGTCTCGATTGCTTGCATTAACAATGGTCACTGGTAAACTCACAGTCCACACCCACACAGCCTGCAGCAGATGATCATCCATAGGGTTTCAAGATTGCAGAATCTGATTGCAGTGCAACAATTACACGAAGAAGATTTTAACCTGAAATGTCCAGAAAACAGCTAATTTTCCCAAATTACTGCGCATTTCATCGAAGCGCCGATCTTCCCCCCACTGTAGTATCCTGAATAAATCGAATTCACCAGCATGTAATGTAACTCAAACTTCCATTTGCACCAACATAATAACAAGGAAAAGATTCTGCTCAAACTTATCTAGAAACAGACCTCATCAGCAGAAACAACCCTAGACGAAGACCCCATATGACTACAAGCATCGATAATACCACCTGCACATACAACTGACCCATCAGTACAACACAATGTAGTAGTGTTCGATTCGTCTCTGCATCATAATCCTTAAACCTTTATTGCTTGTCTAACTTAAAATGCAGAAAACTCAAGTATTTTCTTAACCATGAGCCGTCATCGTTAATGAGAGGAAGAAGAACAAATCACCTGTCGAAAGTGCCATGATCCTTTCACAATCAGGGTCAACAAAGCAAGAATGACAAAATTCGAGCAACCTACACAAGGTCGAAAATAGAACAATTGGAAGAGACAGACAGACAGACAGAAAGAAAGAAATACTCGTCAAATTTATTAGTAGTATTATTCGAAAAGAGCATAATCAGATATCCATCCCTTCCCGAAAACCTCCAAATCATGTTCTCGGCACTCTCCACAATATATAACACTATATATATGATTCCATGTTAATCACACGAGGGTAGGGTTGGTGGGCATTCCGTACACTCTCTCCTTTATTGGGTCTAAAATGAAATCAAGATTTCCTTCAATTGTCGAAAAAATTGTTGCAATCTCCAGAAGTTAGTTAGTATAATTCAAACATGCAAAAAGGTCGAAGGGTGTAAGAGGGGAATGAATACCACCTACCTGCGAAGTCTGTAACTTTGTCGAACCTTAAGAGCGCTGTAATCAGAAAGAAAAACGACTGATAGCCCACCTGCAAAGCAAAATCAACGACTTTCCTTTAGCCCTCCGAGAAAGAAAGTCGAGAGTGCAAACCCATTCATGTGTTGTGTGATTTTTCACGTACAGTGACGATGGCGGTGAGGGCCAAGAAATGAGAATCGATGACAGTTCCCATGACGAAAACAACAAGTTCACTTCCAAACTAAAATAAACCCCGAGTGCGAGTGCGAGTGCTCAGCTGCCGGTGGATGGGTTTATCGTTTTCCTCGGTGGGGTTACAAAGTCGGGACGGGACGACCGCTGATACGATTGATATGTGGTTCAGGACAAATGAGAGTTGCTGTCTAAATCTCCACCCCACCCTGTATTGCATTGCAAATCTATTTTTGTACGTCTGTTACAATCCAAATGGTAATTAATTTACTCACTACCTTGTCCGAAACTTCACCGTCGCTGCTAGAGCTCAAACACTCGCTGCAATGCAATTCTGAACAATGGAATCATTTGCACGATTACTGCTTCACATCACGCGTTTAATTATCAATCAATCATAATCAATCAGACTTGGGAGGAACTAAAATCATCAAGCATTGATAATTACAACAATATCATCCATCCAGTCGATGTACAAAAACAAAGAGCAGCTGCACAGTTGTGTGGAGAATGGCGTTGGCATCACAAAGCCAAGAATATGTAGGAGGGCGTGGTAATTCAATTCAATTCAATTCATTCAAGAATAAAAACTTGGGACCAACTCAATTTTTGTTTCTCTCTCTCTCTCTCTCTCTCTCCCAGCATCTGTCAAGATTTTCAACAATCCCTCAGTCGTTCAGACTCGTGTTGCATTGGCCTCCTTCCAATACAGAAAAAATAAGGCCTTCCATCTTCCTTCCTCATTAGCTAGCTTTTCCGGTCACCTGAATTTTCTAAGTTCACTGAAGAGTGACCTCTGTCAGGTCTCTTGTTTGGTCTTGACAGTTGCGAAGTTGTTAATTGTTTCTGAAGTGGTTTCAAGATGGCCATGATTTCACCAAAGGATGGCCGCAAATTCGGATCTCTACCCAAAAAAAAAAAAAAAAAAAAAAATCCATTAGAGGAATTAATTCTTGCAATGGCTACTACAGGCAGCTAGCAAGGTATAAGAACGAGAGAGATGTATAGTGACAGAAATGATGAGAGCGTTACGTTTGCCAGCATTTCCTGATTACATCGGCAATGACAGGATCCATGTCTTCTGGTATGTCGAGGCGTCGATGCTGAAACCCAACAGCACCAACAACTTGCATTGGGTTCATTCCGCCCCATGGCTGCTGCAACGTGCATAGCTCCCACAGGATAACTCCGAAGCTATAAACATCGGATCTGTATTCAAATAAAGATCAATCACAAGACATAAATGGCTCTCATGCTTCTTACAGTTCAACTAGTGTAATAAGAGAGGCCCACGTACTTTTCATTGGACGGCTCGTTCCTCAGAACTTCCGGCGCCATCCACTCAGCCTGAGAAAGGGAAAAACCAAAGCATCACAATCAGTTGTTCTGCCTATATCTTTTGACTGCCAGGTAATGAAGAAGCATCAGCAATATTTTGGACTTTCAACTCTAGCTAGCTTTGCTAGGGCATGAAACAGTGCCGGAGCATATACATGATGGCTAAGGGACACAACAAGATGTTGATGCAAGAATTATGGCACAAAGATGTGAGAGAGTAGTCAGTCAGTCCCCTTCCTATCCTACAACAGAGTAAATTCGCAAAATTATTTTGAACTATGCATAGATCACAGCAAACCACCTTTTCTGAAGGCGAAACGTTGCAATCAAACATCTCCCAAAGCCTGAGAGTAGTGTAGTAATAGGACCAACACCAATTGAGCTATCTTCTACAAAATGGCTGATAATACAATGACGCAGCAAAAATTAGCAGCAGGGTGCATGATCGGTTTATCATGCTGTTCTAGCAAGGCAAAGGCATCATAGAGAACTGAGAGGGGGACAGGGAAAAAGACAAAATTGCTGCCAGCATGCATCGTATGTCTAGCCGGAGTAACAGAAAAAGACAAGGCATTTAGTAGGTCATAAAAGAATTACAGCAAAAACCACATACTACACTCAATGGAACAGGTAGTGAGTGTGGGTACAAGAGGAGGAGGCAAGGGATGACATATACTTATACATTAACATAAGGATAATGGCAGGAAAAGAGGCGAAACAAGCTTACCGTCCCGGCAGTAGACCTTGAGGAAAGAAATGTGCTGTGCTTCATTCTTGATAATCCGAAATCACACACCTGATGCAGAAAAATGATTCTTGATGGATTATGATTGGGTCTAATTGGTAATGTTGGTCTTTTTTCAAGTTGTAAAAGCATTTTCACCTTGACCACCCAATTCTTATCGACAAGAAGGTTTGGGGACTTCAAATCTCGATGAACTATCACTGGAGTGCAATTATGCAAATAATTCATTCCTCGAGCCTGCATCATTAGGTATATTACATTTGCAGCAGCAGAATAAAGCAGGAAACAAATGAAGAATGATAATGACATACTGCATCAATGGCCATCTTCATTCGTCTGCGTTCATCTAGTTGATTGTTTGGGCGATGAATTAACCTGTACAAACTACCCCTGCAAATAGAAACTTATTGTGAATATAACCCCGCAGTGTACACCACATCACATTAACAAATAAATTATAGGGAAACAAATACTAATGAAGATTCCTATTGGACGAAAACTCTGCCAATAATTCAATTTTATTCTTAGATTAACATTTAATGAGCACTTTACTCAGGTTCGTTCGCTAACCTCACATGCAAATGGTGAAATAACATGGGCTTCCAGAGTCTGGAAAGGAAGGAGTTGATCATACCTAGGAAGGAATTCGGTAACAATTGAAAGATTCGGAGGCCGAGTGACAGCTCCCATAAAGAGAACTACGTTTGGATGTCTAACTCTTTTCATGATTCGAACCTTGCAAAAATATACAAGTAGAAGGATACACATGTTGAATTATGTTCTCTGGTCAAGCAAAACCCAAAAGAAAATAAGAATACAAAGTAAATGATAAAATGGAAAAGATTTGGAAAATGTAACTGGATATACACAAAAGCTTCTAAGTAGTTGCTAATCATTTTCAACCAACAATGGCTCATAACATGCTCCAATGACAGGATTGCCTGAATCTCAACCATTTTCATAAGGGATTCTCTGATATTATGCCGGTGATAAACGCACATATTGAAACAGGGAACAGTCTATTGCAACTATTATTGGGCCTCAAAAACAATGTGTGAATCCAATTTGGGGAACAGGGTCTCTACCTCACTTTTGAATTCCTCGAGAGATTCGCCGGTTATATCTTGGTCAAGGAACTTCTTGACAGCAACTTCCTAAAAGTTGGAACCAAGGTGAACATACTTTATCCAAAATCAGATGCCAAGAAAACAAAAGATTTTCAAAATATAAAAGACTATAAAACATAGAATTCAAAAAGGCAATATCAACAACCATCACTGCAGACACAGTCCTCACACAAGTGCACTATGGATTCCAATACTGAATTTGAGTAAAACCAGCTACTCATGTTAAAATCTTGACTGCTTCAAAATGTTGAAAGGGCAGAAAATATATATATATATATATATATATATAATTAAAAATTCTCTCAATAAAAAGCCACAGGCCAATGCCCCAAAGGTGATTATCAGTTGAAAACAAAGGGTTGCTTCAATAAGACTCCAGAGAGTGTTGAATTTTTTTATTTTTTTTAAGAAATAATTTTATTCATGAAAATAGTTTAAGGGATATGATACACAACCATAACTGCTTAAACATTTTAATTATCCTATGGACTAGGAGTCTATTTTCACTCAGAGCAAACATTTAAACACTACAAGTCGAATGGAACCAAGTTCAAGGAAACCGACTTGAATGGCTGATCTTAGGATGACATCAACTATATATTCTCTCCATCAAAATTTATGAAGAAAGCAAATAATTCATTGTAACTGTAAAAGTCACGGATGTTTATATTTAAATATTACGAGAAAAGAGAAAACATTCAGGAAGCTTCTTAGAAACGGCTTAGTTTTGGGAAATTGTCAATGTAATGAAGAATATAACCAAAAGTTTTCAGAAGCTTACAGTTCCATGCCATTCTCCACGATATACCTCACCATAAGATCCTGCCAAAATAGGAATTTAAAGATTTAATTACCGTATTAGATGTTTGAGAGGTTCAAATATCACTAAAATGATATTCTATCATATTTCTTAGTTAAAAAAGAAAGATCAGTACCAAGACCGATACGCTCACCCAAGGTGATGTCTTCCCAAGGGATTTCACAATCTGCTACGTCATCAAGTGTAACATCAGATTTTGAACTTTCATTCCCAGTTGACCGATCTGATATCCTCTCACCTTCCAAATTGGCCCCTGGCCACTCGTTTTCACGATCACCACTTGCTTGTTCAAAAGCTGTGCTATCACTATCCCCATCACTTTTCCCACATATAGCTGGACTCAAAACAGCACCAGGATAATCTGATATATGAACAGAAGATTCCAAGGCTTCATATCGGTTAGTAACAGCAGCAGTTGTAGCCACCACAGCTGCAGCTGTTGCTGTAGCTGCAGCTGCCACTGGAAGTTGAAGTTTTGGATCACGGTTAGCCTTTGCTGCTGCAACTACCATTGAAGAGGCAACAACTGCTGCAGCAGCAGCTGCTGCTGCCGCAACTGGAACATTTTTTGCATATTTGGCAGGACCTACTTCAAAATCTGAAGAAACATCAATTTCAGTCACCTCCTGAGGATGCAACTGTTGCTGTGCATGCTTGTCCGAATGGCCTTTAGAATGACCACCATGGTGAGGTAATGGGGGGAGGAAAGATCGACCTGGATCACTATAACCCTTTGGTCTATGTTTGTCATCACGCCATTTCATTTCTTTTTCTTGCACTGGTGGGTTGATACCCGCCAGTGTTGTATCTAGCGGCTGCTGGTATGTTTCAGTAAACAAATCTGGCGGTGCAACCACACCACTTTCACGTAAAACATCATGGAGCTTCTGAGCTAATTGTGGATTTTCTTTAGCAGCATCGATCATATATTGTGAAACATCCTTCACTTTCATTCTACGAACAGCCGGAGAACTAACACCTTCTGTCCAGGACGGGGATCTGGCATGCATGTATGGATGGCTAGGCCCACTAGAGAATCCAAGTGCTGATTCTCCTTTCACGGGCCACAATTTATCTAAATCATTCGTTCCTCTGTGAGAAATCAAAGGTTTCTGCACTGCTGAAACTGAAGATAAAGATTCTCCTATGTCAAGTGGTTCCTTCCCATAACCAATACTCTCACTAAACTTTGATCTTTTGCCCTCTGCTCCCACTTCTGATGTGTCTTCAAAGGAACTAATTTGGTCACCACTGAATGAAGTCACTTCAGGAGGGACAACATTTTCATAGTCCATGTGTGCGTCCGCTATATCAGATGGAATGAGCGTGCCAGGGTCCGCCATTAAATCAACAATGTGTTCCCTGATACATAATTCACATTTTTATGAAAGATGCATACATAACTGAACATTTTTAGGAGCTCATTCTTGATTGACACAAAATTGTAAATCTTCGAAAGAACTTAGAAAAATCAACTTTAAATCACTTTAAATCCAGAGCATCACATGGAAGTCTTATTTATGCAATTTCTTTTGAAATCATGACATCAAGAAGTCGTCGCTCAATTAACAATAGAATCTATTAGCAAAAAACAAAGGTAAAAATGGTTTTTAAGCATTACTCAGGTAGATGGCACAATGAACCTCTTTATAATACACTACACTTACATTCCATCAATTTTCACAAAATTTATAGCCACATCATCAGAACCAGTGAACTGCTGTCCTTTCACCAATCGACAGGGGATGCTTAAACTGTCAGCTAAAACCTGAAAATTCAGGACATAAGACAGAATATGAATCAAAGTTGAGTTGGCAGTTCATATATAGATCTGTCAATTCTCAAAATATTTATCTGCATGTCTTTTCAAGTGACTATGTACGTGCCAGCGTATACTTCATTTAGAATTACAGTCAAGCAACCTCTTATCATTTATTCAGGAATATCAAAGGCTGATGAATGTGATATTATAAAAAATTATCACTACAAAATACAAATTATGCTCTTCGTGGGATCTTCCACCTCAATGCTAATCCCACAAATCAAAGAACTTCATAATCAAATATGATAGAGCAGCAAAATGAAAATATATTAAGTCATCCCTGGTCAAGATATATGTTAATTAGGAGTGAAATCCACTGAAAGGACAAATTTATACATACAAACTTGGGCATCCATGTGTGTGTGTGTTTGCGTATATCTGATGGTTTAGGATGACATAAGTAAGTCTAAACTACATGCATAAAATAAATAGCATTCCACAAATTTCTGAAGCCGGTTTAGCAGATAAACAATAACCAAAAAAAACCACACTGTAACTGCAGTTACACTTTATAAACTCCATGCCAATCCAATACCTTGAACAGCAAAGCCCTATGACGAGCCAGTCCAATCGTCAAAGAACCAAGAGGTAAAACCATACTCCCATTGGTTGCCTTCAATGTATGACTGAGGTTTCTCCATGCTATAAACATCCTGTCTGGATCAGTAACTGGGCCCCCCATGTGGTCAGAAACTAAAATAGCAAGCTTTTGCACCATATTGTGGGTAACAAAATTGGCAGTATGGGACCTTAATATGGAAACCATCTCCAAGGCCCTTCGCTCAAGGTTCAACAATTTGGTGTCAGCTGACTTATTGATAAGAATGGCTTCCCAAGTGATATCATCGGATGGAGGTGTTCCTTGCAAGTCAACGAGGGAAGGCATTCTAGATGATGTAGACTCAGTCAAGATGCCATAAAGATCATAGAAACCATCGAGAATCTTGTCATCATAGCTGAGAGCATTGTAATTCTGTGAAGCATGGATAAGTCTATATATATGAGACATGTTAGAAGGAAATAACAAAGATCTTGAATGGAAATCAATGAGTATACAACATACAGAAATTCATTGAGTAACGAACCGTGTTAATAAACAGGAAAGGTCTAGAACATATTGGTTTGGATGCCTTCAAAAGGACATATTTTGCTAAACATCATTACTTCTAACAGATAATTATGCCCCTGGTTCTTGCTAAGGCCAGGAAAAAAAGAGAGACAAAGGAAAACATTTGTAGTACTTTATAAATTTGATATAAAAATGCATCATTTCTTAACTTGAGACACGATTCAAGGTAAAGGCTACCATAAATAGAGATGACCCAATTTAGGATCCCCAACTATGAAGACACAAGCTAGCTTTTTTCCCTGCAGTTTCTATGATAGTTTCAGAACTAACAGAGCTTGTTGAGACTTATTGCTCAGGAATATGCTGTTCAAGTCAAATCATGAGATACAATGCATCTCAAGCTGGGCATCTTACACACACGTCGGGGAGGCTTTACAGACTTTGGTGTAAAGAACTTATCAACTGTGGTTCTCAAATGTTCATTGACCTACACTGCAAACAAAAGGCAATCACACAGACGTAGTTTAAGACATTGAAAGGCCCAGAGTTAGCAAACCTTCTTTGGAGTGTGAATGATGGACTTTGTATAGCACAAGTACTTAAAGATGCTGAAAGGCAAAGATACACAGGATATGCATCTACTCAATGCATATTGTAATCAACGTTGATTCATAAACCCACCACACATGACAACCATGTATTGGATAAGTCGTGCTAGTATAAATAGCCATTATGAATGAAGGCTACAATAAGCCAATTCTTAAAAATAAAAAAAAAAATGAAAAAGAATTTCTGGAAATGTGAAATGTGAGTCCAAAACTCACCCAATATCTGTATGCCACAACTTCAGCAGGCGTATTCTCAGGAGGACAGGAACCTAAACTTATCTGCTTAACAGCTTCAATTTGAACAGCCTCAGGGTCCTCCTTAGCACTCAACTCCAAAGCCATCTGAATTTGATACTCCTCCTCAATATCGTGATCCCTTGGGTTACTAACACCCGAATCACGCCTCATTGCTTCCAGAGCAGAATCAAAGCTACTACTGCCAAGAGAATCAGAGTTTTCCACTTTGTCCCCTCTGGTCACATTAGATGAAGAAGGGGGACTAGGACTGTGCCTATGTGTGACAGAATTCAACCACCCTGAAATATTGGAAAAAGGCTTATGATCGGACTTGTGTGAAAGCCTCTCTTTTGGTGAACCATCACTCAACCTGTTACCCTTGGACGATGAGGCAGAGCATTCAGAATCTTCAGACTGATTTGATCCTATATGAAGCTTCTTCAGGAAATTTTTCATTTCTTTCCCCTTACTCTAATACAGTCAATGCTATAGATGCAACAAGCTGACCATAAACCTCTCCATTGTCGCAATCCAAGCATGAATCTTGATCAGAAAAATACAATTCGTAACAACAAAAGATGCAACTATCAAGTCCCTAATAAACCCTTCAAGTCAATATCAAAAGTTCCAAACAAAGCCCAATAACACCAAGGATTTAGTCATTCGAGGTTTTACTTTCCTGCACAGCACAATCCATAAACCCGTTGCAGAAAACCCCTTCCTCATCACCTTTTCCTCAACAGACGACCTAAACCCAAATCAACTATATACCTAAAGAATCATCACGCAGAGTCATACAAACGATTAAAAACCTTGGCTGTTCATCAGAAAGAAAACTGCTGGCACTTGAAAGACTCTCTTTCTAGCTTTCAGACTGAAACTTCAACAATTAACAAAAGGGCCAACCCCGAGAGAGAAAGAGGGAGAGGTAGAAAGACAGAGTCAAATGAAGTGCAGCCTATTACTATCTTGAACTGTGTGAAGATAGAGAATCTATGTGTGTAGAGAGGGCGGAGATAGGAGAGTAAAAACGCTCAGAAATAGTAATAATAATAGAATGCAAATGCAAATGCAAATGCAAATAGACGGCTATGATTGGTCAGTTTGGAAAAAGAGGCAAATGCAGCTGCACAGACAGCGAAGACCAACAAGTGGGAAGTGGTGTAGGACCTTTTCTCCTCACAAAGAACCAAAACCAACTCCAACTTGTCCTCTACCTATCAATACACAAGAAAAATATTTTAAAATAATAATAAAATTCACAACTCCTGTGTTTATCCATCTGTATTACATAATTGCAATTGCTTGTGTGGGAGCACCACCAGCAAATTGGTGGTTCTAGCAAAATTGGTCAAAATTGACAAAGATTTTCACCTTTGGATTTACATATAATTGGTTTTAGTTGAACTGTCAATTTTTAATCAAAAATTCTAGCTTTATCAAAATTATGGTCCTTGTGTTTTTTTCTAGTTTTTTTTAGTTTGTCTTTTCAGTTTACTGTCACAAACTGCTGGTTATTGTGGCTTTGGTTTGCACAAAATTATGCTTCTAATCTTTTTACTCACATTCAGCCAGGCAAAAAGCTCCAACCTATATGTGTCTTGACACTTTGAAGTAAATAATATGTTATTCCACCTTAAATTATCTTACAAATAAATCTACAGATAGATGTGAAATGGCCCAATGATTGAAGAAAGGGGTGACAAAAAACACAACTCATATTTCAACGACCAAATTAGATTACATCACATCTGCATGCTCTATCAGAGATAATGCATTTGCCGTATCAATGTCAAGAATATAATATGCTATTGCCAACCAACTAATACAGCACACTTTCTGATATATTCTTCAAATCTCTGTCCACTTTTATTGAGTAAGAAAATTGGGAGAAATAAATTGCAAGCAATGGGTTGATAGTGGGCAAAACACTATACAAACTAGGACAGGAGAATATCTTGAGGGAAGAGCTTGGAGGGAACGGGGAATGGGATAAGAATTTCCTGTTTGATGCTTTATGCTACTATTGGGCATGGGTGTCATTTTGTCCCATGTCCCGGTGGCTGTGGCTGTGGCTGTCCAGTCACCAGAAAGACATGTTCAAAGCACAGGACAGGATGCAGCTCAATCAACTAAGAATCTTTGAAACGTGTCCCCTTGCCTTAAATAGTCTATGCATTTTCTTTAATGCATCTTATAACTTCCCTAAACTGCAAAGCAGTCTACTTTGCACTGATCTATCTATCCACCTATCTGTAAAGAAGTAATATTGTGTGACATACACACACATCCCACAACACTAGTAGTAGCAGTGGTAGTGCATATCTGTGTCTGTCTAGAATATCCGTGTCTAGATTAAGGTCAATGTATTGGGAGTTGCATAAAGAAAACTAACCTGACTTGCAATCATCATAGAAAACAATATAGATACATATTTTGGATTATTTTAACTTGTAGTTGACTTAAGCTGGAAGCAACGTACAGGAAAGCTCCAAAGTATTCAGTGGAGGATGACAATGATTTCGTACACTCTTTAAAGGGCTGCTCTTATCCACCATTTGTTTATTTGTGCCACTGATCTTTCTTTCACCAACTTGCCCGTTTTGCTCCTTTATATATATACATATATCTTGGTTACATAAATTGTACGAAGATCAGTGTATCTTTAACCTCTGTGTTGTCCCGACTCTAAGATCCATGACGTACTACTGATGTTTAGAAATCTGAAAGAAAAAAATAAAAATAAAAATGAAACGCATCCACTTGAGAGCAAAATCTGTTAAATTCAATACACATACGTGATGAATGTATGTATTTGAACAACCAACACCACACCCACCAGCAAGCACATTATCCAATCCCACTAAGGATAGTTACCTAGCCGGCATGGAAGAATTAAAAGCGTTTGGCGATAGTTTGTCCTGTTGGGACATCCGATGCCTTGGCTGCCAGGGAAGAAGACGGGGAAACAAATATAACTAGTGTACGATACATCCATCTACACGGAGTGGTCCACTATTTCCCCTCATGGTGGAACCTAGCAGGGGCAGGCGGACAGGCAGGCAGGCAATGTATCTTGGATAAATAAGAAACAAGTAAAGATAAACACTTACCGCTGCAACAAGAACAAAGCAAGGTCAAACTAAAGGACAGGGAGGTGTTTGTCACCCAGATTGAGAGAGATACAAGAGAAATATAGATATGTCCTCAACTGATCCCAAGATGTTGCAACTTAAGACAGTAATATACGAGTTTTCTTTTAAGTCTAGCATCAACATTTCAGACATAAACAGGACTAAATTAAATATACATGAACGGACAGATTCAAGTTTCACGTCCAGCTGCTAGAACAACCCACCACCATGCTCCTCTTCACCAGTATACAGAAATTCTTTTTATCTCTATGCAACTCACCCTAATTTGGGGGAACTCTGTAGGGTGACGCCCCTCCCCCTCTTCCATTGCAAGTCACGCTGCTGCAAGTTAGAAAGTTTGGGGAAGAGGAAATTGTGGATGAGGTTGTTCGGGTGGTGGTGGTGGTGGTGGTGGTGGCGGCGGTGGCTGCTGCTGGTGGGATTGATCATCTGGCGGCACATTGATATTCAGTGCTAACAGTTCTAACTCTTGCAATGCATTGAATGCAGTTTCATTGTTCAGCGATGGCTTTATAAAGGCTGCAGCTTGCTGGACTCGAGATTGCTGGTAGCAGGTTTGGAACACACGACAATTAGGTTATGAGCCGAGCATCATCACGAAGTAGAGTATGGTACATGAACAACAGTTGTACCACTTACCAAATTTTCAAGTTTTGCCTTGAGATCGAGATATGCCGCTAGCAACTGGGAGTCAGAACCTTTAAATTGATTCTAGCAAATAGCATTTATCCAAGCAATAAGTTAGAAATTATGAAACATTCATCAACTCATATTATCTTAAAAATAACCACCACCTTCAAGACTAGAAGACATAACAGTCCCACATAATATAAACCAACATAATTTCCATTCTGCTGCAGAAAAATGAAGGGAACTACTATAAATGATACAGTAAACCCAGAAACAAGGTATCTCAAATTTAAAGAGCTTCTTATGACAAGTCATGTCATGCCAATCATATTCCTGACCTTCTAACTATATTTTAGCATATCAGCTTACATATAGCAGATTATGATGAACCTTTCATGTTTCAAGTTAGAGATGAGATTTGTGGAAAACTAGTTTAAGAGTAACAGAGCTGCTGGAGGTGGAAAAAAAACTGATAGCGCTATGATCAAATAACAATACTTTATGTAGGTCTGCACTTAGATCTCAATCAGGTCTCAGTTTCAGCAAAATTCAAACAAGCATTTCTCATTATATCATGATTAACATTTAATACAATAACATTTACTCCCTCCGTCCCCGCTACCGTGTCCCTTTTATCGTAGATAGGGAATTTAAGAGGGGTATAATTAGTAAATAATTAAGAATATGTTAGTAAAAGTAATTATCGTATAATAAAAATAATTTTAGATTAAGATTAAAATAATAAATTAATCTAATTAAAATATATATATAAATTAAAATTTTTTAATGAGATTAAAATGTATACTTCTTTTTCTGAAAAAGGAAAAGTGACATAAATGGAACAGACAAAAATGGAAAGGTAGACATGGTAAGTAGGACCGAGGGAGTATTATATTATATCTAACTTCTAATTCTCACACATACAAACACACATTTATATTTAAAGAGTTTGGATGAGCTTATTAAAATGTATATAAACTCCCTACCTTTATAATACATTTTAAAATGCAATCTCACCATTCCCAATAACAACATACCCAATTTCTATAGAAAACATCACATTCAGGTATTTCACCTAAAAAACAACAAAAACTAAAACATCCAAAGTTCAAAAAGAACACATTCTTATTCTCTTAAGAGTTTATAATATGTTTTTTTTTAAATATAAATTGTTTCAAGTGTTTGCTTACTCAGCAAGACTACAAAAGCTTATAAGATATCTTTTTTGTGGTAAGATACGTGGTAATATAATCATTAGTTTTATCCTAAGAGCTATAATAGACACAATTGTGAAAACCATCGAATAGTCCTTAGTAAAATCAATAGTTTTCAAATTTCTGTCATTGATTCTACTAAATCAACAGTCTTATGTCTACAGAAGCCCTACCCCCCTACTTAGTCAAAATTACCAGTTCATCAAATTACTTCACTGTTGAATTTCACCTATAGACACCAACAGGCAGCACTCTGAAAATTAGCCATATCTCATCTTACCATGGCTCTACTCTTTTCATTCAATTGACAGAACACCAAATCAAGAATCAACGGATCACTTAACCATTTATCATTGTTCCATACTCTTACTGGTAAGTAGGTAACTTGACCAACTGATAGAACCATCAACCATGAACCAGTCATGATCAATAAAGAGCCTAGTCTAAACATAGGAGTCCCTTATGGCCCCATTAGGCCTTATCAAAACAAACACTTGATAAAACAACTCAAAAAGCCAACAAAAAATGGTACGATGGGATCATTGAAGGCCACAACTTGAAGATCTATATTGGTCCAAAGAAGCAAAACATTGAGCTACATAATCATCTTCAATCCCAGAAGTAAGAAAATGCTTAAGAGAAAAATATAGTTACGTATAAACTAAACAGTAAAACATATTCTAAAAATATTGTAATCAAAATAATTGTTTTAAAAAAACAGCGATCACCTATCAACAAATTACTCAAAAGAGTGAAGCTTTGAGGCCACAGAGATTCATGAACAATCTTCTTTCATATTTATCCAAATTAAACGTGTTTTAAGTGAATCTTGTGGATATAGATTCAACAGAATAATTCCATACTAGGGATCAAAAAGTAATAACAACAATGTAACATTTTGTGATCCATAGTCTCATAACGTAAGCAGCATTTCAAGTTCATAGTTTGAACCCAAATATCATTCAAGGTAAACTATCAAGTATTGTTGGTTTGTTGGCATTTGACTTTATTGTCACCAACAATATCATATAGGACTAGGAGTGCAAGAAACTCTAGCTAGTGCTCACCCACTGAGCAAGCATAAGATCTAGTTAGCTAGCTCCGATAAACTAGAGTCCAGGTTTTCATTTGAGTAGATTTTAGTCGGCAGGTCCCTCTTCAAACAAGTTGAACACGAACCATACTAGACAGATATCTATATTCTCCGCTACCAGGATAAAACATAAAAAAAGACGGGAAGCATTTAACATGTCTGTAGGATTCAAGAAGATATACGGATAAGCTTATTACCTTTCTAGGCCGTCCCAAAGGCTTACCAGAAAGCATCCTTGGCTTCTTCGCCACGCCACCAGCCTTTGGAGGGCGCCCTCGACGCTTCACTCCACCACCAAGGGCAACAGACGCCGCCTCCATCCCAACACCAACAGAAGCCCCAGGAGCCAATCCTTGGATCGAGCTCACAGGCTTAGGTGGCCTCCCGCGTGGCCGCCCTAATCCCTTCTTCCGCGCAGCCAGGATCTTGGGTCTCCCCCAAGCACTACCCACACCACCAACCTTGGGTGGACGACCGGGTCCGCGCTTAACAACCCCCCGCTTCGGCGGACGCCCACGGCCTCTCACAGTTACAGCAGGCCCATTAACCTGCCCTCCGGCAAAATGAACACCGTCCTGCCCATTGGGCGGAGTTTGCGAGGCGGTATCAACACCTGGCACAGAATTCATGTCCACAGGAGGGGCAAAAACAGGTAAGGCAGTTTGACGCGAATCGGGGTTGGGCTTGGACTTAGGTGGGCGTCCGGGGCGTCTCTTGGTGCCGGCGATAGCACCGTTGGCGGCGACAGAGGCAGAGGCAGATGCAGATCCAGGGAGCTTGTAGGATTGTTTGACCATGAGAATCTGGCCATTGATCTTCATCCGCTTGAGGTGGTTGGTCAACAAAGAGGAGTGTGTGGAAGCCAGGTCTGGGTAGTGGGTCTCTATGTACTTAGCTATAGCCCTCTTGCTCGACCCGTTCCGCTCATTCAAGCCCGATATGGCTGCCGTTATCATCTGAACAAATGGAAAGAAAGATAGTTAATTTCGAAAACCCTAGCCAAATCAGAAATGGGAAACGGCGCCAATTTCCTGCCCTGGCCTTCCTTTCTACTCACAGGTAGGGTACACACATACCTCGGCGTAAGGAGGATGGACGTGGAGCGGAGGGTGTGCAGGAGTGGGGTTCGCGGCGAGGGAGGGCGGTGGCGGCGGCGGATCTGGAGGCGGGTCCATGGACTAGACTACAAAAATATCTGGAGGAAAAGAGATAAGGAGAGGCGTTTTGAGTATTGATTGACAGTGTGGCGGAGGTAGATAAGGAAGGAGAGTGGAGTGAGAGAGAGAGAGAAATTTAATAAAAATTTAAAATAAATGTGTCTCAGTCTGACAAGAATTTAGATATGAATATACTCAGTCCGTTTCGGATTCTACTAGCATAATTTCTCATATTTTCTATTATTTTTGTTCGTTCTATATAATTTATTTATTTTTTTAAATATAATTATATATTTTAATTTTATTTTAAATTTTAAATTTTATAATTTTTTTAATTTTAATTTTAATCCATAATTATTTTTATTATACGATAATTATTTTTACTAATACACTTTTTAATTATTTATTAATCATATTTTACCTAAATTCTTGTATCTACTGTAATAGGCCCATAATACATGGAACGGAGGGAGTATTTTTTTTATTTGTCTTTTAACGATTGATATTTTTTTATTTTTTAAAAATTTAAATTAAAATATATTTATAAATATACAATTTAATTAACTTCATAATATATAACATTATACAGCATAATCATAATTTTTTTTTCTATCTTACTTAAAAAAAAATACTATTTTGATAATAAAATTTCAAAGTAAAATTCGAAAATATATTTTGAATTTGAACAAGTTTATGAGTTCACCGATCCTAGATAGGTAGTACATAATAATAAAAAATGAAAGCTGAAAATGATGATTGGAAATAAAATGATATCCCAATTAGATTTATGTTGGAAATTTGTTTGATTGAACTCTATCACTGAGGTTGCTTAAGTACGTATACAGTTTAGAACCGCTTTTATGTCGGTTACTCTTGAACCGCCAAAAAAACTTTTTCCACGTCGGTAATTGTAAAAAATTGTTTCCTCATCGATTACCGATCTTGACTGCTTGAAACCGCTCCCTGGTCGATTACAGATCCAAATTGTCCGAAACCGCTTCTGAGTTGTTAACCTTTGTGACCAATCGTCCCACCAAAATCGTTTCCATGTTAGTAGCCTCTATAGCCGTTCCAATGCCCAAACTCGGATGAAAACTATCCGTAGGGGCAACTGTCCGGCCGGCCTGGCCCCAACAATCATCCAACCAAATGACTCTGGCCCTTCACTGAATCGCCACTGGGCCCATCCATTCATCATTCTTAGGCTTAAATCTAACCTCATTTTGTTGTGCTCAACAACTTGTCTCATCTTTCTCTTCCTCTGACTCCCAAACGTCACTCTCAATCAGCGCAAGAAATGACGGTTAGGAGTATGCAACAACCATTGGGAGTCTTCAACTAACAACCCCATTTTCTTGCGCGTCAATTCGGTTGCCGACAAAGTATTACTGGCTCTCTTGCCCGACCACACTACCTGGTTATTATAAGCAACCATCAATCAACCTGTCAACAGCCGACTCTCCGGCCATAAATCCTCTGGCGGTTGGGCTTCCGTCTTTGGGTCCCCCAGCGGCTGCCCTTCCCCAACCGCCGACTCTCTTAAGGCCAACCGATGTCCCGATAAAGAGAAGTCTGGTAGACATATCCTAAGGTCAACCGACTTCTCGCTGGAAGGTTGTCTTGAATCCTTCCCATGTGAGGCTAACCAACTTCCCTCAACTCGGCCGTAAAGCATGTGATGCTCAATAGTATAAGACCCGTCCTCTTATGAGAATTTGTGAAAGTCGGGTGTTCGATAATTCCTGAGAATAGGATGTTCATTGACGATCCTCTCAGGGAACGATTGTTGGTATGCGGACCAATTGATAACCTGTGCAGTTATACCGAAATGAACTCTCAGAACGTGTGCGACGTCGTCCGGGTCCAATACGACCGATCGATATTCTGGAACTGGAATGAGATCATGAGGATGATCTCCATGTCAGTTATCCCTCTGTTGAAACGGCTCAGACCGAGTCCCCAAAGGGATAGTATTTGGAAAAGTTAGGGGATTTTTTCCTCTCTCTGCCCTACTAGGGGTTGTCGCACTTGGAATGGTATTATCCACGAACGACGGCCCTGCGAAGTTTGCCTGAATGTGCATCAGAGACATTCATTGAGTGTTGTCCACGATTGACGGCCCTGCGATAGCACTTGGAATGGTGTTGTCCACGATTAACAGCCCTGCGATAACACTTGGAATGGTGTTGTCCACGAATGACGGTCCTGTGATACCACTTGGAATGGTGCTATCCACGAACGACGGCCCTGCGATTGCACTTAGAATGGTGCTGTCCACAAATGACGGTTCTGCAAAGTTTGCCTGAAAAGCGCGACATATACATTCTTGGAGGTGAAAGCGCGAAGTGAAGTGTAACTCTCGACAGGGCTTGATCTAACATGTTCAGTATCAAGTTTTGTTGCTCGTGCAACATTATCTACAGGGTTGTTGTTTGCTGATTGTTCATTTGTTGAACACGATTTAACTATTCATATGGTATTTGGGAGACGATCGCCGTAGTAGGGATTGATAGTGGCGTTGTCGTGCTAACGCTTTGAGATTGAGAACCTGCAATGACGATTCGACCAGATCGGAGTTGTATGAAATTTTCATAGTAGGATCAACAATTTTGCGTTTCTCCCACTGTGGTTGCCAATTTGTTGATGGTAAAATTTCAACAATAGAAAGTAAAATTCGAAAATTTATTTCGAACTTGAACAAGTGTTTGAGATCACGGATTCCTAGACAAACAATACATAATAAAAGAAAAAAGAAAGTTGAACAAGATAATTGGAAATAAAATGATGATCCCGAGTGAGATTCTTTTGAAATTTTATCTGATTGAAGATGTCCATCTTTATCGCCGAGGTTGCTTATATATGTATCAAACCAAATCGTCCAAAATCGATTCCATGTCGGTTACCTTTAAACCGCCCAAAAAACCGTTTTCACATTGGTAAGTGTAAAAAACCGTTTCCTTATTGGTTACCGATTTGAACTGCCCGAAACCGCTTCCTCATCGGTTACCGATCTGAATCGTCCGAAATCACTTTTTAGTCATTAACCTTTGTGACCAACTGACCAGTCGTCCCACCAAAACCGTTTCCATGTCAATAACCTCTGTAGTTGTCTCAAGGTCCAAACTCGAATGAAAACTGTCTGTAGAGGCAACCATCCGGCCGGCCTGGCTTTAACAACCATCCGACAGCATGACTCTAGCCCTCGACTGGATCACCACCGTTCATCATTCTTTTCTGGGGTTAAACTCTAATCTCATTTTTTATTTTTTTTACTCAACAACTCATAAATATTTTTATCTATATTTAAAACTTCATATTTTTTATAAAATTAATTTATAATATTAATTATAAATAAAAGTTTTGTTTATTTACATGTATTATAAACAATTTTATATTTTACAAAATAATATTTATATTACATAAAATTTTGAGATATAGTAGTTTTTAAAATATTTAAATACATATTTTAATAATTTTAATTATATATATTAAATTTAATTTAAAATTATTAATATTATTATTTATATATAAAAAATAAAATAATATCATAATTCATTGTTATTAATTAATTAAATATTATTTTCTTAAAAAATATATCCCTAATGAAACGTGACAATCTTGTATTTTTTGTTTTGAGTAGTTTAAAATTTATTAAAAATGAGAAATGTAACTTTTGATTTTTTTATTTAAATAATATTTTAACGAGATATTTTTTAAAATAATAATTTTTTTATTGAAAAATTAAATAGTATTTTTTTAAAAATTTTTGTCATTGTAAGAAATAAAGGGATTTTTATGATGTGACATCTTATATAATTAATCAAGTTAAATTTATATTTTTTTAATATATTTTTAATTTTACTCAAAATAATAATTAAAAAAAATGTCATTGGGATAGAGGGAAAATATAGTTTGATACGAAATAAAATAGGAAAGTAAATAGTAACCATTTTAATTTTAGATAGAAATGAAGATACTGTTAGCACTTGAGTCACTTGATTTTATAGTTGAGCTTATAATTGGCCAATGCTAGCCGTTGCTAAAATTATGTCTCCATCCAGACTGAGTCCAGACCCAATGAGAAACAAAAAAAAAAAAAAAAAAGAAAAAAGAAGAAGATGGGATCACTTCTATAGATTAGTTGAAAATGATTTGGATCAAATTCATATTGGTAGATGTTTTGAAATATTGCAGTTCATTTCTTCATTTGATATATTGATTGGATTTCATTGTTCCTCTGATTCAAATCCAATAATCTCTTGAATGAGATGCAGATTGGATCTTGTATCATCTATGAGACAAAAATACAAACAAGAAATGAATTAAGGGGCTGGGAAGAAGCCACTGACCTGCTGCACGCACTGCAATTAGGAAGAGGAAGAGGAAGAGGAATTCGAGGATTTGTTCAGTCACATTACATGATATAATTAATTTAGGGTCGATCCTAGCTAGAATACGACATCTGTGTAGCTTTCTATTTGATTACATCAATGATTTCAGAGGACAATACAATATAATAAGTGTTTGTTCCCATTGTAATTGTAATAGGCAGGCAGGCAAGTTTATTTGTGACAGTGACATTGAGGGTCTTAAATCCACTTAAGTTTGTAATCCAATCCAACCCAACCCAACCTGGAGATTGAGATCTGCACATCTGCAGATATCTATCTATCTATCTATCTATCTACCTATCACTTTAGTAGTAATTTTTAAGAAAAGGTATTTTCACTCTTGGAACTTTCTCCAAATAGACATGTGCATTTCAATCTTTATGTATATTTAATTAATTAAATTTTCCTTGGGAGTAATTTGACTTTTTTCTTTTAATATCTGGTTCTGGTGTACTTGAATATACATATAAATAAAGATAGAAATAACATAATTATAAGTCCGAGAGGTGTTCCCTGTTGAGAGAGAGAGAGAGAGAGAGAGAGCAGAGATATTTTTAATAATGGAAGATGTTGGAATAATGAAAACAGATGCACATGACATGACGCGTTTTTGTTATTATTTTTGGTTTGGTTCAACGTCTGTAAGAAGGGTGTGTGATTTGTGTGAATCAAAAGATGCCACACACATTATTTGCATTTTATGCATAAAAACGGTGGCGATGTAACGGACTGGTTGTTTGATGCGCCACGACCAGAAGAGAGAGAGAGAGAGAGAGAGAGAATTGGGAACCAATCAATCAATCATCGTCATCGAATCGATTGGACAGCGACGGAGCCAAATACGGGGAGTGAGGAGTCCCTTCGTGTGTGTTGCGGAGTTTGTTGTATGGGGGTGGGAATATTGGTGGATGGGGTTCGTCGCTGGATTCAACGCCTCTCAACGTCTACTCCTTCCAATATTAGTAGTAGGACCGATGAGGAGGGATTGAAGGATAAACATCGACATCCACACCCACATCAACATCAACATCCACAAGGTCTCACGATCGTTCCACATTTTGATATTTCGGGACTCAAGCTGCTCAAAGTCCCCGACCGGCTTTCCATCTCGTACATGGATCCACACAAGAAGGTTACCTTTCCCTACCCTCTACTTTTGTTATGCTGTCGAGGGCCTCCTCTATGGATCTATCTATCTATCTATCTGTATGCAATTTTTTTTTTTTTATGTATTTATTTCACTCCGTTGATCTGCCTGCACTTTTATTTCGATGTTTTGAACTAATGTTAGTTTGTGTTTTGATTTAGTCCGTGGAGCGTTTCTTCATCAATTTTCCTTGTCTTTTATTTAATTAATACATTATGGGATCGGTTGGGCCCTGGCGGTGTCTTTTGCTACATCTATGTTTCCTCCAACAACTCCTCATACCACTTTTATATATCTCTATCAAGGAGGACAATTCATTCTGTGATTGATAAGACTTGCCCCTTTCCATCCATTTACGTTGTTATTGACAAAGGGGGCAGTATAAAATTCTAATTGTGGCATCAAATTTAAGAGTTGTCAACAGTTCTCATTGAGCAACTTTTGACAGAATAATCTGGAGACAGAGTTCTTCACAGAGTATGGGGAGGCAAGTAGATATCAGATCCAAGAAGTAGTAGGCAAAGGTAGTTATGGGGTTGTTGGTTCTGCCATAGACACTCATACCGGAGAAAGGGCTGCAATAAAAAAGATCAATGATGTATTTGAGCATGTCTCTGATGCAACGCGGATCCTCAGAGAAATCAAGCTCCTTCGGTTGCTTCGTCACCCGGATATTGTTCAAATTAAGCACATAATGCTTCCTCCTTCTCGCAGAGAATTTCGGGATATTTATGTTGTTTTTGAACTGATGGAATCTGACCTTCATCAAGTAATTAAAGCTAACGATGACCTTACACCTGAGCATTTTCAGTTTTTCTTGTACCAGCTCCTGCGAGGCTTGAAATATATTCATTCAGGTTGTCATACTTTTGAGCTACATTTATTAATTTTTACATGCAACCTACTGATGTGCCTTTATTGTTATCTACAGCCAATGTATTTCACCGAGATTTAAAACCAAAAAATATACTTGCTAATGCTGACTGTAAGTTGAAGATTTGTGATTTTGGCTTGGCACGAGTGTCCTTTAATGATGCCCCATCAGCAATATTTTGGACGGTAAGTAGTTTTTCTGAGAAATTCCATTTTCCATCATTGGAGATGTAGAATGTCCTAATCTTTTTTAAATTTTATTTGCTTCTGTTGAAGGATTATGTTGCAACTAGGTGGTATCGGGCACCTGAGCTATGCGGTTCATTTTTCTCTAAAGTAAGCTAATTATTTTTCTGTGCCTACACCTTATTTTTGTCATAAAAATGTCCTGGATTGAGGAATCTGTTTTATTTGCTGCAGCATAGTTTTTTAAAGCTTTTTTATTTTTTATTTTATTTTTTATCTTTTTTATTAATTCAGGCCATCTTATGACTCTCTATCAGCTGTACTGCACTTGCATGTGTAATGTGGTTACTTAAATCATTACATGGACCTTTCAGCATGCTCCAGTTGGTAATTTGTGCAATACTCCCAAGATTTGTACTCTACTGGAGTAATGGGCTTTACTAAAATGACTTGTGAATTTCCGCAGGAAGAGATTTTTAACACATAGCAAAGTAAACTAAGCCTACTGTGAATGTGCTAGTTGTGTCCAAAACATGTTGAATTTATAGTTCCAAGGTCTTATTGGAGAAAGAACAAAATGTAACCAACAGTACTATGAGAAACCCCCCTCCCCGACCCATAGCCATCTAAACTCTTGGTAACTAACTGATCTTTCCACTAAACATATTGACTATGTTATTAAGATCTGAAGCCAAGCATATGAAGGGCATATCCTGCTCGGGGGACCCCTTCCAGTGATCTATGTCTGCACTGGTCCAAAACAAAATATGATGATAATAATAATATTTACTATATGATTAAATTTTTATATAATGGCATTGTTGTTGATGGTATTAAGGTTATTTATTGCATTCTTTTTTTGATCCAATATGGACCCAAAACACCCACCCAACAAATGTTGCTACATGACACATTTAAAAAATCATTCAAGTCCCATGTTACTCCTACAGAGTACTGTAGGCTGCATAACTTTGTTGATACAATGATTTCCATTTCCTTTATTCACATTAGAATTAAGCAGTATATAGATATATGTGATTTTTAGGCATGCACATGACCCGTATCCTCATACTGTATAAACTTTGTATGATCTTTTTGTTTGCAGTACACTCCTGCTATTGACATCTGGAGTATTGGCTGCATATTTGCTGAAATGCTTACAGGAAAGCCATTATTTCCTGGTAAAAATGTGGTGCATCAGCTAGATTTAATGACAGATTTGCTCGGTACTCCTCCTCCTGAATCTATTGCAAGGGTTAGTTAATAGTCCCATCTTCTTATTTTTTATTTAATGTAAGAAGTTTAGTTGGTGCTGATTTAAGGGATTTCGTGGACAACATTTCTTGAAATCAAAGCTCCCACAAAGCAGCAAATAATCAGTTGTTTGTTTCTTGTGGCATTTCCATTTTAAAAGAGTTTCATTGTTATTATGGCAGATCAGAAATGAAAAGGCAAGGAGGTATCTCACCAATATGCGGAAGAAACAGGCTATTCCATTTGCACAGAAATTTCCCAATGCAGATCCTTTGGCTCTTAGCTTACTAGAACGTCTTCTTGCCTTTGACCCTAAAGATAGACCGACTGCTGAAGAAGTAAGTTATGACAACGGTTAGGTTAGTTTCTTCAACATCTATGATGCTTTCCAGTGAGAAACTTACTTTTCCGTTTTTTGTTTGTAGGCATTGGCTGATCCCTACTTTCATGGGTTAGCTAATGTGGAGCGTGAACCATCAACTCAACCAATATCGAAACTTGAGTTTGAATTTGAAAGGAGAAAACTTACAAAAGATGATGTTAGAGAGTTGATTTACAGAGAGGTAGCCCTCCTTGCACTTCATTAGCTTTCCTATTACACGTTTGTTAAAGATATACACTATTTATTAATCTGGAAAATACTACACAAGTAAACAGATTCTGGAGTATCACCCTCAAATGCTTAAGGAATATCTGCGTGGTGGAGATCAGACTAGTGGCTTTATGTACCCAAGGTTAGCTTTCTTTTGCCATGGATCTTCATGCTATTTAAATTCCTATGTATTTGGTAGTTATTGATAATATGTAACTTGTATTGCATGCATCCCCCAAAGAACATTTGATGAATGCTTGATATACCCTGATCAAGTACCCACTTGTTGACTAATTTGCATTTCCTCCCTATTTACCTTTTGCTGATTGACGGAAAATTATATTTCAGATCTTCCTCCTATGCCCATGAGATAAACAAGAGCCCTTGATATGCACACCTAATCTATTGTAAAGGACATTTTGATGGACATTATTATCTTTAACAGACGAAATTTGCATTATTAATAGTTGTGACTTATTACCATTTTGCTCGTATGCAATTTTAGGTTTTCTTTTCATTATTTTTCCCTTCTATTAATTATTTAAGGTGAACAGGGGCTCTATATGCCATCTTTTGTGCTGAGGTTTTAGGAAACAGAAAAGTGCTTCAATTATTTTGATATAACAATAATTCTCGTTGACTCTCTTCATTATTCATATATTTCAGTGGGGTTGATCGATTTAAGCGACAGTTTGCTCATCTTGAAGAGCATTATGGTAAAGGTGAAAGAAGCACACCTTTACAAAGACAGCATGCTTCGTTACCTAGGTATGCAACTGACACCAATTGGTATTTTCTTTCAATATCAGTTTCATTGGTTGGCTGTTTGAACTTTGTCCATTTGCATATACTTTCTTGTATCTCATAGTGTTCCTTTGAAATGTACGAAGTTTATGCTAGTTTGAAATTTTTTTGTGGATCCATTTGTTGTGTCAGAACTCGGAGCAACAAGTACTTCTGGTTTATTGCTTAGATACACTTGCAGAAATATTTGTTACTAGGGGTTGATCGTGATGTTTAGCTGCTGTTCATTTTCTGTGGTCTCTTTGTGCTTGTGGAAAGATTAATGTCAGCTATTATTTGTAGCGATAATGAGAATGAGACAGTATGTTCTGTACCATGAGATCATGCACTTGCACTATGTTGTTGGTTTATTTGAATATGATGATACGTAATTTCCTATTGGTTTCCTTATGTATTAAGCCAATTGATACAAATGACTTGTTACTGTATACAACCTGAAGAAAACGGAAGGGAGGTGTTGTGCATGGCATATATGGGAGTCCAAAACATTATATGAGTAGATTTGTGAGTAATTTTTTATAGGAATTAACAGTCATCTATTCTGGTTACAGAGAGAGGGTCCCTGCACCAAAAGACGAAGCTGCTAAAGAGGATGATGTTGAAAATCGAACTTCCGCTGCTGTTGCTACTACTCTTGAGAGCCCACCAGGGAAAGACCAAAGTAATGGAGCTGCAGAAAATGGACCTAATAAGGGAAACCAGAGCACTCGGAGCTTGTTAAAGAGTGCTAGTATCAGCGCTTCTAAATGCATCGGTGTTAAAGAAAAGAAAGATAAAGATGTAATTTGATGCTTCTTTGTCATGGCTCACTCACAACTATGCCAGTTGCTATTAAGGTTGAATGGATGCTAAAACATTGATTGTTGTGATGTTTGACAGGAAGATACCCTGCCAGAGCACAAGGAAGAGATTGAGGGCTTGGCAGAGAAAATCGGTACACTCAATGCTTGAACATTGAATTTGCTGCAACTACCCTGGAGATAAATGGTAGTTCCGTAATCTTGAATTTTGTTGATTCATTTTTAGGATCTTTCCTTTTGGCATAAGCCATTGAGGATGTTATGTTATGTTTGCCTTTTTTTGGCTTGGTAGAGTTGAGATAGGCTAACGCTGTTGGACTGATTGTGGTTTCAACCACCTACATAGTAGTAGAGTATATATATAGTAGTATTTGTAAACTAGGGGTTGTTGGGTTGGGTTGGGTTGGGTTGGGTTGTATTGGATTGGAGTAGGTGCAGATAAGAGAGGTTGCATCATCCATCTATCTATCTATCAATTAATATATCTCCTTGTAACATTTGAACATGTGGTTTTGTTTTTTTTGTTTGGCAATGACCCACCCTGGGCACTATTTTGTGCTATTTTTGCATTCGAACTGGTGTACAATTCCAGGAATGTATATACATATAGGTCTGAAATAATAGAGGGGGGCAGATGCTGCCCATGGGGCAGGTCCATATGTGAATAAATGTTTGGATGTAGCAGTAATCCCTCCACTAGCCATGTGATTTGTCCCTTTCAGGAAATTCAATTCAAAGTTGAATTAGTAAAATGATTTTCTTGCATGTCCTTCTTTCCTTCCCATCCGATATTATCTAAATTTTACCCTTCTTGTTCAGCAGCCTGTCTGTCATCCAAGTAAATAAATGCAAGTAAACCCACCAAATGCAATTATGGAAATGATAGCTTCCTTCACAAGATTTCACCGCCATCACTGAACTAAGAATTGTAAGCTAAGCGCACATATGATAAGAGAGAGAGAGAGAGAGAGAGAGAGATGATATTATGTATGCACATGTTTTTCTGCACTTCTTAAAGCCAAAACAGTATGATTTTTCAGCAAACGAAGAAATAATCAAGTTTAGATAGATCTGTCCTATTTAGATCACATCACAGACAACCAAACAAAACAAGACCATATCCTCCAACCCAACACAACCCCCCAAATCCAATATAGCAATAGGGGCTCTAATCTATGGCCATACCCCACATTTTACCCTCATAGCCATAGTCATTAGCCACAGACAGCACCTTCTCTTCTCACATCATCTTCCTCGAAAACACACACTCTCACACACCCTTGCTTTTGCTTATTTTATTGTACGAAAAAGGAAGAGTCTACCCATCTCCAATCTCCATTCTCCTCTCAATACAGTAATATTCTTTCCCTAATATTCCCTCCCACGCTTCCCAAAGCAGCCATAGCCATGTCGTCTCTGCCTCCCCACCGCACACCTTTCTTCTACTCTCTCGTCTTCGTCCTCACCACATTCCATCTGCCATGGCAACTACCGGCCTTGCCGGTATTGCCCGACCCTGACCCGGCTACAATCCAGACCCAGACCCAGACTTTCCACCGGGCCCCACCCGCCACCATCCCCGCCTTCCCGGAGCAGGCCGAGATTTCGGCGTGCCCCCTCGACCTCCCGGAGGAACTGTTCCACGGCATCAAATCGGCCTGCGCCTCCAAGCCCCACCACAGATCAGACCCGAATTTCTACTCGGGGGAGCTCCACCGTAGCCGGTGCTGCCCTGTCCTGGCGGCCTGGCTCTACTCCGCCTATTCAAGAACCGGGTTGCGGGCATCCGCTGCCAAGGCCCCCCGCCCCGAGACGGCCGCGCCGTTCGACATGCCGGTGTTGCCGGACGACTCGGAGACGTGCGTGGACGCTCTGGAGAAGGCATTGGACAACAAAGGCGTCCAGCTCCGGAGGCCCAACGAGACCTGCGATGTGGTCTTCTGTTACTGTGGTATCAGGCTGCATCCATTCAGCTGCCCGGAGTCTTTTTCGGTCAACTCCGGTGGGCAGCTGGAGGGTGGAAAGGCCGTCAAGAAATTGGAGAGGGATTGCTCCTCCAATGGCGGCCTCGGCGGCTGCTCCAAGTGCCTCACCGCCCTTCACTTGGTACGCACACGAACCTAGGGTTTTCCAATCCCCCTCTCATCTCCTCTCTCTCTCTCTCATGGATGTTTGGGCAAGGCTGTATCTTTTTGGCTTTTGCACTGCACAAGTCACATGGTCATGTTCATTTTCCAGAATGTGGCCCCTGCTGCTCTTTTCTTGTTCCCACAATCATTTGTTTGGGTTTTGTGTAGCGATTGATCAGCGTGTAATTAATCATCATCATCATCCTAATACATCAAAACTAGGAGAGAGAGAGAGAGAGAGAGAGAGAGAGAGAGAGAGAGAGCGCACACTTGCATAATTTGCAGGAATCTTACACAATTTTGAACTTGTCATTGTTAGTGCTGCTGATATCAGCCAGCCGTATCATGGCAATTCTTTCATTTGATCTATCTAACCTTTCTGGCGATGATATGATATCCCTTTGAGCCTTCCAATTCCCTTAGCAGTCAAACTCAACCTGATCTGATCAGATCAGATCAGATCAATATAACAGGAGTATAATCTAATCGTCATAGGTTTAATTGCTAAATCTTATTAGTGCAAACTTATGCAGCTCAACGGGGATAAAGCTGGGAGAAGCAACCGAACTGAGAGGACGAGCAAAATGCACAACCGGGACTGCGAGTTGATGGGCCTAACATGGCTTCTCAACAAGGATCGCCCCGCCTACATCCACACCGTGTCTGCGGTCTTGAGGAGTCTGATGATGAGCACCAATGCTGACAGCGACAATAGCGCATCTGATCCAATGTATTGCAGCCTCAACAGCGATGGAATGCCGCTTGCGGTCGATTCCTCTGAAATTAACGACCAATCTTCGTCAAGCTTTTGGGCAATGCCAATGTCCTCTCATCCGTATCATTCTTTCCTACACGCGGGTCTTGTTTTGTTGTTGGCTTGGTATTAGGCCGATGATTGATATATGTTTGTTTTAGCTTCCTGTATTGGCGATTCATTCCATTTTGTTTTTGTATGTAAATAGAGAACCAGCCTGGGAAAGTGGCCTAGTTTTCGTCTGCCTGTCTTGCCTTTTGTTTGTTTGATTGGAAACAACTGAATTATTACAGCGACCATTCCAACATCAAGAAGCATTATAGTGAGGTTTGTGTGGCGGCATAGAATTTACTCAGGGAAGAATAACAAACGCTCTGTACATACATTATGCATATATGTTAAGCAGCTATCTTTCAAGCACTTGGGCAAATACCCTTTCCATTTCAAATGTCCACCTTCTCGGGGCTTCAAGTTTGTTTGGATGTAGGTCTTCTCAAGACTTGCATTATTTGTCATTTTTGTTCTTTCCTTGAAAGAAAATTTCAGAGTACGTATTTATGTTTTTATTTGAAATATTTAATCAGAAGTTTGTTTTTTTTTTTTAAAAAAAAAGTGAAATTAAATATTTATTCATATCATATTAAATTTATATTTTAATTTTGATTTATATTATTTTCAACGGATGAACTTACACATTTTTAAGTTGGATGAATTAGTGAATTGCATTGTGGGACAAAGATTGGCAAGTGAAAAAAATTTATATTTGTATTTCAAATTTGAATGTAGTTTTAAACAAATGATTACATATATTAATGGTATATAATATGCATATTTTATTTCTAGTCTATTCTGAAAAAGTTGTACTCAAGCAATTTCATATTACAAGAAGTTGTGATGATTTATAGGATCCATTTAACATTAGTAAGGAAGAGAATGGATGCATGGTGCTTCTTTAATCTTAATTATGGTTTTGCAGTGAGGATGAATATGTTGTATCATTACTCAATGAATATGTGAACATGCATTATGTCATGTGGTTGTTGAGCAATTGATGTTGGGGAGGGGAAGCCCAAGGGAGGCCTACGGCCATGCTATGCCTATGCAATGGTAATGTCTCTCTGTCTGTCTATAGAGTTTAGAATATGTAAGCAAGGAAGGAACGATTTCGTTTTTGCTTTTCTTTTCCACTGAAGGAAACAAAGACAAGAACAAGATCCAAATGGAAATCAGCCCAGCTAAGCGGTAAGTAAAGTGACTGCACTGCACTGCACTTCACTTCACTTGCAATTTTCAAAATCAAGGAGGAAATCAATAAAAGATTATTACAACACCACATCATGCCACCCACTTGCTTATAGTTATTGTTCTCTCCCAATCTTCCGCGCGCGCCCACACACACACGCATACTATATTACATAAAGAAAGAAACACATATCAAATCATATCATGCTCCCTCCTGCTTCCTAATTCCTCTGCCTTTCGCATTTCCCATTTCCCAGATTGCCAATTCGTTTCGTCGCTCGAGGAGAGGAGGAGACCCGTACCGAATAATGGCGGAGCTTCTGGAAACCTACGCGTGCGCCCCTTCGACGGAGCGGGGGCAAGGCATCCTGATATCCGGCGACCCCAAGTCCAATTCGATCCTCTACTGCAACGGGCGATCCGTGATCATTCGTTATCTGGACCGTCCGCTGGAGGTCAAGGTGTACGGAGAGCACGCGTACCCGGCCACCGTTGCCAGGTACTCCCCCAATGGGGAGTGGATCGCCTCCGCTGACGTGTCCGGCACCGTCCGGATCTGGGGGACCCACAACGATTTCGTGCTCAAGAAGGAGTATCGTGTCCTGTCTGGTCGGATCGACGACCTCCAGTGGTCTCCTGATGGCGCGCGCATCGTCGCCTGTGGTGATGGCAAGGGCAAGTCCTTTGTCCGCGCCTTTGTGTAAGCCTCTCTTTCATTTTCAGATCAAATGTCTTCTTTCCCTTCCCTTCCCTTCCCTTACCTCTTACCTTATGTGTTGCTGGAAATGGTTTGTTGGTGTCTGTCAAGATTCGAACTTTGTATGGCTGGAAACTTTTCGGTTGATATTAAGATTATTCTGATCTTTCATGTCATCATGACAGTTGGGCATGAGTTTGTGTGGCAACTGGGCCTTTGATTTAGATTCTTGGAGTTGTAAGAAGAATTTCTTTTGTGCACCTTCTGAGATTCATAGGACCTCCCTGCTGGGCATCTTGACAGCATTACATTTAGTTTGTGTGATTTCTGTATCATGATTGAGGGATGCTCTGATTCACGTATTGATTGAATTGAAGTGATCAAATTGCGGAAAGCCTTTATTCTCTGCTTCAACCATGTTAGTTAACCCTGCAAAAGATGCTTCTAGTTCTAGATAATAAGCTCCCAATTTCCTATTTCCTCGGTGACATCCTTATTCTTGAAGCACAAAATCAAATGTGTAGTTTGTTTGATGGCATATGTACGCTGCTCGTAGTTCATTTAAGTATGATGTGATTGAATTAGTAATTCCATTGTACCATTGCATGATACTGTGTTCTTATTTGCAGGTGGGATTCAGGAAGTAATGTTGGAGAATTTGATGGTCATTCTAAAAGGGTTTTAAGTTGTGCGTTTAAGCCATCAAGACCATTCAGAATTGTAACATGTGGCGAAGACTTTTTGATCAATTTTTATGAAGGACCTCCCTTTAAGTTCAAGCTGTCTCACAGGTTTCTTATTTCTTCATTTATGAGAATTGGAGCCTGTTTTATACTTACAACAACGGAAACAACATTGCGATAATTTTACAGTTCAGATATCAGATATTTTTATCCTTTTTTTCTTTCTTCAAAGACTGATATAGAAGATAGTCATCATTGCATTGAGAAATTCGTGAGCCCTAAGAGGAAAAACCTATTAAATAGAAGCACAAGATTTACTCAGTTTCTTTGACATTTTAATTTTTAACACCTGTCTATTTGATCCTTTGGTGGCCCTTTTTTTTTTTTTGCATGTTTCTAATAGTTAGGGGGACAACTTTCTTCTTCATTGTTGTGTTGTGAACTATTTTTTTCCCTTTACTGTTTATGTTTCTGCCTTTTGATTTAGTGGTATTTGGCCTCCAGGGATCATTCAAATTTTGCAAATTGCATTCGCTTTTCTCCAGATGGAAATAGATTTATTAGTGTAAGCTCTGACAAAAAGGGATTGTTATATGATGCTAAAACTGGAGAGAAAATTGGAGAGCTGTCTTCTGAGGATGGACACAAAGGCAGCATATATGCAGTTAGTTGGAGTCCTGACAGTAAAATGGCAAGTCTGATACATTTAATCACATATTGTTGATATTTCTGAAATGATTTTATATTGGTTCCATGTATCTGCTTATTCTGTGCCGAGGCGGAAAAAAACGAAAATAATCTTTTATCTCTTATATATAAGTTCACTATGCATGGAGGACAATGCAATTTTTTTCTTTCTTACTAGAAAACTATCTTATGACTTGGAGCGTTGATATTTGAGGAATTGCTTCTCTAAAGCTAAATTTTTGGATGTTAAGAATGAGATCACCATTGCATGTTTTGGGAACAAGTTTCAGAAGTTCAGCTCATTGTGTTTCGCTAAATCATTTAGGCACTCATGTAAGTTGAACTTAATATATATAGCAAAGTCCCAAAGTGAAGTTACAGGTTTGTATCTGTTTTATTTGTGAGAATGAGAGGTGAAAAATTAGGGACCTTTTTAGTACTAGTAACCATTAATGTCTTTTCTGTTGTTATGGCTTATCTGTAATCCGGTATGTATTTAGAGCTTCTGGAGAAGCTCTGAAAGCATGAATTACCTCTACATAAACTAGGTGTCACTGAATGCACAGTAGCTGTTTATAATTCATAGATAGATCTATGCATATGTTACATCGTGGCACTTTCTCTCTTTTGCGTGGTATACAGCTGTGTTAACCATTATAGCATATTTTCAGGTGGTAACCGTCTCTGCAGACAAGTCTGCTAAATTGTGGGAGATATCCGATGACAATACCGGAAATGTGAAGAAAACATTGATCTGCCCTGGTTCTGGTGGAGTGGATGATATGTTGGTTGGATGTCTTTGGCAAAATGATTACATTGTTACTATTTCTCTTGGTGGAACTATATACATTTACACAGCCAGCGATCTTGAAAAAGCTCCGCTAGAATTAGCTGGACACATGAAAAATATTAGTGCCCTTTCTGTGGTGAAAAGTGATCCCCAATTCATACTGACGGGCAGTTATGATGGCTTACTCCTTAAGTGGGTTCAGGGCACAGGATGCTATGGAAAGTTAGAGAGGAATGTGACTTCCCAAATGAAATGTTTTGCAGCCGTTGAACAAGAAATTGTATCGACGGGATTCGATAATAAGGTTAGAAAATGAGTCAATTATGCCGGTTTGTTTGTTTTCTCTGCACTGTTGTAAAATCTTTCTTTTACATTTGTTATTTGAGAAAGGTATGGAGGTCTTCCCTGCAAGGAGACCAATGCGGGGAGGCAGACAGCGTTGATATTGGCAATCAGCCCAAGGACCTGAGTCTTGCCCTTGTTTCTCCCGATCTTGCATTGGTATCCATTGAAACTGGGGTTGTGTTCCTCCGCGGCACAAAAATTGTGTCCACCATTGACCTTGGATTTACAGTGACAGCGTGTGCAATTGCGCCAAATGGAGATGAAGCTATTGTTGGCAGTCAGGACGGGAAATTACACGTCTACTCTGTTGCAGGCGACAGTTTGAATGAAGAGGCAGTGCTTGAGAAACATCGGGGAGCTATCACGGTCATCCGCTACTCTCCGGATGTTTCCATGTTTGCGTCGGCAGATGCAAACCGAGAAGCCACTGTATGGGACCGTGCTTCCCGCGAGGTGAAACTTAAGAACATGCTATACCACACGGCGCGCATAAACTGCCTGGCATGGTCCCCGGACAGCAGCATGGTGGCCACGGGGTCACTGGACACTTGTGTCATAGCATACAGATTAGATAAGCCAGCGTCGAGCCGGGTAACCATAAAGGGAGCGCACCTGGGCGGGGTGTACGGATTGGGGTTCACAGACGAGACAACGATGGTCAGCTCGGGCGAGGATGCATGCATCCGGGTGTGGAAGGTAACAGCGCAGGACTAGTATTTGAATTTTCTGTGTTTCTTTTCTTGCCATAGATATAAATATAAATATTGATGAGCTTGTTTTGGTTCTCGTGGAAAGAATAATGTAACAGTAATAGGCAGAGTGAGTGTGTGTTTTGTGTGCTGTTTGAAATGGTGCGTGTGTTGTAATCGCGGATTTTGTGTGCAAGATGCTTCATTTGTATTTTTGTTTATGGTATTTGGTTTGTGGTGATATTAGCATGGCTTAGCTTAGGTAGCAGAGTGAGAGAGATGAGATGAGATGAGATGGCAATGAAGCAGCAGCAGCAGCTGAAATTACGATGAGGTGATGAAAATTCCGTAGTCCGAGGAGAGGAGATGATATCATTTAGGAAGTTGGAGAGAGAACAAGAGAGAGATGATGACTGAGGAGGAGGAGGACCATCATTAGTGTGGAGTGGAGTGGGGGAGGAGAGAGGATCACGTCACCGTCACCGTCACGTGTCAAGTTGGGTTGGGGGGGTAAGGTAATAATTGTACTTTCTTCCTCCTTCAGCCCAGCCAGCCAGGGACCAATCACCAATCACCAATGCCTTCCTGCCTATGTATCTATTTGCTGCCTATTGCTCTTTTTTCTTGGATCCAACAAGGAAGGGAAAGATATGGATAATGTGGCATGGCGAGTGAGTGATGGGGTTGGTTGGTTGGTTTTACATTTACATACATACATTAAAGCAATTTAATTTAATGAATGGGTATCCGTGGACTCCTATAATAGAAATAGAAATAGAAATAGAATCAGAATCAGAATAGAATGTGTGCAGATAATGAATGGAATGTGTGCGTGAAGGAGGGGAGGGCAGGGCAGGGCAGGGTCAGTTAGTTGGTTGTCAACAGGGATGGGAACATTCAGAGAGCAAAACAAGCGAGAGGCCAATAAATAAACATACAAACAAAACATGCAGCAGCAATCTTCTCCTTACAGCACGCAATTTCTGACTGCGGCTGCGACTGTGTAACGGAAAATGTATCTATCCATCCATCCATCCATCTAAATTTGGGGAGTAGCCGAAACAGTGAATCGGGCGGCCGTGAATTGATACTTTCCTTTCCTTTCCTGGTCTATAAATAGACACCGAGCCAAGTAGGAAGTACCACGCCACAAACTATAGTTTGTGTAGTGAAGCCGAAGACGAAGATGACGAGCAAGGGCACTCCTCCATCGCCATCATTGCTCCTCTTGTTTGTTCTTGTTCTTCTAGGTCTGTTCTCATCACCATGCTCCTCCTCCTCCGGTCTGAGCCGCAGCAACTTCCCGAAGAACTTTGTGTTTGGGACAGCGGCGTCGGCTTACCAGGTGGAGGGCATGGCCAGCAAGGACGGGCGCGGCCCCAGCATTTGGGATACTTTCATCAAACAACCTGGTATTTCTTCTTCTGTACGAATTGAGTACTGAGTATTACTAGACTAGGCTACTTTGGATTCCATTATTGATTTTGTTTTTGACTTGGGACACAGGGCGCGAGCCCAACAATGCTTCCGGGGAGGTGTCGGTGGATCAGTATCACAAGTATAAAGTAAGGCTTCTTTTCCACTCCCAACAACAACAACAACTGTTTATTACTACTACTACTACTCCTCTTATTATTTATGTCCGAACAACAACAACAACAATCAATTATTCTATTGAGATTTCCGCCTCATTAATCATCCTCCTCCTGTCTTCCAGGACGACCTTGATCTTATGGCGAAGCTCAATTTCGACGCATACAGGTTTTCGATTTCATGGCCCCGGATCTTCCCAAGTAACCTACCTAGCCATAATCATATCATCTGAAACATCACATCATATAATACACACACACTTTACATACAATATAATGATTGATGATGATTCATGCTCTTGAAAACTTTGTAATGGTGGTAGATGGAACTGGAAAGGTGAACTGGAAGGGAGTGGCTTACTACAATAGACTAATCAATTACATGCTCAAAAAGGGTAAAGGAGCAAACCTCTTTCTTACTAGATATATGTGGATCCATGATGATGATGATGATGACGATGTAGTCGAGTCCTAATCACTCTACGTAGGTATCACGCCGTATCCCAATCTGAACCACTACGATCTTCCTCAAGCTCTTCAGGATCGCTACAAGGGGTGGCTGAGCCATGAAGTAGTGTAAGTGTGGAGAATAATGTGTGTGTGTAATATAATAGAATATAATGTAACATGAATGTGTGTTTGTGGGTGATTGATGCAGAAAGGACTTTGCCGACTACGCGGATTTCTGCTTCAAGACATTCGGGGACAGAGTGAAGAACTGGCAGACGTTCAATGAGCCCAGAGTGGTGGCCGCACTTGGATACGACAACGGCTTCTTTGCACCGGGGAGGTGCTCCAAAGCGTTTGGGAATTGCACCGAGGGGGATTCCTCAACTGAGCCTTACATCGTTGCTCATAATCTCATTTTAAGCCACGCAGCTGCTGTTCAGCGATATCGCCAAAAGTATCAAGTAATGAATAATTGACCTAGTTAGTTAGTAACTACTGGAGTAGTAACATCGCTTCAGTGGTGGCTATAACTTTGGATTGGATCGGATCGGACTTATTGCAGGCAAAACAGCAGGGGAGGATTGGAATCCTACTCGATTTTGTTTGGTACGAGCCCCTCACTAGGTCCAAAGCAGACAACTATGCTGCTCAACGCGCCCGAGATTTTCACATCGGATGGTAAAGATTAGAATACTCACTGCCACCAAATCACTAGTAACACGCAATCCTGTCCTGTCCTCACTTGCTGAAAAGGCAAGATGTGTTTGTTTGTTTGTTTGTTTGTTTGTTCATGTAGGTTTTTGCATCCTCTGGTGTACGGAGAGTATCCAAAAACAATGCAGAACATCGTGGGGAAAAGGCTGCCAAAGTTCTCAGGGGATGAGGTGAAGATGGTTAAAGGATCGTTCGATTTTGTGGGGATAAACCAATACACGGCATACTATATGTACGACGCGAAGCAGCAAAATGCAACCAACCTGGGGTACCAGCAGGACTGGGACTGTGGATTTGCCTGTAAGTGACCGTGACCGACCTGTTTGCTGGTGTTGGTTGCTTCCATAATAAGTTTGTTTAGTAGTAATTGTTGTTAAGGTTGCTGACCTGAGCATTTGATCCAACTGACTCCTTGGCAGATGAGCGTAACGGAGTGCCGATCGGGCCAAGGGTAAGCGAGCGAGCAAGTTATGGTGATGATGATTTATGTACATAGGTAGGTAGAGAGAGATAGAGAATGAATGAATGGATGGATGAATGTGGCAGGCGCACTCGGATTGGCTTTACATGGTGCCGTGGGGGCTGTACAAGGCGGTGAGCTACATCAAGGAGAGGTACGGGAACCCGGAGGTGATCCTGGCGGAGAACGGAATGGATCAGGCGGGCAACCTGACGCTGCCGGCGGTGCTGGAGGACACAGTGAGGATCAACTACTACGCGAGCTACCTGGAGGCGCTGAGGAGGGCGATGGCGGAGGGGGCTAACGTGAGCGGCTACTTCCAGTGGACCTTCGTGGACAACTTCGAGTGGAGGCTGGGCTACACCTCTAGGTTTGGGATCGTCTACGTCGACTTCCACACGCTCAAGAGGTACCCCAAGAAGTCCGCCGAATGGTTCCGCCGCCTGCAGCAGAGGAATTAGACTGACAGACATTCTCATCAGAACAATCCCAATCCCAATTCCCATCATCGTCATCCCATCTCATCTACTGCACTGCACAACACTAATTTACTGCTTGCTTGTTTTTTTGTCTGTCGTCTGTAGTGCAGCAGTAGTTGTTGTTTCTGCCTCTCTCTCTCTCTCTCTCTCTCTCTCCCTCCTTTTGGACATCATCATCATCACCATCATCATCAGTCGATCAATAAAACCCCGTGATCATAGATAATCAGCGCCTGCAAATTAAAATTTGAATTGACGAGTGCAATGGAGTGGGCTCTCTCGCTCCCTCCCTCCCTCCCTCCTTCCGGTTCCATTTCTTGTAGCAGATTTGCATGCTGTTACGTTGGGAGTTGATGATTCAACAATCTCATGTTATCATTACTACTAGTATTTACCTGGGTCGTCTTTTATTTCAAAAATATTATGCTCATATCTAGCTGTATCAAAAATAATTAAGTTGGTGATGGTGTGACTTGCCTGCCCTAGTTTGTAGGTTCACCCGGTTTTCTAGGTAGGTAGCAGTTGCCTATTCTCAAATTATCAAAAATAAATAAAATAAATAATAATATACTGTATAATTAATAGATAATTAAAAATATATCAGTAAAAATAATTATTTTATAATATAAATAATTATAAATTAAAATTAAAATAACTAATTAGTTTAATTAAAATTTTAAAAAAAAATTTAAAAATTTAAAATGAGATTAAAGTGTGTAATTATTTTAAAAAAAGGAAAATAACCGATATTTGGGACAGACAAAAACTACAACCCTGGAGATAATATCTGGGACGGAAGGAGTAATAATTAACTTGGAGTTAGCTAGCTAGCTGTGTGCCTTTTGTTGTACAATTGATTTTATTTGAGTAACAAGATTATTTTATTGTTATTAATTTATTAATATGTACCATTTATTTTAAAATATTAAAAATTAATATATTATTATAAATAAGTTTATAAGTAATAAATATAAATATATTTTAAAAATTTGAAAATAATAAATAACTCTTATTAAAAAAATGAGATAAATACATATATATATATATAATATCAAAACAACTCTAATTATGTTTATTTTATATTGATATTAATGATTTTTATTTTTTTCCAGGTAAATAATATACCAAGTAGTTAAATTAGATTACTAAAATAGCAGTAATAATGTGAAGAAGGCGGCATTCCTTCTCTTCTTCTTCTTCTACTTTCTTGTCTAGGTTTTGGTTTTGCTTTTTGGTGACGAAGTGAGGATGAGAAATTAAAATCCAGTCGGTCGGCTACAACCACAGATATACTGCTATATATATATATGGGGGCAAAACATGCTGCCGCCAATTCTCTCCTGGCGCCCCCCTCCCCTCCCTTCCAATAAACCCTAAGCTCCTCGATCCTCCTCAATTTTCGACATGGCTTCTCCCGACGAAGCCGTGTCAGATTCTGATTCCGACGACGGGTTCAAGGCCGATTTAGATGCTCTCGGGAGAGCTTGCCGATTAACCGGCAAAAACCCAGACGATAATCCGCTTCCGCAGTCGCGCCCCGGCGCCGGCCATCTATCCGAAAGTGGGGACTCCGATGGGGACGATTACGGTGCGGATGACCTTCAATTGGTGCGCAGTATTCAGGATCGCTTCGCAATTGACGAAGAGTCTCTGTCCGCGAAACCTTTGTGTATGTTGCCGGCTGATTGGTCTGATAGCGATAATTGTGAGGATGATTACGAGACCCTCCGAGCCATCCAGCGTCGGTTTTCCGCGTATAATGACGGTAAACTCTGATAGAGTCGTATTGTTTTAATTCAGTCCTATGGCTTCTTTGCCTCTCCCACTATAAGTTTTCGTATTGATTTGAAAGTTATTTCGAAATTCTATTTGCTTGCTACCTTGTCGCAATTTGGAAAGAAGTTTGCTCTTCGGCTTGCATGTTTTACCAAAGATTGTAAAGATTACCGTTTGGTTTTGGTAGTGATGTGTATTAGCAGAGGCGAGACCCTTTTTGTGATTTTCAATGAGAGTAACTTGTGGCATCTTCATTTTGCATGATCAGATACAGGGGGCTTGAAAGCCTATGGGGAAGACATTACTTTTAGTCCTGTGCAGGTGGGTGCTACTATTATAAGTTCAGAAAAGGAAAGTACCAATAGATTTGTCGAGAGAACTAATGCTCGAGAAGGGTTTCTGAATTGTGTAGATGCAAGTGAACCTCCTGTCCAGAGTTCCAAAGCATGTGATGATGCTGGCGGAAGACAAACTTCTGATTTTGTTGAATGTAATGGACCAGTAACTGATGACTTGGCTAATTTGCCCATTCAAACCTCTCACTTCCCAGATTCTGCCTTGGTATTTATTGATGCTATCAAGAAAAATAGATCTTGTCAGAAACTTTTAAGGAGTAAGATGCTGCAGCTGGAAGCTAGGGCTGAAGAACTCAAAAAGCTCATCAATCGGGTCAAAATCCTGAAAGATTTCCAGCTCGCTTGTAAGAGGAAGACCGGACGAGCCCTGTCACAAAAAAAGGATCCTCGTGTGCAGTTAATATCTGTGCCAAAACTAAGGGCAACTAAGAAGGTTTTTCTATTTTTTGCATTTTACCTTGTTAACTGCAGTTTATCTTGTTCATTTGTGGCAGATTTGGTTTTATTTTCCCACAGTTAGTTTTTTTATTGTTCTTATCCATCAAATTATCCTCTGCTAAAATATTCTGAATGTTACTGGATTTTACTTATTGAAGTCATTCATTTTGATTATCAAACTTCATTTGGATTCCTGCAGTTTAATGAGAATAAAGTCCCTGCTGCTTATAAGGGTCCTCCTGAGAATATACATGTTACTGATTATAAGGAGACATTGGAAAGGTTTGCCGTCTCTGTTAATCTGGAGAAATGGTCAAAGGAAGATAGAGAAAAACTTTTGAAGGGAGTGAAACAACAGTATCAAGGAATGTTGCTGCAGCAATCTGTTGATGGACTTAGGTATGATTTCTCATGGAGAGTGTTGTGTCATGGACATTACTGTGAGAAGCATGTACACATTCATGTTTTTTGCTTTCACTAGGTGGTTATTTACATGTCCTTTGCATGTCATTTGATATGGCGGTGGTTATCATGATCTTCTAATCCTACAGCGCTGATACTAAAAACTCTTAGGGAGCAGTCAACATAATTAATTTGTGTCGCAGTATATTATAGTTGGGAAAAATTGGAGGCATTGTGAGAATTAAACTGTTCTGGGATATGGAAATTCATAAGTTGATCCAGCTCTCCATTGAGCCTGATATTTGTAAAATAAATACTGGCCTTCATGTCTTTGCATATTTGGATATGTGCACGCTTCTGATATTTTCCTTGTTCAAGATTTATGCATAGCTGTAAAACATTGTCTGTTTTCTTGCAGTGATGCAGATGGATCATATGGTTCTAGTAATGTTGATAGCATCATGGGATCCATTAAAGACCTCGATGTAACACCAGAGAAAATACGATCATTTTTGCCTGAGGTCAATTGGAATCAACTGGCTTCTATGTATGTCCCTTCCCATTCTGGTGCTGAATGCCAAGCAAGGTAAAGTTGGAATAGTATTCTAAGAGATATGATGTTTTAACAACAATCATACTTCATAAATGTTGGTGGAATGGTTGACGGTATGAACAGACACAATACCTTCTCACATTACTCACTACCATGAACAATAGCATAATAGGATTTGGTTAAGTGTGATCATTTGTCATGATAGTTGTTCGTTGGAATCAATTGATAGTGTGATGCTTGTGAGTATGTGGTAGTTCTGTTTATCAGTATGTTTACACAACGCAAGTGCATAAATAAAAGAAACATGCTATCAACAATTTGTCGTAGCCAACATTTCAATAATTAAGAGAAAGTGTTAGGAGTAAAGAAATTACACTCAACCTAACCTTCATGACTATATGATGATTAATCACATACATTGCACATGTGTGTGGATCACACTCATTTATGAATTGCAACTTCTTGCCTTTCAGGTTTCTGAACTTTGAGGACCCTTTAATCAATCATAACCCATGGACTACAATGGAGGACAAGAATCTTTTGCATATTGTACAACAGAAGGGAGTAAGTAATTGGTTAGATATTGCTGCATCACTGGGGACAAATAGAACACCGTTTCAGTGTCTAGCACGCTATCAAAGGAGTCTTAACGCTTCTATACTCAAAAGAGAATGGACAAAAGAGGAAGACGACCAACTTCGAGCTGCCGTGGAAACTTTTGGTGAGAGTAATTGGCAACTTGTTGCATCTGTGCTGGAAGGACGAGCTGGTACCCAATGCTCTAATAGGTCAGTTAACATACCCATTTTTAGCTCTTACATGTTTGCAGCTTTAGTAGGAACCCTTCATGATAATATGTTGTTGCATCTCATGGTGACGATTCAGATGGTTGAAAACTCTTCATCCAGCAAGAAGAAGAGTTGGAAAATGGACTGAAGAGGAAGACAAACGCTTGAAAGTTGCTGTAACACTATTTGGTGCAAAAACATGGAAAAAAGTAGCTAGTTGTGTTCCAGGTCGAACACATGTGCAGTGCAGAGAAAGGTAATCTTTCAACAGCCTAATCGTATTTAAATTCTTGAATTTAGCGATTATACATGCAGAGGTGTGGATTGATATGGAAATGGGCATTCATTGGTGTCAGATGGGTAAATTGCTTGAATCCTTCCCTAAACACAGCTGAATGGTCGGAAGAAGAAGATTATAAACTGGAAGTAGCCATTAAAGAGCATGGATACTGTTGGTCCAAGGTTGCTGGTTATATTCCTCATCGAACAGATAATCAGTGTTGGAGGTATCTATAATAGACCAAATACTTTACATCCCCACACATCAAATACTATCCAGTTTCTTTGTATCTGGTTGACTATATCTCCTGATTTTAAATTATTAGGAGATGGAAGGTATTATTTCCAAATGAAGTACCCCGCCTTCAAGAAGATAGAAAAATACAAAGGGCTGCATTAATATCAAACTTTGTTGATAGGGAGTCTGAAAAACCTTCCCTTGGACCCAATGACTTTGTATTGCCAAAGCAAGAATGTATAACTGGATCTGAAATTGTTGGTTCTTCCACAACGCAAAAGAGAGGATCAAGGTATGATTTTTAGGTAATGAAACTTGCCATCTTTCTAAATGTGGGAATAGTACTGATTCCCTGGTCTTTTACAGGCGAAGGAAGGCAGGTGAACTTGTTGTAGTACACACCCCTTCCAGGTAAAGCCTTTGTTCCTTTGTTCCCTTGCTTTTCCTTTAGCGGAGCCACTGTCTCTCTCTCTCATTCATGTTAAATTATTTTTCATGCTGCAGTAAGATGTGTTCGGGAGATATTCCATGTTTAACAAATGATTGTCTGGTTGAAAATGTGCAACATAGACCAAGATGCACCAATAGGAGAAGAAGGGGTGAACAAACACTTGCAATTGAAAAACATAGCTCAACAAGCAAGCTGTCTCCATCTCCTTCTCCAGATACAGTGTTAACTGTTGCATCCAGATGTGAAGATGTGGGATCATGGTGAGATACAGCATTGCAAATTGCTTCTGTCATGATTCTTTCTTGCATAGCTCACTGTCCGCACTTGTTGCAGTGTAAAATCCAAATCACTATATGTTGACGACCATGCACCCAGCGCAGCTGATGAAGGGCATATGGGGGCGATTGATCAGCAGGTGGTGGACCATGAATTGCTTGGTGGAATGGAAGAATATTCACTAGAATCATTTGTCAATCTGCATCCGGATGCAGAAGCTGTGGGTGGTGGGCCTGCTACCAGTAAAAGTTACAAGGCTTCCAAGCTGCAGCCGAGGAGGCGAAATTGTAGAACCCTAGAGGAAGGGCCACCGGAAGTGCGTGCACAAAGCGGAGATGGAGCCATGTCAAAGACCAGAAAGAGGAGCGGGAAGAGGTCTGATCTTACAAATGATCAGAGTTCACATTTCCCAAACACGACCTCAACCTCACCGATGAGTGTTGGTGAAGAGGTGGGAGTCGATTGTGGAGCTAAAGGTAGGAAAAGGAGGCGGAAGTGTGAAGAAATATGTTCCAGTATTGATTGTGCATCTCTGGCTGTTGATGGCCAAAATGCGATTGCGACAGCAGCAGCAGCAGTTGATGGAGATGAACCATCTTTATGCCAGAGTGCAGTAGTCGTGTGGGGTGATATGGAGGATCTTAGTGTGTATTCTTCTGACAGGGAAAATGATATAATAAGGCTGTCTGAGACTGGAGATAGCAATGCAGCCCCCGCCCCCGCCCCAGCCCCAGCCCCAGCCTCACTACTTGTAGTACAAGGAGGAGGAGGAGGAGCAGATGGAGCGCGAAGGAATGGTGATCCTGGTAAATTGGTGGGGAATTCTCACCAGGCACCGAGCAGCTCTGCTGGTGCAGTTATACCTGAAAAGCGAAGAGGTAGAAATGGCAGCAGCAGCAGCAGCAGTAGCAGTAGTTCCGGAAATGGGCGGTTGGAGGAGGAGGAGGAGGAGGATACAACTCTGGCTGCTCTATACCAAAAGCTGAAGAAAAGGAAATTCAGGACCAGAGCAGAGCACAAGCACAGCACAGCAAAGGAGAGGTCCCTCCCCCCTCCCAAAAACTCAAAAACAATAGCAATAGCAAATAGCAATACATAGTCCTATTTTTGCAGAAGAGAGGCAGAGAGAGAGAGAGAGAGGGAGAGAAAGAGGCGTGGATGGGATTGGGACTGGTGGGGCACGAGGAATGGATATGAACGGACGGATCCGCTTACTTTTTAATCTATATCTGTGCCCTCTCAAAATTAGGGTTGGGTTTGCAGGGAATTCTCGTTTCTTTGGTCCATTCCAGTTATATGATATTTTATTTTATTGTTTAATTTGATTTGATATATTAGTGTCACCCAAGTTAGAAGAAAATATGGGCCTATAATTGGGTTTGTTGGACTGATCAAGGGGTGTTTCGAGAAAATCGGGTTAAATAGATGTATTTCTAAGGAAATTATAGGTCGGAAGGTCCGCAGGTCGGAAAGTCCGCAGGTCGGATAGTTTACAAGTCGGAAAGGTCGGATAGTTTACAAGTCGGAAGGTCCGCAGGTCGGACAGTTTATAGGTCGGAAGGTCCGCAGGTCGGACAGTTTGTCGGTCGGGAGGTCTGCAGGTCGGATGGTCAGTGGGTCGAACGATATGCAAGTCGGAACGTCTGTGGTCGGGCCAACAAGTCGGGTGATCCGTAAGTGGGGAGGTTTGCGGCTGGACCAATAAGTCGGTTGGTTTGTGGTTGGATAGGCAAATCGGTTGATTCACAGTTGGATAAGTGAATTGTTGGTTATTGTGGAGGTCAGATGCCGCGGAAGGCAAGTGAGAATAATAGCTTGGTCGGCTGAGAACACGTGTCAGCGAAAGAAGGGTTAGCGAACGGTTGAGATGAGGCGTATGCGTTGTAATCGTTCGGATTAGGATGCAATTGACAAAGAATCTTCAATCATCTTCAAACGACAGCAAAGTCAGTGGTTTGGAGATCATTATTTAAATTTTCAGTTTCAATTTTTTATTTTCCAATTTATTTTGTGTATTGTGCAGTGGTTGGTCAGAGGTTCCTAAATATATCAAAATTCGAAAATAATTTCACTTTTTTTTTATTATTGTTGAAAAAATAGATAAACAATTATTATTATTATTATTATTATTATTCAATCAGCAGCCCCTCTATATGTCACTCTCTCCCTCGTCTCAATTTTTAGCCGAAAGGTATGCATGCATGCATATTTGTTGATTTACAAGTCTTGACAGAGCGTATGTTAATGGGAAATGGGGGTATTGGGATCTCGTCAGTCCATCTGTCTATTTTCTTTTCTTTTCTTTTCTTTTTTTTTTCTTTTCTTAATTTATGTACATACTGTTTTATTAGTTGTACTTCTCCTCCTCCTCTCATCCTGTTAGTTAAGGTTGTTCCTATTCTTGCGCAGCTCTTTTCGGTTATTTGGTATTCAGAGGCAAACCGGACCGGACCGGACCGGTCGTGGCCCGCTCCCCTCGAAAACCCTAAAATTGATGATTGGATATATATAGAGAGAGAGTAAGAGGGGCTTGATTTTGGTACTTGTTGTTTTGTGTTGTTTGCCTGCTGCCTGCCTCGTTCTCCTCTCGCTCGCTCGCGCTGTAAACCCTAACAGCCTTTTTCCGATCGCCAATGGCTCAGGAGCAACTCGTCCTCCGCGGTACCATGCGCGCCCACACCGACTGGGTCACCGCCATCGCCACCCCTATCGACAACTCCGACATGATTGTCACCTCCTCCCGCGACAAGTCCATCATCGTCTGGGCTCTCACCAAGGAGGACAGGACCTACGGCCTCGCGCGCCGCCGCCTCACTGGCCACTCCCACTTCGTCCAAGACGTTGTCCTTTCCTCTGACGGCCAGTTCGCGCTCTCCGCTTCTTGGGACGCTGAGCTCCGGCTTTGGGACTTGAACACTGGCAAAACCACTCGCCGCTTTGTCGGCCACACCAAGGACGTTCTTTCCGTCGCCTTCTCCGTCGACAACCGTCAGATCGTTTCTGGTTCCCGCGATAAATCAATCAAGCTCTGGAACACGCTCGGGGAGTGCAAGTACACCATCCAAGACCAAGACGCCCACTCCGATTGGGTGTCCTGCGTCAGGTTCTCCCCCAACACCTTGCAGCCCACCATCGTCTCTGCCTCCTGGGATAAGACTGTCAAGATCTGGAATCTGAGCAATTGCAAGCTGCGCTCCACATTGGCCGGCCACTCTGGCTATGTCAACACTGTTGCAGTGTCGCCGGATGGTTCCTTGTGTGCAAGTGCTGGGAAAGATGGGGTGATTCTTCTCTGGGATTTGGCGGAAGGCAAGAGGTTGTACTCGCTGGAGGCAGGCTCCATCATCCATGCGCTTTGCTTTAGCCCCAACAGGTACTGGCTTTGCGCCGCAACGGAGTCTAGCATCAAGATTTGGGATTTGGAGAGCAAGAGTGTGGTTGTGGATCTCAAGGTGGACTTAAAGCAGGAGAGTGAGATGGATTCGGAAGGGACCCAAGCTTCTGCGGGGAAAAACAAGGTACTTACTGAACATGATTATGCACAACGGTTTCATTGATGATTTTTTTGTTTGTTTGAAATTATTTGTTTTAAATGTTTTTGATCTTTAGGAAATTATAATGATTAATCATATGTCCAGATTGGCATAAAATTTGACTTGACATCTATTGGTGTTTTTACTTCCTTAGGTTTCATGTGTCAGGTTTAGTGTGTAGAAGCTAAAGCATGCATCTCCGGTTTTATTTTGTGGGTGCATGCTTTTGTTCTTTGTAGGGCTTTTAATTTTCTAACTTGATTGATACAAGCAATTTAGCACTGTGGATTTATTTTCTCCAAGGATGATCACGATGGCCATTTTAATTCAATTTATATGTCGTCCTTGTAGTTTCCATAGTTGATCGGTCAAGATCCCATTTCCTCATGATGAACTGTTTATGCTTGTGTAGACAGAATGATGCATCATAGTTGTATGGCACTGTTTTATGTTTGAAGTTGTACAGAGGACTGTCAATGTAGAGTTTGTGCTCTCACTCAGCGGTGATCTTGTAAACAAAACAAAACAAAGGCTGCTTTCCTATGTGGATTCTGATTGATTGAATTTTTTTTGGTGCAGATCATATACTGTACCTGCCTCAACTGGAGCGCTGATGGAAGCACTCTTTTCAGTGGTTATACAGATGGTGTTGTGAGAGTTTGGGGAGTTGGACGTTACTAGAATATGCTGCTGCTGCATTTATTGGAGTTTTTTTGTTTTTACATTGATGTTTAATTTTCTGCAAAAGTTTCAAGTTCACAACAATGGAAGAGGATGTCTGGACTCGCTCTCTGTGTCATTTGTTCTCAAGGCCTTGGCTTTTTGAATTTTGAGTTGGTATTTTTGCATACATAACTTTTATGAGTATTGGAAGATGTTAACTAACACGGGTTTTGGTACGTTACACTGGGGTCTTGAGAGGTGTGTGCTGCATGTTTTGCTGCTGCTCCCGATCCTGATCCTGAATGAGATACTGTTTCTTTCTCCTTGGTGTGTTGGTTTGCAATGCGCATGAGGGGAGTGGGTGATTGATCACCTATTTATTAACTGTGAATGTGGTGGTTAACCATTGGCATTAGCATTATCATGGAATGAATGCATGTTTGCCTACACAGACTGCAATGCAATGGGATGGGTGGATGGATGGGAAGAAGAAAGAAAATATGATTCTGATTCTGGTTGTGGTTGTGGTTGTGGTTGTGATACTCGGTGAGTGGATGTGTGAATGAAAGTTGAGGGTGATAGAAAACCAGCAACCTGCTGCGCTGCCATCATTCCTTGTATTATTTTATAAAACACAGACACCACCACATAACTTGAAGGAGGGGTGGGGGTAAAAAAAGTGATGTGATTAGATTGGATGATGATGATGAATTTCTCCAGTCCTTGCAAATAATGAGGTAACCAAAATAATGTATGCATGGGCAATAGGTAGGTTGGTGGGGTGAGCCCAGCGCGGTAGAGCTGCTATCTGATTAGCAGAGCAGAATCCATAGCAGAATCACTTGTGGAATCTTGGGCTGTGTTTTATTTTTTATTTTACATATTATATTGAAAATTAAATTTATATTTAAACTATTATTTCCAGCAAATTATTATTTTAATTCGAATTTTATGAAAATCTTAATCGGGAAGCAACTACTACTACTACCAGCAAAGTAGCTAACAATGCAATGCGGCTTGTACATTGGGCTGCTGGCTGCTGGCTGCTGGCTTTTATTATTTTCATCTATCTGTTTGAAGCCCTCTATTATGATTTGCAATTTCTTCAGCTTTATTTATTTTTGTTTCTGTATAATCAATCAAATCTTCACAGCGATTTTACTTATGATCCATTCAGTCATTCATTCATTCATTAATAAGTGGCAGTAGTAGTGCACATTAATATATCACATTAATGAGTTGGAGGGCAGGGCAAGGCAGGTTGCAGTCGTCTCCTCATCTCGTCCAGTTGCACTAGCACCCCCACCCTCGCCCCCTTCACCACTATCGTTTCACGAAACCCCCCACCATCTATTTGCCTCCTCTCTCTCTCTCCCTCTCTCTCGACTTGGCTGTTTGTGGTTTCCGACAATTTGACGCAAGAAACCTCCCGGCCTTCTACGGGCCGGCGAAACCATCAAAACCCAAAGGATTCGGTCAATTGTTTGAATGTGGTTCGTCCCTTTTCCTTCTTTTTTCGCCCCATCTTACTGCATAATTAGTATATTTGCTGGGGGCTTTGGGGTTTCAACCGTCCAAGTTTTGATCTTTTAAGTATTTTCGTGCCGGTGTTCTTCCTTTCAATTTCCTTTTAAAGTCAGACGGGGCTGTTTTTTTTTTTTTTTTTTTTTTTTAATTCAATTGACTGTTGCTCGTCTCAGATTCCTCTTCATCCTGTGGACTTCAATATTCTGCATCGCATACCTGGGTTATTTTGATCTGTTTACAGTGGAAGTTGCTGATATTTCGAGTTTTGTACTTTTGGCGTGATTTCAGGGAGTTTTGGAGAAAGCATAAGAGGAAAGTGTATGTTACACTTGGAGTTTTTGGCAGTGGATATCTGCTTTACAAGATCTATGATGCTCGCAGACGTAGGCTCTGTGATCTTGAGACGCAACTCTCTGCTGAGAGGGAAAGCGAGGAGCTCATAAAAACCCAGTAAAGATTTAGTGTATCCACAGCACTTGCTTTTATTGTTTTGATGAAGTTAACTGAACGCTCACATCACAATTTCGTTCTGTTCTTGGCTTATGGATAGGATTCAAGCACATTTTGAGAGTGTTCAGATAATAGCTGACTCAACCACACTTCCTCATGTGATGCAATTCTTAGAAAATCAAATAAATGAGAACTTGGATCTTACGCACTTGACTGAGAGGCTAATCCAGGGAAAGGGGCACCCAAACACTCTAACTGCCAGCGAGAAGCTTGAATTATGGGACAGGCTCAAAATTCTGAGTAGGGCTGTCAACTCGTTAAGTTACTTTCCCCTCACCCCATTGTTGCCATTTTTTTACTTTTTCAATTTCCAGGTTTTACAAAAATGTTGTCATCAATTTGGGCCGTGACTATGTTGAGCCTCTACATTAGGGTGCAAGTGAACATACTAGGGAGGCATCTATATATAGATACAGCACGAGGTCTGGAAAGTTCTCAGCTGCTTGTAAGTGGTGTTTTCTATGGTTAAAAGATATGCATACTAACGTTTACTTTTGGTTATATACCTTTTGAGAAGTCTTATTATATTGATGAATGGCATTGGCATGTTTTTGTTACTTGTCACAAGTCACTATTAGTAATTATTAGAGGACTTGGGACTTTGAGGTGCAATCTAGATTGTTAGTAGCTAAGCTAATTGATGTTATTGTAGCCTCAAGCCTTTTCTGTTTTAATTAACTTCCAGTAACTGTTCATCTCTCTGATTCAGGAAGAAGCAGAACTAATTGACAAAAATGATGAACGCCAATTTTTGGCCTGTGCTGATTACCTTTCTCATTCTGGCCTGGTTGGTTTAATTCCTCTTGTAGAGGCTGCAACAGTAGAAGTCCTCAAGGGGTATGTGTTTAGATTAACTAACACTCAGTTTCTGAATATTCTTTACAATTGTGCTGACTCACTTCTTTTAAGTTAAACTACATTCTCTCTGGTAGTCATTGTGTTTATTTATAATATATCATGCCAAATTCGGAGGACATGCAAATCTGTGTGGACTGAACCTGTTAAATGATCACATAAACAATTGCCTCAATATCTACGGAGAACTTGGGAGTCCTGAAACCTCCAAAACATCTTTCATATTGAATTTGACAAGCAAATTCTGGCCTACATATTCAAACATGAACCTTCAAAGATCTGTTGCACAATTGGATTAGATGATGAAAGTTAGTTTCCTTCTTATTCAAAAAGTGTACTGTTAGTACTCTTTAGATTGTAATGGTTTCTTTTTCATTCCCACATATTTCAGCTATGATATCTTAGATTATTGAATTTTTCTTTCAGTTTTTGGCGTCTGCAAGAGTGTTTTGTGTTTGCAACTATGTTAAGTCTGACTGTGGCTGTTGTGCCTTTTGATTTTGGTATGGTATTGTCAAATCGGAACATAGGGCTAGTCAATCCTCTCACCCTCTGTCTTTTTTTTTTAGAATTAACTGTGTAAAACTGATGTGCCCCTGCAGCTGTATGCATCTTGGATACACCTTATGATTCTCAATAACCCTAGCAGCTTATCCAGTACTCTGTCTAGTTGGAATGCTTTTAGCTGCTAACTGAAGAAGATACAACAGAAATTAGCTGAAATAGTTTAGAAGTAAGATCTCTTTCTTTTCGAATCTAGTTCATTAGAGATCCTTGAGTTCAGCTGAAATTCTCTTTCCTCACACTCACTCCATGCTCTGGTTTCCTATTTCTTTTTTTCCTCACCCTATTAATGAAATCATTTACTGTTTGTCAAGCTACAGAATGATGAAATGATGCAAATGGTGTTATATATTACATAATTAGTTGCATGTTTGTAAAATAGGCATTTGAAACCAAGTGTAGCCTATGATTTGGAGTTCCATTATTATTTTTTTTTCCTTTTTTCATTGCGTACAAATGTGTTAAAAGCTGTGTATTTCTTATTGGCTCCCGGGATACCATTTATGTTACTCATGTAAGTTAACCACACATTGGACCTAAAGAGTTTTCCTCTGTGTCGCCCTTGGCCTGGGTACCCTTCATGTGGTTCTCTGCCCTTAAGGTTGTGAACCCATTGTTCCTGAACATGGTTAGGATTATCATTTGTCTCGATAAAATGATTTTACTTATGCTTATAGACTTGACTTCCCCCAGAACCTGGTATTCTACCAAATACTTTTTGCTGTAGCTGAATTCTTCATGCAAGTCATCTATTCTGTTCGCATCGCTATACACATATGTCCAATAGCAATAGGTTTTCCATACTTGTAGTTGTTAATGGCTAGAATCAGGGTGATGAGCGGCTTTTGTCCCTTTCCCTGAAGATTCAGAGCTTCTCAAGGTGCACTCATGGGATATAAATGAGACCTGAGTTCCTTTTCTCCTATTACCTGGTGCAGTTTTTGCCATTGTAAAGGACTCAAGAACGTTAAGATTCAGAGCTTCTCAAGGTACTCATGGGATATAAATGAGACCCGAGTTCCTTTTTCTCCTATTACCTGGTACAGTTTGTGCCATTGTAAAGGGCTCAAGCACTTCCTTTCTTCTTTGCCTTTTTTTTTTTTTTCTTTCATTCCCTTTTTATTACTTTCTTTCTCATTTATGTGGTTCTCTAAATTTGTTTTTCAGCCTGTTGTTTTTCTCCTTCCCCTAGTTGTTATTAATGATTTCTCTCTTGATTCATTTGGTTTGTTTTCGTCACCATTTCTGTTTTCTGGTACTTTTTCTACAGAAAACAAGTGCATAGGTGCAATTTTGGGCAAGTATTAATTCTGGAAAGCTACCACAAGAATACATATATAAAGTTAATTCACCGGTGTGCCTAACATCATTTGAGCATGCATGATGTGCTAATGCTCAAACATGAGCAACCCACTATTACCAAGGATGTTTGACCTCCATATTTATTTCCACAAGCAGACATTTCATGTCTTGTTCCCATTTGTATCTAGTCTAGGAAAGAATATTGCCTTTTCAGACTCAAAGAATAGTTTCAGAACTTTGTCCTCTTCTCTGCAGTCATTTCAAATTAATATCCTCCCCCTCTTCTCCATAGAGTATAGTGCTTCTTATTACTTCCCTCAAGCATATTCCTATTTTAGCCCTTGAATTTTTTATTCTTGAGAAGCAGGTATAAATCCTATTTACTATTGTTGAAGTGAAATTTATGATTGTTATTCGTCTTTTTGAGCAAGAATTTTTCCGCCATTTGTGTATTTTTATTTTTGAGCAAGAATTTTTCTGCCATTTGTGTATATTTTTATTTTTGAGCAGATGTGCATATTAACTGTTAGATTTTTATGTGCAGAAAGCAACTGAAGGATTTCTTCGATGATTCAGTGCTCTATGATACATTGATTCACATAGTGGAAACTTTGATGGTCATGGGAAACCCTCATCATTGGGTGGGATATTTAATGCCTGAAGTTGCTGGAGACTACAGAACTCTTGCTTCCTCCAGTGGCAGTGGGTCAGATCTTCTACACAATACAAAGTTTGAGTTACTTATGGAAGAAACTCGTGCAGTATTATCGAGGTATGTTTTATGTGCAGCTTGTCACGGTGAATTGGGTCACTACTATGCCTTTGTTTTGCATCTGAAAGTAATACATGCCTTATAGCAGAGTTTTAGAGGAATAGTAGATAAGCAAGCTCAGGTATTTGCATGGATTTTTTTTATTTTTTATTTAATTTCTTCTAGGTATGTTGAGTTCCTCCTAACCCACGACTTGTAATAAAGCATGTGGTAGTTGTAGAAGGTTCCTTCCATTTGGTGGTTTGCAATATATGACAAATCAATAATAACATGAGCGTGTGTTGGTGAAATGCATGGGTTGGAGCAGTGGTGAATTTGCGAATGTTGTGGACATATCCCTGAGAAGGCTGGTGCATGAAGTGTCGAATGATATGGTTATTGAGTGCGGAGAAAATAATTTGAAGTCGGGGATGGCGCTTGCAAGGCTGATACCAAGAATAGCTCGCCGGGGGCAGCTGCTGCTTGCCGAACCGAACAGAAGTAGATACATCCATATTATCCGAAGCATACCAGAGGTTGAACTATTCTTTACTCTACTCTACTCAACCACACTGGTTTCATAAGAGGGTTGTGTTAGTGAGTGAGTGAGTGGATGTAGTAGAATCATATTATTATTATCATCATCATCATCATCATTGACACATCAACACCAACGGCTTGTTTGTCTGTGTTGTTTGTTTGTGCAAGACAGCAGCAGCAGCATATATATATATCTTAATTATATAATTCTTATATGCCCTTCCGTAATAATGTTAATCGGGTTCCTGGGGGATATTGTAGATTTGAATTCTCCCATTACAATCATATAATCTTTGAGTATAACAAACCGTAGTAGTAGTAGTGTGTTGTTTTGGGATGGTATGGAACGGAATGGAATAATATGTTTCTCAAGTGTTGGGAATAATCTGCAAAATTAAAAAGCTATTATTATAAGTTTGTGAAGTTTTGACAGGCCAGGTTCAACTTACTCTCGCTGTTTATTTATTTGAAAAAGAATGAAGGGGTGGGGTGGGGTTTTGGTTGCCATTTTAGTCTGGGAAGAAGTAACAGTACCCCGCCCGCCTACCCATGTAGAGATTAGATTGGAGGAGGGGATTCGTTTTCATCTCTACTAGTAATTACCTACCACTACTTACTACTGGTGTGTGCGTGTGGGGGTGGTACTTACTGGTAATGAATTGTTTGTTGACTTGTTTCTTTCTTGTGGTACTCGCTCGCTCGCTCTTCTTCTACATTTACACAGCACAGCACTGCACTGCACGGATGCAACTTCAGCAGTGAGAAGGCAATTGCAATGCAAAAGCAAGCAGGTTGGAAGTCGAATTAAATTAGGGCAGGCAGCCTCCCCTCCCCCACCCACTTGGACGGTTTGACCCGACTGATCAACGACGGCACTCACTACTCTTCTGCAACAAGGACGACACTGCCAGGCTGGCTGGCTGAACAGAGATCAATAAATAAATAATTCTGTCAAACCCTATCACCATTTATTTTCATTTGCGCAGCAGTGAAAATTACAAACCTTTATCTTTAAAAATCTCAAAGTTTGATTTATGGGGAGAGGTAGGTGTAATAATTAATAACTAACGACGTTATTTCTTGTATCATTGCAAATGTCACAGTGAGAGAGGGTATAGTTGGGGACCAATCGAACTGTGCATAAATGAACATCTTATCTTTTGTATCTGTCTGTTTAGAAATCCTGTGATGAATATATTGTACTCAACTAATCCACATATCAGTAATGCATGCATGTTGATGATGATACATATACAGATATATACTTGCATTACATATTAGTAGAGTAGTAATATATACAAGGAAGGGCTTTGGATGAAACCACAGATGGATGGATCGATCCATGGAGGGTTTTGTTTTCTTGTTGGAATACGCAAGTACCTATTCAGCTTCTGATGATGATGACAACAAGTGGAAAAACAAACAAAAAATAACTTAATTAGGCAAATATCCTATCCTCTCCTATCCTATCCTATCCTATCCGCCCATCTTTCTTGTGCCAGACTGCTGCAATACTAACGCATCCGATCCGACCTGTTATCAAAAAATATTAATAGAAATGTCAAATTCAAAATGGGTAAGAAACAAGTATATATTATAGATTTTATATGCAGGACAAACAATATAAAAAATAATAATAATAATAATAATAAAAATAAAGAGTGACAAGTTCAGGAATATTTACTGAAGGAAAGCTTACCCAAACGCATTTGACTGACCCGTTTAAAAACCAAATATGGCAAGGTAGATCTAAACAAAAGATTCAAGAGATTTATTATCAGTTTCCATGCAGAGAGAGAGAGAGAGAGAGAGAGGGAGGGAGGGCACCCGATTCGCCGAAAAGTTAGGTATGGATGACCTCCGCAGAAAATCCAAATGGGCAACGGAATGAATCTAAGGGCAATACATATACATACATATATATATATGGGCACATGTACGTATACAGACAACAAAACAACAAACCACACATTCAAAGAATAACTCTTTTTCTTGTAGAAAACAATAATACTGCGTATATGTATATATATCCCCTATGACGCAACAAAACACACACACAGATCAGGTGTATAAATATATATATATATATGTATATAGGGCAAATCAAAGGCGTAGAGCTCCCTTCAATCCAAACAAGGATCCAGCCTTAGGGTAATGGAAGCTCCTGAGGTATGCAAGCCACAGACCCATCCGCCACTGTAACTCCGACCCAACCCGATCTACTGTAACATGAACATGGGTGGGAGGCGGGGCGTGGCATGCGGATAGGGCTGAGGGATCCATATATCAGCAGCTTCATTTTCCCTGCAAGTTCCTCTATTGGACTTCAAGGAGCTCCACTCCCATACCCCTATTTACCTATCCATTTATCTACCTGCCTGCCTACCAACCAATCAATCAATCTCACCCCCCACCCCCACCCCCAAAACATACACATACCAGTAATTTTAGATCTAATCTTGCGCCTTCAACCCCAGCTAAAAGAAAGAAACAAACAAACAAACAAACCATCTCAGGCCAAAGAATCTAGTCCTCCCTCCCTCCAGACCTCAACAGATTAACAATGATCGATCTAACAAGAAAAGAAAAAAAAAAAACGAGAGACAATAAGATGCTGATTCATTCAGCTAAAAAAGTAACAGATCCGCAGCATAAAAGCCAATCCAGAAAATCCTGTAAAATCAGGTCAAACCAACACGCTAAAAATGATTCAAAATCAAAAGAAATGCTCATATATCTCCCAGATCTACTGGTGAGGCAGCCTGCAGGCACCCCGTGGATGGATATATGTTCAGATCCATGAGATGCTGCTGCAGAAGGGAGCAACCTCTTACGAGGCTGGACCTTTGGCTGACTATAGTCTACATACACACACATATATATATATACATACATATAGCAAGCTAAGGAAAGAACAGGAAAAAAAAGCTCAACGAAACCCTAGCTAGCACCAACATACATGTGTATATATATATACATATGTACATGCTGCTGCTGCTGCTGCGGCGGCGGCTAACTGGGTTTGAATAAAAAGCGGAAACCCTAATGAAAGAAAAGGAAAGAAGAAGAAAAGGAGGGGTGTGGAGATCCATGATCCACCCATTGGCAATGAAGGGAAAAGGGGTGGAGGGGGGGGCTTATTTAAAGGGAAGAGAATAGCTCAGATAGCTAACTAGCCAGCTAGGTCATGGAGAAATAGGTAGGTAGGTGGGGGATGGGATGGGATGAGTCATCAGATGAGATATGAGATGAAGGGCAGCTGTGCGAGCCTGCCTGCGACTTTGTGGGCGGTGCTGGTGCTGGTGCTGTGGCGCCTTTCATAATTCATACACACCACGAACAAGTTACTACAGTTATTGCTGTTCATAGTAGTATAGTATTATTACCGGTCGGTCACAGTGAAAATTACTCCATAAACTAAAAGCAAAGCACTGTAAAGTGAAGTGCATCGGGAAGCGTCGTCTCTGTCTGGTCTGGTGTGCCTGCCTGTCTGCCTGTCACTGTGCACTTGGGTTCACGACTTTAATAATAAATAATAGGAGGAGATAGACTTCCATCGGATTCCCATTCCCATTCCCATTCCCATCCTGCACTTTACACTTGGGAAGATTCTTTCCCTCCCTCCCTCCCTGCCCGCCCGCCCACTCACCATTTCTTTTGACTTCATAAGAACAACGATGACAACAGTAGTAATATCATACATAGAAGATTTGCATAATAGGATACATGAATGCCATAATATATTTATGAGAATAAAAACACTTATGATTTTTTTTTATACAGTTACAATTTCTTTTTATTTTTGGGTCTTTGATTTGGTATTTCCATTTTTTATTTTTATTTAAATTATAATAATTAAAATGTTATATTTTATATTGAAAAAATATTGTAAATACTGCTTAGTAAATAAAAGAAGACAAAAAAAAAATAGGACTTTACACCTTTCTTGTGTGTTTTACCAGTGATTGTGGTGGCAAAGGGAAGCAAAGCACTTAAAAATGAGATGAAACACTTGTGTGTGTGTTGGAGGATTTGTAAGATTTTATGCATCTATGTATCCTTGCCAATTTGATTCTACAGCTCGTACACATAACTTGATACATCATCAAAAATCGAACTCGAGATGTTGCTCTCAAGCTTGAGAAAAATATTTTACCCCTTTATCAATAAAAGAGCTTAATATAATAACTTACAAACTTTTCTTTTCTCAACTCAAATTATGACCACATTACGAGGCCAAGTTTTAAAAACAAAAAAATACTCCCACAAATACAAGAATCGAAGGGGCATACAAAATAAATACAAACTTTCATGACATGACAAATTAGGCTTTACATATCAATGACCTGATTCCAACTTAAAGTTATGGGTTTCTACAAAATAAATTGTGACTTGTCTTATTAGACCTATTTAAGTTATAGGTTCTTACTAACATTTTCGGGTAATGATTACAAATTCTCACGTCATAAAAAAAAAAAAAAAATTGTTTAATTTTATGTTTTTGAAAAAAAAAATAAATCTATAAATGATAGTTCTTAGGGAAAATCTCCCAAACAAACCCACCCTTAGTATTTTTTGGTGAAACATCTTCAAAAAATTATTAAAAAAGTAAATATACACATATATTAACATAACACAATATATATAATATATATTCTATTTACTAAGAAAAGTCAACAATTATAAATAAAATATTAATTTTTATATTATCAATATAATTTTTGATACTTAATACAAAAAATATATGTATATTTTAAAACATAGAATGAACAAACCTAATATTAGTTGAACTTCATAAGTAACTTATAAACAATTGATCATCCACCAATCTATCCATCACATCCCTTCTAAACTTGTAATATAATTATATATAGAAAGAAAAAATAAAAAAGATTACTCAAGTTCTTTGATTGATGGAGTTCGTATATTGTTACTTTTATTCAAAACTTTACTAAATGCATACTCGAAGATTAAAATATTTAAAGTCAAGATTGTTAGGCTCTAACACATGTTTTTCCAAATATACAAGAAATAACCTATTAATGTAGATGGACTTGTAATCGTAAAATTATATTCGAAAATCAGCAATAGGTGTGAGCTCCGATATTGCTAAAAAAGGAGATGCTCTTCTTATATAGATACGGGTTTTTGATGAACTCGGATCTCAACAAACTTTGTCAAGTTATACTTACCATGCAACGGCAGCATCTATGTAAAGGCCTAAATACTAAAATCTCATCAACTTCGAACAAATGATATTACTTACCAATGTTTAATTGAATGTACTTGAAAGTTTAAGATATGGCATCGTTTATTCGAATAAAGGCTAAAAGATAAAAACATACTTACTCTGATGATGATTACAAGGGTTATTTTTGAAACAAAATACTAGTGTTGATACATATACATATGTATTGTTTGGAGGGCATTTCTCCTTGTCCGTATATGCCCCAGCGCCCCCCTCCTGTTCTCCTCTCTAATTCTCTTCTTCGTTCATTCACAAAAGACACCCGAGTCGATTCGATTCGATTCGTCGAGATGCCGGTTCGAACCGCGGTTGGGTTGGGCGAGTCTACACCCTATTCCCAATTCTTAATTCCCGAATCGATTCCCCACAAGGAGGAGGCCCTAAACCACCACCGACCGCTGCTGGCTGCTTCTGCTTCTCCTTCCCCTTCCGCTCCATTCTTGATTTACTACTGTGTGTCGTCTGTGTCTCTCTTTCTCATTATATTCTTCTTTTTTCATTCCCAACTCAATCAAACAAAGGGTTTCTTTCCTTCAGTTACTCATTTCTCCAATCATGGAATAACCCACACCCACACCCACACCCACTTCACTTCAAGGATTCCAAGCTCCTCCACCTTCTCCACCCTCAATTAATTCCGTCAAATTCGAGCAATTATGACGGAGGTGGATCAGTTGCTTACCAAGAAAGTAGCCGATCGCTACCTTAAGCGCGAAGTCCTCGGTGAAGGTACATACGGCGTCGTATACAAAGCCATCGATACTAAGGTACCCTTTTGGTGGATGGATTCCGCGCTTCCGCTTCCTCTCCTGTTCTCTCCTGTCTATCTTCTAGGGTTTCGTTTCTTCTGCTTTTACTTTTGCTCCTCTCAACATCTATTCCCTTAATCCCCAGTTATCGGTTTATTCGAAATCCTCGCATTACTGTTGGATGCCCAACGTTGCTAGATTATTATTATTACTACTACTACTACTACTATTATTATTCTGGGTCTGATTTTTTCGGCTGCAATGTGAAATTTGATTGCTTTTCTAAGCTATTGATTGTAATATGATATACATCAAGTTTTGTGTGGCTGGGTTACCAGAAGAGCATAGACGGTTTGTACGGTACAATCCCCTTGTATTTCAAATGGCCTGGTGACTAATGAATAATCCTTCACGCCTCGTCTCTGCAGACCGGTCAGACAGTTGCAATCAAGAAAATTAGACTTGGGAAGCAGAAGGAAGGGGTGAATTTTACCGCTTTAAGAGAAATTAAGCTGCTCAAGGAGCTTAAGGACCCAAACATAATTGAATTAATCGATGCATTCCCTCACAAGGGTAATTTACACCTTGTATTTGAGTTCATGGAAACAGATCTAGAAGCTGTTATCCGTGATAGAAACATTGTTCTTTCTCCAGCCGATATAAAGTCATACATTCAGATGACACTTAAAGGGCTTGCATTTTGCCACAGGAAATGGGTCTTGCATAGGTACCTCTCTGTCAATTTCATTATGCATCAGCTTTTTTCAGTTCCTGCTTTCCATTTTTTTTTGTTTTTTGTTTTTTTTTTTTTTTTTTTCTGGAAACAGGGATATGAAACCAAACAATTTGCTCATTGGAGGTGCTGGACAGCTTAAACTTGCTGATTTTGGTTTGGCTCGTATTTTTGGTAGCCCAGATAGGAGGTTCACACACCAGGTATGCTGTCTCCTGTCATGATATCACCTGTCACAAAATATCATTTACTTATTTGATTAATAACCTGGGATCTGCTGTTTTTGTTCATCATATGCAAAGTAAACTAAATTCTGTTCTACTTTCATATGCTGGTTAGGTTTTTGCTAGATGGTATAGAGCCCCTGAGCTGTTGTTTGGTGCCAAGCAATATGGCCCAGGGGTTGATGTATGGGCTGCAGCTTGTATATTTGCTGAACTGCTTTTACGCAGACCCTTTCTTCAGGTTGATCTAAGCCCTGGCGAAGATTCGTTGTTATCATTTAATATTTTAGATTATCAATGGCATTGATCTAGCGGGAATGATGTTGTCAATCAGCCTTAATATTTTTTAATCTTTTTTCTTCGCATTGCTTTAGGGAAACAGTGATATAGATCAACTGGGGAAGATTTTTGCTGCTTTTGGGACACCAAAACCTTCCCAATGGCCAGATTTGGTCTACCTCCCTGATTATGTGGAATACCAACATGTTCCTGGTCAACCACTGAGAACTTTGTTCCCCATGGCTGCTGATGATGCTTTGGATCTTTTATCAAAGATGTTCACGTATGATCCAAAATCAAGGATCACAGCACAGCAGGCACTGGAACATCGGTGTGTTAAAAACAAACATTTTTGCTTTTTCCTTGCACTAGTTTGGAAATGGGTGTTAACCTGATGCTTCTCGTAGGTATTTTTCTTCCATCCCTCCACCTACAGAACCTGCTTTGCTGCCTAGACCTCCCCCGAAGAAAGAGTCCAATTCAAGGGCTTCAGATTTCAATCCCCAGGATGGTCCCACTGTTCTGTCTCCTCCAAGAAAGTTGAGGAGAGTTATGCCTAATCGTGAGGTTTTTGATTTAAATGCACAGCATGTTGATAAGCCTGATGAACATGGAAATGACATTAGGCAGTCAACTGGGGAGAAGAGTGGACAGGCTCCTATGTCTCTGGACTTTTCTGTGTTTGGAACGAGACCGCCCATTAGACCAACAATTAACAGGTAGGCATTCTATCATCCAAGGCATGACTCTTGCGTTTGTGGAATACTTTTAGGAAGTTATCTTGTCTTAGAGTGCATATTCCTCTGCCAGGAATTGCTACCCACACCGAGAAAGCGAGACTTGAATATGATGAGTGTGGTTATGTTTATCTTGTATGTCCTGAATGTTTTTCTTTATACAGTGCTGACAGATCACATCTGAAGAGAAAGCTGGATCTTGAATTTCAAATACCTGAACAAGAATAACTTGTAGACATAGAGATATCTGGTTTCCTGATATGATTGTGTTGAAAGGCATGCATACCGAGGTTTGTTAGCTTATTGATTAACTTGAAACCTTGATTTTTCTCACGTAGTGGAAAACATTAATTGTTTTGCCCATCAACAGGAGGATTCCAGAGGCTGAATTATTCACAAGACTGAAGTCAGATGCAAGATTGATGTTTTTAACCAACATAAAACTGTCGGATAATGAAATTGATAATGTGTGCGCTAGAAAGAGATGAGATTTTTGAAGCACTATAGAAACAATCATATATTGACAGATAACAGCGACCTGGGCTACATCCAACATAAGAATCATTCTCTGTATATGATATATGATTGTGTGTATTTGAGGGTTTTTTTTTTTTTTTTTTTTTTCACTACAGAACACACGTGGTTGTGTTTAGTATGGCATTGAATACTTTTTATCTTCACTAAATGCATTTATTTTTATTTTTTTTGAGTGAACTGCTGACTGCTATTGGTACTATAGCATATTCCTTGGGTTGTAAGTTAAATTAGAGAATTTCTGGTGTATTTCTTGCATCCATAATACCTTCTTTCTCCCTTAGTATTAAAAAGTTCATTTAAGATGCTGACAACTGTTTGCTTGCATCTTAAAGAGACATATATATTATCTGGCTTTTAAAGCATGTATTAATTTCATCCTGCTTATTGCTGGCTCTTTCAGAAGGTGGTAGGCAATTAATTTGAACCTGTGATTTAATATGCACGGTGGTGGTATTGCTCTCATTTTGCTCGACTGAGTCTGCAGAGGAGCACGACAGGTGAGTGCAATGCGCAGCAGCTGACAGGGTCGCGAGGGAGAGTGCGTGCTAGCTCGCTCGCTCGCTCTCAATTGAACTGGCTGGCAGCAAACTTGTGTGGATCCGATTTCGCTCTGCCCTGGTCTTTTATAGGGAGAAGAAGACGGCAGATCCAGCCAGAGGGAATGGATGGATGGATGGATGGGTTTGTGAGTGTAGAGAACATTCATTTTGGTTTAATAGAGTAGAGAATGTCCTAACAGCAGGGCCTGGCGTGGGTTGCTCTTTGTGTTGTGTATGCTGCAACTCCACTGCTTCACGCTGCTATGCTATGCTCTCCTCTGCTCTTGTTACACTATCGCTCAAACTGAATCATCCATCATCCCTACCGTGGTCATTAGTCATATTACTTACAGTTCTACATCTAGGCTTGGCTAGGCAGACATAATTTGAATTGTATAGGGAGCATGTCTGGGCAGTGATGCAAGAAGATCAACACAATTAATACGAGTGTAGTAGAATCATCATCAATATTATTATAATCATTGACGCGCCAACACCAACAGCTTTTCTATCTGTGTTGTTTGTTTGTGCAAGACAGTAGCAGCATATATATATATATATATATATGTTTATTATATAATTTCTGGTTGTCATGCATCGCACACAAATTGTTTCTTCTTTTCTTGCTTGGCTTTAGCTTACAACATGCAAATGGCACAATCAGTCATCACCTCACTAAATGTTTACTTACTACTGCTCTGTTGGGACAGACATCACGTTCACGTATCGTAGCTGAAAAGGAAAAAAAGCTCTGCATCTTTCAATTCGAGAACAGATAGATATGTGTATGTAATACATATATCTCGAAAACCATTGAAACTCATCACCTCCAAACCAATACTATTTCCTGAGTCTGCATCATTAGTATACATAAATTAAGAGTTATCTTTCTCTCTCTGAAATGGCTGCCATCCTTTTGTCTCCCTAACCCCGCCTCCTCGCATAAGCTATCATCTATCAAACTTCAGTTAAAATCTTGCAGCAGCAACCGCAAAAAAATAGGTCGATATTAAAATGCCATATAACAGGTAGTAAGTAGCCCACGTGCTAATCTCATATCATAAATTCAGTCAAGTAGGATTACTACCGCATTCCCTGAAAGAAAGAAGGAAAGCAAGAATTAGCACAACTCCCAGCTCCAACTCCACATTTGATTCCCTCTCGTCATATTATATACAGACGTCATACAATGCTCATGCCCTCCCTCTCTCCCTCCCTCTCTCTGTGGCAGCATAATCTTAACACACTCTGCTCTTCCGCTCCAAATAATTTTCACAATACAAAGGCTTCCACCAACAAAGAATTCTCTCCGACATCAAGATCTTGACTGTATTGTATTTTTGCTGCCTGACAGTGGAGACAGTTCATTACAACTACCTCCACCTTGCAACACAACTTTTCCGTTTCCTTCTACTTTTTCCCAGGACGGAAGCCATGTACTCAACAGTTCTTTCAGATGAATGGCTTTCACCAGTCAACCACCTCACAGCCTCAGCAGCAGCATCTTTTTCTGCCTCTTTCTTACTAGTGCAAGGTCTGCCATCAAAATCTAGTCCATTAAACATAACAGTGGATATGAACTTGTTGTTTTTCACTTGTTTTGTCTTGTATGAAGGTGACTCATGACCTGCCCTACAAAGCAAGGTTTGGAGGTGTGACTTTGCATTAGTGCCCCCTCCGTTCAATGAACCAGAACCAGATTGATTATCTTTTCTGGACTTTGTGGAGGATGTTGGTATCTGACGCCCAAATACAAATCTGCCTTCACAATGGTCCTCCGAGATTAATAATCTTACTGCTTTTAGAAGATCGTGATGGCCATGTGTGTCCAACTTGGGATTGGAAAGCTACAATCAAGCAAATAGATCAGAAGTAGATAGTGCACAATCTTTATGGATGGGGCACATCAATACAGCGCATTAAGTTTTGGTTAACTCTGTCTATTGGAGCCAGATAGATATATTTACCTTATTCTGAACAAGCTCATTTAACTCTCTCTTCAGACTCAGGTATGTAGCAGCCACTGTAGGCTTCATGAAGAATTCCAAATACCCACCCATCATTTTCAAGTGACCGTCCTATAAACAATGATGAAGGCATTTACAAGAAGCCAAAATTTATCAAAACTGAAAGCCATAGTTCAACAATGTATATAATCATGCTTACTAGTCCACCACTAGAGACATCTCCCCCAAATAAAAGAACCATTGAATCAGATACACCAGTTGAATCACGGAGGAACACCGAATTGACTTTTACTTTTTCGTTGAAGACAAGCCATGGAAACAAAATTTTGGCTTCCTGGGCATTCACAGAGTTCTGACCAGAAAAGTGAGACAGACATTAGTCCAAAGGGTACTTATCTAAAGTCCAAACAAATCTTAACAATAAATCCATTCAAGCTTGTTAGTATAAACTATAATCACTAACTTACCGAATGTAGAAGCACTGCACCATCTTCCATTGTCTTTAGTGATATTGATTTCTCCTTGTTCTGCATGAATCCAATTTCCATTAGTCCTCAAAAGTGCCAAAACTAAACAAGATATATATGAAAGCAATATTTTATTAGAGCATAGTCATTAGAAACCAATCTACATAGAAAGGAACCAAATCATTCCCACTTTCCTGCAGAAACCCATAAAAACACAAGGGAAAACTGGAACTCTGTGTTACTGAAGTAACAAAAGTTTGGAGACATTACACAGGAATTTAGGTCACGCCCCGACGAACTAAATTATGGGAAAAGTAAACCTGAGCTAAGAGGGCAACTCACCACAACAGAGCATATTCCAGGGAAAAGACCAGCACATATAACTGCAGAAATGAGATGTTTGTCATGACTCCATGTGTTACAACTGTCATTGTTGTCAACTAAACCTATGTCTTTGAGCAAATAAAGGAACTGCTTCCTTAGGGAATCAATGGCTTTCAGTGTTTGAGTAGAAAGAAAATTTCTCCAGCAGTACTCATAACCGGATTGTTCCCTTTCAGCAGCTTTCCAACCATCAAAAGCCCGGACAAGAGCAAGATGGTCGCTGAAGTCACTAGCAGAAAACTGGGCTTTTGCAGATTCAGCAAGCTGCAAGAAGTCACAAGATTTGTGAAGTTGTTTTTTCAACATTTAATAATTACAACCTAAACACAAACTATCCTGGAAAAGGAGATCAAAATAAAATGCTATTGTTGATATTGTCATAGGGTATATACAGTATTCACAAATCATAATGCACTTACCAGTGCAAATGCAGGCATTGCACAGTAATGTTAGATAACTAATACAAATGCAGGCATTCGATTTAGAAACATTTTTTGCAATGGGTGGAATAATGAAATTTATATAGCAATAGGATAATGTAACTACAAGAAACTGGAGTTGTGTGACAGATACCACACAAAATAGCGCCACTTTGAGAATCAGAAAATAACTATAGTTAATTTCATTATTTTTGATATACATTACATTGATTTTCATACCCAACAAACATGGAATGGAGAATGAAGCACCAAATTACATTCTAACACTATTAGGCCACTTACATCCTTCTTGTCAAAGGGCATCAAGAATGGATCCCTGACACTTAAGCCAGCAACGATTGTCATTACTGGATCCAAGCAACTGAAAATAGCACCATATATAAGCATTTTCCCAAGCTTAGGCTCAACTGGAAGCATAGACAAGTTGCGCCCTGTAAGCAAACAATTATCAGTACATCTTTTGTATTAGAAATTTTAAGAGCAGAACTTCCCATTGAGATTAAGTTGGAATTGCAAACAATAGCACATTAAGTCAAAATATTTGCATTTACCCAGCACAGTGAGATTTTCATCTTCATCTAGAGCCCCAATCATTTTTAGATACTCAACTGCATTTTGAACCTGAAAATCAGATACAATGCTAAACATGAGATACAATGTCAAAACGTGGGGTACATATAATTTCAAGATATTATGCTTACTGATAGAGGTTCGGGTGGTTGTAAGGCCCTTGAAAGAAAGTCTGAGATGTTGCCAAGTTGGAGACTCTTGATTTGTAAACAAAGAGACTGTAAGGGTGTTCTCAAAAGTTCTGGCAATTGATAATCTGCAAAGGCGTCATACACATACCTAGGATAGAGATGATAACACTCACCGGGTTGAACACGGCCTGCTCTGCCTTTTCTCTGATAACAAATTTTATGCAATCAAATCAGAACTTTGCTCCAATATTTCTTCCTGAGACTTGAGAGTCCAATATAGACAATGCTAAGAAATAACAAAATAGGCAAAAAATTTTACTTGGCGAGCAGAAGCCTTTGAGATCCAGGAAGGAAGTAAACAAGGAGTGTTATTTAGAGCATCATAGGAGGTCTCTTTCGCTTTTCCACAATCAACAACAAATACCACATCATTTATGGTTATACTTGTTTCAGCCATATTTGTTGCCAGAACAATCTTCCTGATTCCATCAGCGGGCTTATCAAAAATCAGTTTCTGTCCAAAAAGAAGAAAATGTAAAAGATCGATCAAAGTTTACATAATAGGCTGATTGAATAGAATTTGTTGCAATTTGCACCATAAGTTCAATTAACATGCCAATAGATTGAACAACTCAATCTTATTTTTGTAATAATATATTAGGAACTTGAGTAAGGTGCCAAACATAGGTAAACAGACCTATTAAAATTGATAGTAATAAGTTAAATATGAAGAATTAAACAATTAACAGAAAAGATGCATGCATGCTTTAAAGTTTTAAGGTTACAAATGGATCTGCACATAAACTTAAACTTCCATGTTTAGAAATCTTACGCCATGCTAAAGGTAAAAACACCTATAGAAAAAGTGGCTCTTTTTGCATCTGTTGTCAAATCACTTTTTGCACTATTCATCAACATCATATATATATATATATTTAAAAAAAAAACAGCACATCAAATACCTATTTATTATTTAACATTATTACATAAACAAGTATTTTTCTACACAACATTATATAAAATACCTATTTCTTACAAAAGTTCAAAACTCCAAACACTTTCAAAACATATCTAAACTCAACCTAAAATACTAGTAAGTTCTATAAAAACAAGTTTAACACAAAAGAATACAAGTCAGATCAAAAGTTTTCAAGTCTAAAAATGGAATGAGTACACTTTGTACATTTATGCCTGCATACAGAGAGAGTAAAAGGTGTAGGGGGATCTCATACCATGATAATAAATCCTCTATCCTTGCACTAAAGGAAAGATATGGAGTAACTGTGGCATAACTATGGTAAAATGGCTTAATTTCACAGAATGAAATGTCATTAAAAATAAAAAAAATAAAAAAAAATCAGCTGTTAATATGTCACTTGCACATTCTAACAATTTTGGGTTACAAATGCATGCTGTGGAACAACTAAAGGGCATGCAAGTAACCTGCTCTGAACTGGCCATGGAACCATGGCATGCAAGCAACAGGACTCTGTTTGGATCTCCCAATAGGGGATGAGCTTGAAGCTGATCTTTCAAAGAATTTATGTCTTCCCAACCTGTCATAAAGACTAGCACAGCACCAGGCCTTTCTTTGTGACAAATATGAGATAACACATGCTCAATTAGGTTAAAGCCAACTGAATCAGGATTCCAGTAAGATAATGATTCCCGAACTTGAGGACTATACTCTCTAAAATCAGCAGCCATGAGAGCATCCTGGTAATACAGTCAGAAAAAATGAAATAATATAACAAAGATAGGAGCCAAGGAGGTGCACTTTAATCTCAGAAGACATACCTCAACAGAAGATGCTATTTGAGTCTTCCGTTTCCTTACAGCCTGCTTCTGCATTTTCCACATCTTTTCTTGGCCATAGTTATCAATTTGATTATATGTTGTTAGCCTATAGCCTGTCATTTCTAGAACATTTTCCAGAAAATGAGTCCGCACAGGAAATGTAAAACCCTGAGAAAAAGATCCATATATAAAAGAAGATAGAATTAGGACATTAGTGAGAAAAGATAGGGGGAAAGATGGGAGAAAAGAAAAAGATACTGCAAGAATGAGTTAAGAGGAACATGACTGTAATTTCTTTTTTGATAAAGCAAAAACAAGATTAGATATAAATTAGAAAGGAAATGCATCAAACAAACCACGCCTTCTGCAGTAATATACAACAAGTATGCAGCATATCAGCGTAAAATTTACTATTTCTTACTCACAGGAATGTGGAGAGTTGGAGCCCTACTAAAGTAGGAAGAGAAGAGCTCAGAGTTTAGAGTTGCACTCATCAAGATTAATTTTAATTCTGGTCGACGAGGAAGAAGATCCTTCAGCACAATCAACAGAAAGTCTGACATGAAAAAGCAAATGTCTTTAAGAAATCAAACAAAAATATGGAAATGAATATGGGAAATACCTTCGTTCATTCCACGCTCATGAATCTCATCAACAATAACATGGGTCACACCTCTCAAACTTCTGTCAACTAACAACCTCCTTAAAAGTATCCCAGTGGTACAGAAAAGGAGGCGAGTATCTCGTCCTTTCATTCCCTCAAGGCGAACTTTATAACCAACCTTCAAGGTGTAAGTTCCACAAAAAAAAAAAAAAAAACTGAAGGTTCAATTGCCATACAGCCATCATGGTGCTAATAATGACCACATCTTAGGAGATAAAAGACTTACAGATTCTCCTATTTTCTCACCACGCTCTGCAGCTACTCTCTCAGCAACTGCCATAGCAGATATTCTTCTTGGCTGGGTACATATAATATTACAGGCTGCTCCTCTGGCTGCTTCAATTTCCGATTCCAAGATATACTGTGGCAGTTGTGTAGTTTTTCCACAGCCAGTTTCACCAGAGACAACAACTACCTACAAATCCAACTCCAATCAAGGTTACCAGCTAATCACAAGTGACCTGCCTTAAATTACATGATGAGAGTATTTAAAGATTTGGTTTAATAACAGCATGACACATGATGACAAATTATCCTGCAGGCACAATGATGTGGTGGGGTTGAGATAGAGAATATGTTAAGCACATGGAAATGAAAGGCATTAATTAATCTCATAGCTGCCAGGGGGCTCTCAACCATTGAGAGGTGTGGAAGAATAAAGAAAGACCCCTACGCCTCCCAGATGCACAAAACAGTACGAAAAATTCATGCTGTTTCCTCCAGGGCATTCTTGACCACTGAGGATTTATAACAAACATAGAAATTTCTTTAGACCACCAACTCATGCAAAAGCATAGTATCATAAAGAAATTTATATAGAGGCTAACTACACATAGGGACAATGTTCATTTTGTGGAGCGTTGTGTCCTGTCCATTGAATTATCCCTTCATTTACGTCATTAATCAAGGGCTGTTGATCTTTGAAGCAAATAGTTTTGGGTAACTAAATATCTAACCAAACACCATTATTAAACATACCTAAAAAATGATTGAACAATCAGTCACCAAGGAGAATATAAAGCGTGTGTTTGTTTGAGAGTTTTGATTTGAATAGTAAAAATTTGGATTTAGATAGTTGTTTGATGCAATATAAATAGGAATTGACGTTATATTTTGAACGTAAAATTGAATTTTAGTGTAATATAAAAAATAGGTATTTGATTTGATGTTTTTAGGAGAATTTTTTTATAAATAGTGGAAATAAAAACAAATCACTCGAATAAACACACCCAAATATTTTTGCAATAATCCACCAGTTAAACCACAAACCTGATTTCGAGATATGGCATTCAAAAAAGTCTCTCTCTCCTTATATGATGGAAGACTCTTACGAAATTCCATCATCCTCTGTCCTTCTGGAGACTCCTGTAAGATACAAAGGTCAGGACAACTGCCAGTTACTTCAATCACTTCAACAAAACATATTTCAATCCAGAAGTAAATACAATCATCTTCAAATAGCTACACCCCAACAATTGTTGGGATTAGAAAGCTAGTTTCTATACTAGGTAAGAAAGTATACTTCAATAAATCCGGTGTTTATAGTCTGGCATTATTATGAAAAGGAATAACTTAACTCGTAACAGAGTGCTTTTTCCTCCGTATAAAGGAAATGAGAAGAGCATGAAACCGTTATAAATAAAAAAAGAAAGAAGCCAAAGAGGAAATGGCAGCATTCAACTATTGAAAAATCCAATCAAAGTGCAAAAATCATGGAAGAATGACCATAAATAAACTGTATAAAGACAAACAGAAAAAAAAAAAAAAAAAAAAAAAAAAAATCCAACACAGCAAATAGGTTATCACTCAGCAATCAATATGCATGATACTAACTTGCCAATCTTCTTGTTTGCTGCGCATTTGCAAGCTTCTCTGCCTAATAATTCTCTCAGCTATAACACTTTGGCCTGAAGGCATCTTCGGCTCATTAAATCCTTCATCAAGTGATGAACTCCAATTCTCTTTTAATGTTGAAAAGGCATCATGTGAAAACTCTTTCTTGCCCATAGATTTTCTCGATAGATGACTCCTGAGATGAGAATCTACCAGCCTCAGCAACCCAAATGGCAATATCACCTATGAAGAAATATTGTATGTGTCAACACCTAATTAAATTCATCAATCAGTAAACTATTATTGCCATGCTAAACCGCATTTGATGTTAAAGAAGCATCTTGTCGAAACTAGGTTCAGTTATTAATCACGAGTTAAACCGTAAAATCCTCACAACTAAAGATGAAGATGAATTTAGATAATTGAGTCAAACCTCTCGCTGAGGACGCTTGCTATCCAAATCTGATCGATAATTTGGAAGAGGAACTTTACTAAACACTACTACTTTTCCATACTGGCGGCTACAATGAAGAGATATGTTAAGAGTCACTTCCGAGTAAAAAAAAAAAAAAAAACCAAAAGAAACATAAGCATAGATATCTCTCCCAAGTACCTATGCAATCCCATTCTGCTTGCAAGTACTGAAAGTTGCTCAAAATCACGTCTGTCCTTTTTCTCTCTTGATATGAACTCTTGCTCATCTTTGCATCGCAATAGCATGGTCAACTTATGCCTCCAGTCTTCAACATTATCAAGTGTTGAGGCATTCTGGTAATCATAAATAAAAAACATGCAAACTATTGGATTTTAAATGTTGTAAAGTTCATTCAAATTCAACCAGAAAATAGGACCTTCATTGCAAAACTTCTAAGTAACTGAAGCCAACATCAAAGATCAAATTCCTAGCTGTATAATTGACATTATCTAAACTTTTTGGGTAATGTCTAACATGAAAGTTTAGATTAATTTCAACATCTATAAAAAAAAACCAGTCCTTTTGCATCCCCACATAAAATACTTTCAAAGTATATAGTAAGATAAAGCAAAAACAGTATAAGATATATATGGCTTAATCTGTTATAATCCAAAGAACAATTGCCATTGCATACAGAATCTTACGTTGTGTTACTTTGGAGTTTGGCTTTTGGCTTTTGGATTTTGATTTTGTATTTTTAGTTTAAATAGTGGTTTGAATAAGATGTATTGATACAGAAAATGGGATATTTTCATGGGAAATCGCTGGAATTACATAGTAGAAGAGCTGAAACAAAGCTAAAGAAAAAAAGAAAAAGAAAAGAAAGAGCCTTAAGGTTGCCCTGACAGCAAAAGACCATAAAAACAATTCTGGAGATCACAGGATAGGCTACTAATTGATGTGATTCAGGGTTTAGTGTTTCTCTCTTGTTCAATCATCATTAAATTCCAAGTAAATGTTAAGAGAAACGAGTGCCTTAAAGGACATACTGACAACTAAGCAAGAATAAACACAAACTCCATACAGAAAAGGTAGAGAACCGCGAATACTCAAGCAAGCAGTGCAAGGTGCATTATATGATAGCTAGTGAGTTTCTTGATACTTGTTCTGGCTAGAGACTTGATATATTCGGAAAGGTTTCTACTTTAGAGAGCAAGGATTACCAATTGTTTGGAAGAAGACTGAATTTCGGCATCAGAATCCTCGGACGATAAGTAATCATCGTAAGCCAACCTACCGTACCCGATATTCCGCTGGTAAAAAGCCGGCAAGAGAAAAGAAGAAGCATTTCGGGTGCGGCTCAGGAGAAGAGAAGGACAAGTGACAGCGATGGTCCTGTAGGTACGATGTTTTGGATACAGGTAATGGAGGCGGCGGTGCGTGGAAGACAATGATATTGGTGCGGAGGTGAGGCGTGCTGGAGACAGTGCTCCGAGCTGGAAACGTTTGAGAGAGCGGTGGACAAACATGGAAGAGAAGGGCAAGGGCAAGGGCAAGGGCAAGGCCAAGGCCAAGGGGAAGGGCATGGTCACCGACAGCAAGTCATGATAGTGATTCCGATGCCAGAAAACTTGGCAATGGCAGGCAGGCCCCTGCTGCTGCTGCCGCTGCTGCTGTTTAGTTTAGGGTTTGGAACAGACGAGGGAGGCGGAGGAGGGGGTAAGGCAAGGCAAGGCGGCAGCAGGTGGCGCTCCCTCACTGGTCCTGCATTTTTATTTTATTTATTAATTTATTTACTAGCATTTTATTGTATACACACAACACACATGTGTGTGAATAGAGATATACATGTGTGATCCGTACTTCCACCTTCTTCACTTATTACTAACTTCCAGAAAGGCCCTCTTTTCCTATTCTTCACCCCATTTCTTATTATTAGGGCTTCTGCTCTTGAACCCATCCATCCAATCTTCCTCGATCCACCTTCAATCAATGGCTGCTCCGGCAGTTGCGAAGCCCAAGTCATCGGAGACCTTTGTCGACAACAAGCGGAAAGACGACATCCGCATGGCCAACATAGCAGCTGCGCAGTCAGTGGCAGATGCTGTCCGGACTAGCCTCGGCCCCAAGGGTATGGACAAGATGATCTCCACCTCTTCCGGCGAGGTGATCATTACCAACGACGGCGCCACCATTCTCAACAAGATGGAAGTTCTCCAGCCCGCCGCCAAGTTCCTCGTCGAGCTTTCCAAATCTCAGGACATAGTTGCGGGAGATGGCACTACAACTGTTGTCGTCATTGCTGGCGCTCTTCTAAAAGCTTCGCTTAGCCTCCTGACCTCGGGCATACACCCTACTATCGTCTCCGATTCTCTCCACAAGACTTCCAACAAAGCCGTTGAGATTTTATCTGCTATGGCGGTGCCTGTGGAATTGTCGGATCGGGACTCCCTCGTCAAATCTGCTTCGACTTCTCTCAACTCCAAGGTAGTCTCGCAGTACTCTACTCTTTTAGCTCCTTTAGCTGTTGACGCTGTGCTGTCTGTGGTGGATCCCAATAAGCCTGATTTAGTAGATTTGAGGGATATTAAAATTGTCAAGAAATTAGGCGGGACTGTTGATGATACAGAATTGATACAAGGGCTGGTCTTTGATAAGAAGGTGAGTCATGCTGCTGGAGGGCCAACTAGAGTTGAAAATGCTAAGATTGGTGTGATACAGTTTCAGATTTCGCCCCCTAAAACAGATATAGAACAGAGCATTGTAGTATCTGATTATTCACAGATGGATAGGATTTTGAAAGAAGAGAGAAACTATATCTTAGGGATGATTAAGAAGATTAAAGCCACAGGCTGTAATGTCTTGTTGATCCAGAAGAGTATCTTGAGGGATGCTGTCACAGACTTGTCTTTGCATTATTTGGCCAAGGCTAAAATTTTAGTCATTAAAGATGTTGAGAGGGATGAGATTGAATTCATCACCAAGACTTTAAACTGTTTGCCCATTGCAAACATTGAACATTTCCGTGCGGAAAAGTTAGGGCATGCAGATCTTGTGGAAGAAGTGCCACTGGGAGATGGTGGGAAGATTGTGAAAATTACTGGAATTAAGGAGATGGGGAGGACTACCAGTGTACTTGTCCGTGGTTCAAACCAATTGGTGATTGATGAGGCTGATAGGAGTTTGCATGATGCTTTGTGTGTGGTGAGGTGTTTAGTGAACAAGAAGTTTCTGATTGCTGGTGGTGGGGCACCTGAGATTGAGCTTTCAAGACAGCTGGGTGCATGGGCAAAGGTGCTTCAGGGCATGGAAGGGTACTGTGTGAAAGCATTTGCGGAAGCTCTTGAGGTCATTCCTTACACTTTGGCTGAAAATGCAGGATTGAACCCAATTTCCATTGTCACCGAGTTGAGGAATAGACATGCACAAGGCGAAAACAACGCTGGGATCAATGTGAGGAAGGGACAAATCACTAACATTTTAGAGGAGAATGTGGTCCAGCCCCTGCTGGTTAGTACAAGTGCAATTACCTTGGCCATAGAGTGTGTGCGCATGATTTTGAAGATTGACGACATTGTTACTGTAAGGTAGAGCAACAATTGAACCATTTATCTTGGCTTTATGAGAAACCACATGTCTCATCATATTGTCTTTGCATTTTGGTGTGCTTGCTAATATATGATGTTCAGTCTTGTCTTCTGGGTTATTTTGAACACTAGTTAGTTTCTGATATCGGTTACTAGATGATGCTCTGTGTTGTCTTTTGGGCCATTTTGAAACTGAATTTCACAGTGTGATATTAGTTTTTAGCTTCTTTAATTGGTGATTAGTCATATTTAGACGTGATGAAATGTTGTGAAGACAAACAGATACCTCGATGTTTAACCTATCTTGCTGCCTTTGTGCTATTGTTTTATGTGATATTTTATGAGAAAAAAATATTGTAACTTTACATGGAATCGTGAGGCTTGTATATTGAAGAAATTGAAATAAATCTTAAAGTAAACATAGCCTTGATGCTGTTCTTGGAACCTGCTAAGGAAAGCCCTTATACTGCATAGCCCACTACCAAAGTGCACCATATTAGGCTATTTAATATGCAAAGTGGTTACAAATGTATGGTTTAAGAAACCAACTGATCGGCGAAACAATGCTTGCTAATCCAGTTGGTTTTCGCTTTGGTGCTGCTGCTGGCCAATATCAGCCATAATAGATGTGACATTGGATTAACCCAATGATGGTATTATTATAATTCACTCGAGAATACTGACACGGCAAATAGAATGTAAGGCAGAGGGATTGGGTGGGCCCTATTTCTTCCCTATGAAGCCACAGCATTTCTTTTCTTTGGATCCAAATTAGAAAGGTGGTCTTGCGTTCTCAGTCATCAAGTAGCCAAAAGAAATGTAATAATAATAATAATAATAATTAGCAGTTGTGATCTCTAATGCAAACTCTTAAGGAGTAGAGTCCCAATTAAGCAAGGCTGTATCCCATATGACACTGAGGTAGGAATGAAGGAAGTTGGCAATTTTCTTAAGTCAGAAAATTAGAAAAACATTTGGTTTCAGTAGTAACATATTGTCAGCTGTGTACTGTGCCTACAATTATCTGCGACCTGAGTTTCCTTGCTCACCCATCAATCAGTTTAATGTTTGAGAGATCTCTGCAATCTATTGAGCTAGAGCACTTTTAAATAGCTATACTTTATATCCGTTACCCTTCACTGCATCTACTATTGCTTGGTACTTTGAATAAGAATGAGTCTTGCGTGTGTCGGGAAGCAGTTACAACATGAACCCAAACATCTGTATGAACCATGTGCCCTGCAGCAACTTGTATCACTGACAAATTGGGTAATCAATCATGTTTGGAAGACTTAATCAATTAGGGGACGGAGGGAGGGGGTCAAGGTTTGAGTTTGTTGTCATTGAAAAACCGAATGTCTTGGTCTTGGTAAGCACTTGCACATGCATCACAAAAATACTCTCAGAATTCAGAATCCTCTAATTTGGATACACAGAATTAATTGTTTCATAATAATACATAGGCATGTGAAGCAATTAATTAATTAGCTTGAGGAGGTCCACCTTTCTTGAGTTTTGTTTTGTTTTGTTTAGTTCCTTCATTTGCATGTCTTTCCCTCTGTGAGAAGAACCAATCATTGTCGTTTTAGTAAAATTGATTTCAATCATGCGAGATAGACTCCTTGATTATGTGCTTTTCATGTCATTTGAAAACAAAGAATGCAGAAACTAAACTGATTTATGCAGATGAATGTATATAACATGGCCCCCATATTGTTTTTTGGGAACACGGGCAAGTTGTAACAAACGTTTCCAAAGGAGAACCGCCCCCTCTGTCTTCATTCAAAGTAGCCAGGGGCCACCGTTAATGGTCAGCAGGACAAAGTAAAGAACTGACACAATTGGTATTAAGCATTAGGAGAAGAAGAACTGACACAATTGGTATTAAGCATTAGGAGAAGAAGACCATGACATGCTGTTGGAATTGAAGTAAGGTTATGTTTGAAGCTTTTGATAGATGGATACATGGCTAGAGATCATGCATGCCTAGGCCAACATGGTTATCCTTGTCATGGGTGAGCTGGGCTCCAGATATATAGGTGGGTGGGTGTGTGTGAGAGAGAGAGATTCTCTTAATAGGTTGAGAAAGAAGGAAAGTTATAACTATGACCATGGTGGTAGAGCGGGTAGTCATGGAAGGTGCTGGTGCCGGTCCGTAGCCTGCAGGCAGATGAATTTGGTGGAAGAAATTGTGATAACCTGCAGGGAATGAAAAGCAGGGGGATTATTTACATAAGAGAGAAGCATGCGCATGTATGGGAAGTGAATTGATTGAGGTGTTAGATTTATGAGATATATATGTAGCAAGGAGAGGACGATGCCAGTAGCAGGGAATTGATTGAATTTGTTGAGATGAGAGATGGAGAGGGAGCAACCAGGAGGAGGTAGAAGGGTATCCTGAATGGAGTAGAGTGGTGGTGTTGATGATGACAGAAGCATAGAGAGCACAAAGGAGTGAGATGCAAATAGATGGATGGATTGGAATAATAATGAATATATTTATATATATGTATATACATATTGTAAAAGAGTGGCAGTAGTAGTAGTGAGAGATGGGAGAGAGAGAGGGAGGGAGGGAGGGAATGTAATGGGTAATTGGTAAGTGGTAATGAGTGGATGAATGAATGAATGGGTGAAAGTGCATATTCATCATCATCTGTGCTCTCTATCTTCTGTCAACAACCAAAGTTCTCCTCCTCCTCCTCCTCCTCCCCCCCCCCTCTCTTTGGTCACTACTAGTACTACTACTACTCAGCCAGCCAAATCCCCGCTAGCTAGCTTAGCTGCTGGATAGCTGAACTCGCCTCTGCGCTCAATATGTAGTATGTATGTATCATAATGAGAAGGAGGATGAGGATGAGGTTGCAGTGGGGGAGCATATACTCATTCATTCAGCTGCAACTCCCTCTTGACAGCTTGCTAGCTAGGCGGGTAGTTGTGTTGTGCATAACAATATTCTAATGCACGCACTAGGCTAGGCTATGCTATGGCATGTATATATACACACGTAGTGCGTGCGTGGGTACAGAGGCAGAGCACATATAGCATTGATATGGGAGATGAGAAGTGAAAGAGGATGGGATGGGATGCGCGGGGTGTGGGTGTATTTAAAGAAGGAGGCCCGGAAGTGGAGTTGTCACCATTTAATTCATTCATTCTATTATTCTCAGTTCATGAGTTGATCAATTAATTTATATGATGGTAATTATTATGAAATGAAGGTGTAGTGTAGGTAGGTCACAGGCACACACAATACACATGCACAGCACTCGCCTCACATTCCCCTTCCCCTTCCCCTTCCCCTTCCCATTCCCTTGTACTGCTACTTACTTCTAGTACTAGGTCGAGGTCGAGGTGTGTACGGGTGGGTACCACCACCACAAATTAAAGAGGGTTGGTTGTTTGTAACAGAGCTTCTCACGAGGGAGGGAGGGTCACATGCATGCATGTATAGTGATGCATAAATAACTAAATATATATGATATATATATGTATAGTAGGAGTGACAGGCAGGCTAGGGCTGGGGCTACGAATATGAAGGGCTAGCTAGCAGTACCCATCTATCGACAGTCTACTTACTACTACTACTAGTAATTACTTCTTCTTAATTCTGCCTCCTACTGCTACTACTGATAGTGCGTATTACGTCAAGGAATGATTCATCAGCTGAGCAGCATTGCATTCTTTGTTGTGCTGCACATTTGATACTCACACACACGATACACTATAGCAATGGTATGTATTCATTCATTCATAATAATAATAAATAAATAATAATAACAGCAACAATTAATAAATGCGTGTGATACGGTTGTTGAGTTAGTTTGGATCCGATCCGATCCGATCCAGCGTGTGTATTGTGTATTGTGTGTATCAGTGAGTGAGTGAGTGAGTGTATGTACTATCTATCATCTATCTAGCTGCTACCATATATGTTATGTATCCTCCTAGTAGTAGTAGTAGTAGTAGTAGTAGTAGTAATAATAATAATCGTGCTAGCTAGCTGCAGATCCATATCACATCACACCATATCATCGTATCATCTTCAGTTCCATACATATATATATATATATATATTCCAGGGATACATACATACACACATATATTATTATGTATGTTGTTGATGCAATGTTTATCTGTCTGTACATATATATAGAGCAGCCCACTCACTCCGACTCGGACTCAGTTACGGATTTGTGCATCCTCCTCTCCTCTCCTCATCCCCTCCGCCAATAAATCCACATATATATATATATATATATATCAAACGAACGATTTTAATTTAATTTGATTGCGACGAGACAAGACGAGGCGCAGTGACGACTACCAGCAGTGCACATGAATATTAATCGAGTAACTAAGGAATGAATTAATGCTATACTTATATAGATCGATCGAGCGAGCCACATGAATCAATATGCAGTATATAGGCAGGCCGCCAGGCAGAGGACTCATACACAAAACACACATGCATATTCGGAGCAGAATGGTCATACTCATTTTTCAGTGCTTTTTTGATCAATATATAATATTGTTTTGTTCCATAATTTATATATAAATAACTGTGAATCTACTTGAAAATTCTATTTATTTATCTTATTACTGTTACTATTACTATATGATACTATATAACTTGATTTTGTTTCCTCCCTTTTTTTTTTCTTTTTTTCTTTTTTTTCAATGAGTATTTTTAATTATTTTTTTATTATTATAAATTTAAATGCTATATTTAATTATCACATTTTTATATAAAATAGTTATTTTAAATGAAAATATAATAATAAAGAATTTTGCAAGTAATCATAAAATAAACTTAAAAAATTTAAATTAGTCTTATTGAAACAACAAATAATCAATTTTAGTTTTAATATAAAAAAAATTTATCAATTTCAATTCAATTACAAATGATTTTACTTAGTTTTAACTTACAATTAATGTAGACTTAATAGGATCCGACATGTTACACCAAACACAATACACTATTGTATTTGAATCGTATGCTGCAATAAAATGATGAGACCAAAAATAAAACCTCTTCTAGATCTATTTTTCATTCACCTACACCAGCACCGCCGCCGCCGCCGCCGCATCATCGTTTAACAGCAGCGTAGGCACAATAAAAGGATGAGGCGGGAAAATAAAACCTCCTCTAAATCTGCTTCTTATCCACCGCCACAACCACCGAGCCGGCAAATGAGGAAATTCACATTTTTATACAAGTATTAAAAAATATTTTATCAAGATACTTTCCATTTTTTAATTAAACAAGTCAAATTTCATCAATTTTAATTCACTCTAGTAAAGCACATTTTGACTTCCCCATATTTTTAACTATACAAGTCAGATTTCATCAATTTTAATTCACTCTAGTAAAGTACATTTTGACTTGCGGAAAAGGGCAACGCGGTGCTAGGGCTTCAAGGGAGGAAGGATTTATTAAATTTTTTAACAAATAAATGGGAGAAATAAAAATTGAATTTCGAGAGTGGGTTGAAGAGAGGCACTGTGATGTGAATTTTTTATTACCCTCTCCAAATCAATTTGACAGGCTGGTAGCACCTGACACGTCGGACTGAGGCTCCGTATGAAGGCAAGAGCCGAGCCAGCCATTGTTTTTGCTCTTACGCTTATTAGGCGTTCTTTTGCTAATTGGACAAATACAACTATGTTCGATCTAAATCCTATCACACATCAAATTTTATTATGTCTACGTCAATATTTTGAATTAGTTTTTTTTAATGATATTAACAAAATTAATTAAAATTATTTATAATAAAATTAAAATTAATGAATTTTTAATATTCAAAATAAATTTGATAATTTGTTATTTAAATAAAACAAAACTTTTTTCCTTAATAATAATGTCACCATTGGTATCAATACTAATACCATTGTTAGTTGTAGCTTTTGTTTACTGTTCCTTTTGTCATAAAAAAAAAAGATATGTTTATTTTTTGGTTTGTGCGTGTATATTTTATTTTAGCAAAAAAAAATTACTATTCTTTAATCTTTTTAATTAATTCTTCTTCTTCTTTTTTTTTTTTTTAAACGCAAGAAATAGACAACATATTAAAATTCATATCTAAACTAATTGATCATATTTTTACATGCCGCCGGAGAGACTATCACTCTATAGTTAGAGATATATATATATATATATACACTACTGCTTGGAACTCTACAATCACGCGGCTGGCAGCTTGCTTGTTTTATGAAAAAAATAAAATAAAAAATAGCAGCAGTAGAGCATTTTGACACGCTCAGTGTCATCTGTATGTTTATTTGGAGGTTTGGATTTTGAATTAGAATTTAAACAGTAAAAATTTTGAATTTAAATAATTGTACGATGTGATATATAAATAAGTGTTGATGTGATATTTTGAATGTAAAATTAATTTTTAGTATAATATAAAAAATAAAAAATAAATGTTTGATTTGATATTTTTGGAAAAAAAAATTCAATCCCTCGAACAAACACACCTAAGAATCAATCAGACCAGACCCACCAATCAGTCCATAAGCACGCCTTTAGGCTTTAGCTTTTGTGCCCGCCAGCTTTTATTACTAATTTACTGTTATTAATTTATAATTGTAATTATCCTCAAGTTCAACTCAACCCCTCCTTCCTACTACTACTACTACTACTACTACAGAACAAAATATGTTCAGGATAATAATATGAAATAGATTCATGATCATAATATCACACGATGAGTTGAAATTTTGATGCCTCCCAGTCCCGGTAGAGCCCCTCCCCTCCCCTCCAACCACTCCACCCTTCTCTCCAAAGAAGAGATTTGGGCCTCTCGAAATTCCTTCCATCCACTCATTCAACCTCGCTCCTCTTTCATTTTCCTTCGCCACCACTCTGCCTCTCTCTTTCTCTCTCTCACACACACCCCAGAGGCCCACATACATTTTTTTTTTTTTTTTTTAAAATAAAAAATATACATACTATATTTTATTATAGAAACTTCTCTTCTAATTCACAAAATTCTTTCTTGTAATTCCATCAACGCCCCACCTCCTCCCATCCCATCCCCTTCTTCATCACCTCACTTCCTACCCTTTTACCCTTTACCCCTTGTTGTTGTTGGGATTCCTATTTCTTCTTCCATGACCGCACCAGACTAAAAGAAAAGAACCAACAAAAACAACCATGCCTGTGGTGCTTGCCGACGACTCTACCACAATGGCTGAGCAAATTAGGTGCAGAAAGTCCAGAAATCCTCTCCTCCACCACAACCCCGAAAGAGATCCGGATCCCGTCCGCTGCAAGCCCACCATTTCCTCTATCCTCCTTTCTTCCAGCCCTGCCAATGAAACCACTGCCTCCAACTCCAAGAAAAAGAATTTCACATCTGCAACCTTCCGAGGTTTGGGCTGCACCGCCTCCTCGCAAGTCTCGGTGCCGGCAGTAATAAGAACATCGGCCAATTGGGAAACCAAGAAGTTGAAAAAGAAAAGGCTCAAGACCAAGACCAAGAAAAGTGCCCACGACAAGATACCCCCCGTTCCAAACAACTCTGCTTCAGCTGCTACGAGCAACAACAATCCTTCCCCACAATCCTCGCTTTCTTTGGCATTGTCGTCCACTTGTGTGAGTGTGCCCGATGTCTGGTGCGGACCCGGAATGGGGCTAACCACTGATGCCGCCTCTGTAGATTGTGTTGTTTCGAGACGCCCTGCCAGGGGCAAAGTTGATGGTGTCGACAGAAGTGTTCTTGGTCCGAGGGAGGTAATCGTGATATTTCTTTTGCTGATTTTTTCGATTTCTTATTCTTTCCCTCGCCTCGCCTTTGCGTTTGTTTATGGGTGCCTTGCCTGCCTTTCGCCCTAAGGTAAATGGTATATTTTAGAAAAGGTTGGCTTCATCCGATCTATTCAATTATGGTTTTTCTCGTGATTTTAGTTATCGTCTGAACTGACTCTTGGCCGCTTCAATGCATTCAAAATTGAATGGTTCCTTATTTTCGGCTGTGGTTTTTAGCTCAACAGTTTCCTGGACTAGAATTCGTTGGGTGGCATATATAAATAATGAGTTCTCATATTTGTTATTGCTAAGATGATTTCTCAGAAATGGGGATTGCTCAAATCTTATTTCACCTTGTTAGCTGTTTTCCATTGCATTCCTCCGTGAGATTTGGCAGTACTACATCCAATATATAGATTACTGGGCATTGTCACCCTGGGTTTTATGATGACTCCTTGATTTCTACTTACTTCCTTCTGGATCTCTTCTCATCTCACATCATTTGTCTCTTTTCGTGTGTATAATCTCATTCCATGCTCTGGATATAAGCTTTGTAGTGCCTTTGTTGGCTATTGTTTTTCTTCTTTTTTGGTTATTTTGCTCGTCAGTGTCTCAATTTTTGCTTCTGTTAATTGCAGCGTTCAAATAATATGAGGAGGATGGTTGCTCCTGAAGACGATCCTTTCCTTGACTCTGACACTACTTCTGGAGTGCCTCGCATTCATACTGGGGTTTCAGCATCAAGACATTATCGAAATGCCAGACATGGCTTCCATGGAGGGCTTGCTGAGGTTAAGTCCCCTAATATTTCAACTTTATAGACGTTTCATCTACTATTACTCTTTACATCAGAATTGTGCACATTTTTAGCTATATTAGATGCCCACTGATATCTGATTCTATGGATATGGTGAATGCTGTTATTTTTATACTCAATGGGCATATCAATAAACTGTCCTTTGAACTCTTAGAACAGATGGTAAGCTTTTTCTATTGGAATAAGGGAACACAGATACCAAAGTATCGATGTACTTCACTTCTACAGATATCATCTTAGAATTCAAACTAACTAGATGCTTTTTATAGCAAAGTCTATGAAAGTGGTTGATCCAATGGAGGTGATGAATTTGGTAGTTTGTGTTAATCTGCGCTAATGGGAGAAGAATCTTGCAACTATGTTTGCCCATCAACATCAGTACAGCACTTCATCATGACTGCTGGAGGGAAGTGAATAGTTTTGTGAAAGGAAGGGGTATTCTTCTGGATTGTTCGAAGATAAAAACTATAACATGAATGTCCAGTGTCACCGATTGGAAACCGTCTTTCCACATTTTGATTGTATATGTAGTTTCCAGGTATTATGAAGTGCTTGTACAAAGAATTTAGTGTAATATAGAGTTGACATTTTGTGTTTATTTCATAGGTTTTAGTTGAAAGTATTATTACCGCTACCCTACCAGCTCAAGGAATGGCTTGTGGATGAGGATTTTTAGTGTTCTTGAATGCAGGGAAGCATCATGCTTGTTGGCAAGTAGCTATATTTTTATAGCATTTATTGTGTTCTTGTTGCAGATTGTGATGCTCCAAAACAGTCTGTTGATGGGAGGGAGGTTGGATGGGCTCGATAGATACAGAGACCTGAGACTTGATGTTGACAACATGTCATATGAGGTATCTGACCGGACCTGACCAATGGAGTAAATGGATTTGCTTTATGTGACTCCTCCCTGAAAGAGAATTTTGGTTGGTATGACAAACAGGAATTACTGGAACTTGGTGATAGGATCGGGTACGTGAACACTGGACTGGGCGAAGACGACATCACTCGCTGCCTGAGGAGAACAAAGCTGGCAATGTTGGGTGATCTGTCATTACATTTTGCTTCAGAAATGGAAAGAAAATGCAGTATATGCCAGGTAGAGTCGTAGCAAGAATTTCCCCCTGGTTGATTTGAGTGCGGTTATTTTATGCTGTTGTCTGCCATTGCAGGAGGAATATGAAGGAGAAGATGAGATGGGGAAGCTGAGGTGTGGGCACTTGTATCACTTGGAATGCATAAAGCAGTGGCTGGGGAATAAGAACAGCTGCCCCATATGTAAAACAGCAGCAGCCACCGCCAAGCCTATACCTGCGCCTCCCTCCTCAACGTGCTGAATAGAACCTTCCTTCCTTCCTTCACAGAATGGATGGACAGACGGATGGATGTGTTGTATGTATATAAGGATGATGATGATGATGATTTCAAATTTCATTTTCTGGAAAAGAAAAAGATCATTCTTTGATGTGGTGTGGCAGGGGCTACTGCCATGCCGTGCCATCTCTCTCTTTTTGTTGATCACAGATGTGGTGTGTTCTTCTTCATCCCAAATGGGATTGGCTGCAGTTTGTTGTCTGGTTGATGGAACTCCGATTTGTACTTGTGATCACACACATCTGTTTGCTTTGTTTTACATTGCATTGCATTGTATTGTGTTGAGTTGCTTGTACTTGTACGCAGTGACGATCCGATTAACACAACATGGCCTGGCCTGGCTAGAGCAATCTGCAGCAGCTAGTGACTTAGTGAGTGACCCTGCCTTTACTTAACTCTTACCTACATCCGACATGCAAACTCTCTTATAGGAGTAATAAATAATTTTATTTATTTTTATTTGAATAAATGATAATCAATTTATCCATACTTTATTATTATTATTATGATTATTATTATTTATTTACCTAATTTGTTTTTTTGTTGCTGTTGACTGTTGTTGCTTGCCTTGCTTTTATATATGGCGTGCCAGGCCAGATATGTCGTAGCGAACCCGTGTAAAGACCGGGTTCGGTTCGAACCGAACGGGCAAGATGCCAAATCTAGACCAGTGAACCCCACTCACTGCCGTCTCCTCTGATCTGATCTCGCTGTCGCGCCAAGCCAAGTTCCGGCCTTTTCATATGCAAATCACTTTCTTACCCATGCCCGTGACCAGAGAGACAGAACATATAATCCCACGCCCTTCTTTTGGTCTCCAACATATTTCTCCTCCAACAATTCATTCGCCGGAAGATGCTCGACGGCTGCTTAGCTTAAAGAGCAGCCATTCTCGGGTGATCTGGAACTAACGAACCAACTTGAATCCGATGGCCCGAATCTTTGAGTACTTCGTGGTGTGTGGAATTGGGCCAGAAATCCGGACCCTTGACGGGAACAGGGGTTACCATGGCACCGGCATCATGTACTTGCCGTCTCTGTTAGATCAATACCCTCCCTCCGATCACTCTCTCTATCCTCCGCCTCCGCCTCAACTGCCCACCTGCGTTTTACCCGCCGGTGTCCAATTCTATGCCTCCGGCTTCGATTCCAATGATCATTCATCCTTCCCTCGGAGCTATCCCATAGTGTTGACCGAGGGGGATGGGTCCAAGATTTATGTCAGTTGCATTGCCTTTAGAGATCCTGTGTGTGATGACATTTCGGAAGCTTATCAGATACCTGTCAATTCCTTTGCCGATAAATGCATCTGCCTCGTGTCGCGGTCTCCTAGTTTCCGCATTCTGCGCGACGTCTTAGAGGAAATATTCCTACTTTGTTTCTCAACTTCTGGAAGCAGGTACTATATATCGGGTTTATTTGTATCTAGTTTAGCCTGATTCCCGCAAGCATGGGGACCTCAGTTTCTAGTTTTCAAGTGCTGATAACTCAATTGTGCACCATGGCGATAATCATCAACAACAAGTCACATTTTTCTAGTTCAGTGCAAGTTGCGAATTAGCAATCAAACTTGTAGTTTGTAGTATTACTTCTGTTAGGCTTGAGCATATTCTTTTCTGCTTAATCCGCATTGTAGCGCATAGATTCCCGAGCATCATCCATCCAGGTTAATTTTCTATACCCTCTGAAGCATTGGTGCTTCCTGAATTCTGTATTCCTATGGCTAGGCAGTGTTGTAAATAAATACCTAGTGTTTTTAAGAAATGACTATCATGTCATGTTCTAGCCAATATGTGTTTTTGTATCTTTAATCAGAACTTATGGAAACAGGAGACCTCTTTTGGTAATATTCCTAGAGCATTGTTACTTTGTCACCTAGAAAATAGCACATAGTTGCAATAGCGCTTCTGTACCATTGAATAGGAAGCAATTCTCATTTCCTTGTTTTTTTTTTTCACACTGTTGTATAATTATATTGTAATTGTTTGTAAATGCCTGTAATACCTTGCTTTGGAAACCATTTCAGCAAGCCACTTTGGGATGTCATTGCATATATAGTCTCCAATGTCCCTTTGCCTACACCTGGAAAGGACCGAGTGTTGTTTGCAATTGAGAATAGCCTGCTTGCTGTAGATGTTCCACCAAGGGATGGGCTCCCTCATGCTGATGTATGTCACCAACTGTTGATTAACTCAAAGTTTGATATAAGCAATGTTTTCACTTGATGGTCGGCACCATTTTAATTTGATAGTAACTGTATCTTTTGTGCAATGTAGATATCTTTCCAGCCATTGGTCCAGTGTTTAGATGTTGATAATGTCATCAAACTATTTACGGCTGTGCTGCTTGAAAGAAGGATATTACTCCGCTCAGACAAGTATTTTCCTTGGCACTAAATTAAGGATCCATTGTCATCTCTAACAATCTACAAATATTGTTTACATCACTTAGAGATATGTTTTTGATTTGGGTGGTTGTGTTAGAAAGCTTACACAACGGTTCTACATTTTCATTGACTGTTTGAGAATGCTATGATACTTTGGCTACTCCTTCAACACAACTTTGTTATTGTCACTCTTGGAAAATTGTTGTCGCTGGAGACTTGATGGGCTGACTCAGTAAAAGGATTAATTCTTGGAAGTGTGGATCAACTTGTCCTTATTCTGTTTCAATGTTTCTTACAGTGGTTATTTGCATTCCATGTGCAGATATTCTCTTCTAACTCTTGTTTCGGAGGCCATATGCCATTTAATATACCCATTTAGGTGGCAGGTATATATATACTATATAAATACACATTTTTATAATACTTCCCACGCTTCACTAGAGTTACACATTTTGTTGCATCATCATCATCATTTATTATTATTATTATTATTATTATTATTATTCAATTGACTATTTAAGAGGACCAGTTTCTGATTTTCTTCTTCTTCTTCTTCTGAAGCATGTATACATCCCATTACTATTTTTCAGTGGAGTTGACTATATTGATGCTCCAACACCATACATGATGGGGCTTCATTCAGGAGTTGACACTTACGGGCTAGTCATGGATGGGGTAAGTTGTTTCTTGAATTTAGATGTACAAAAATTGTGTAATATATGGCATGTTTCTTTTTATTCAATTTGCAGCCTTTAAAGCTTGATTGCTGGTGAGTAGGAAGACATATTATATTCTACTTCCATAATTTAACTGGACATTTGCATAACTTTATAATTTTAATTGCAATCCGGCATGATTTTGGAATTCACAATATATATTAGAGTAGGTAGCAGCTGAAGGACAAAGCTTATTATCCATTGATTTGTCTTTCTCTAATGTCAAACCTAAGTTTTTTCCCAGAATACTACTAGTTCATTGTTGTCGTGCCTGAAAAACTTTGTTGGTATATTTTGTTGTCTTAGGCTAGGGGTCTTCTAGTTTTGCATTGTATGCAATGTTGGTTGAATATCATCATTACATACGAGGCTAGTTTCTGGTTTCTATATTACATTGCAGGTAGTTGTGGTTGATCTTGAGCATAATCTCATTACGACATCTGAGGATATCCCTGTGATACCTGAGCCTGAGTTTAGTTCTTTGCGTGGAGAGATAATGAAGTTGTTATATCCAAATGTGGTTGGCATAGACCAGATGAAGGGTGGCACCTACTCTGAGCAATTTATTAGAGGTGGCAGCAAAGTTTGGGGAGAGGATCACGATCTCCATCTCAGGTGAATGTTGTCAGCCCCGTTAAAAATTTCTCAAGTAATCATGGGTTGCTTATCTTCACTCTTTATCTAGTTACCTGATTGGTCTCTTCCTAATGACTTTCCCACTGCAGTTAGATAGTTCCTCTGCTCTATTGTAGCATTTCATGCTCTGACAATGACATTTAAGTTAATAAAATTTTGAGTTATATGGAGTACACAGTTGATTGTCAGGTAATTTGTGCACAATAGTTTTAACTTGATTTCTAACTTATTACATGATTCATACAGCTCGATATGTGGTCATGTGATTGAAGGGAGATCTGTCTTTGACGAAGAAACTGTCTCCTTGCATTAGATGCAATCCTTTTGTATGAGAAACCTATAATGTTGTTCTAATTGCTAATGGTTTTGTTTTTCTAGTGTTTTGCATGTTTATTCTCAGGTCTTTGTTTTAATTGCCAATTGAAGTAGTTTTTTTCCATTTAGTCTATAAGCCGACTGAATCCCTTAGTTCACCAGCATGCTGGACTCGGATTTCATCCCCAGACTGTGCAGCCTCTGTTAGGTTTGACATATTATAATTAGCAGCCTCAGGTGATTAGGACTAATAAACTTGAGAATTAGTCCAAAATACTCAGAAATTAAGGCTGGTCGAATGGAAGAAGGAGAACTAGCAAAATCAAAAACTGTTCCCAAGACAGAGCTGCTCTGGTACCATCTCCGATTTTGAACAGAAAAATCAAAATGAAAGAAATATTAATTTCTATCAAAAACTGTGTTTTACATACAAGGATAGGCAGGCTTTTATACAAAACATCCTATTAAAAATAAAAGAAACTAACCTCTATCTAATCCCATATTCATGGGATCTCTAGCTATACAAAGGAAACATGACCAACAAGATATTTGTTTCCTAAAATAAATTGATTCACATATTTTCCCACACTATAGATAGTTTTCACTTTCAGATGCTTGTTGCACTAGACTTGTTTTATAATGTGTGGAATTAGACAGTTTGATAATTTTGTTGGTTTATGGTCTTACTTGAGGATCTTCTGCCTACTTTTCTCAATTTCTTAAGAGGAAAATGATGCTATATGCCTGTCTCATATGTGAAATATTGTTTGATTTTTGCAGGTTTATATTCCTAAAATTCTTTGCATCAATCTTAGGTGGCTATCGCAATTTTATAGTATGACAGCTCTAACCTTACTATTGTCTTGATAGTTTAGCAATCAGCAGTCTGTGAAGTTATGACTAATTTGTTTCTTGTTAGGAAAATACTGCAACCCAAATATTCAACAGCCAGGCCTTCTTGAAAAAGCGCTCTCGGTCTACAAACCAGCCACTGGATCCTATGGTGAGCCATTTAATTGTGTTTTCTGGGTGCCAAATTGTACTTTCTGATTTTTTTTCAGATGTTTAGTGACTATTTGAATGCACTATGTATATTAGTTGCTCTTCAAATAGTCATGTCGAGGACATAAGATCCGTGAACTTGTTTGATGTGCTCTACTATAACAGATAAGCCAATTTCTAGATTCCCAAGGTTTTTTAGATTATTTGGAGAGAGGCCTTGGTTCTGAAGAACATGGAAGCAATCTTCTTGATAAATTACAAGATGCTATTGGGAGGGGGCAAAATCCTTTTTCAATTCTTCCATCATTATTGACAGAGCCAGAAATTGCAACTATTTCTGATCCTGGATTGGGAATGTCAGGTAATTTAAAATGCATTTTGAACTGGATCTGCTTGATATGCACACCTTTTAAAAGAAGTCGTGATACTACTGACTGGATATGATATTAATGCTTTTTTATTTTTTCTTTTGTCGTTGTCTTTTCTGCCCCGCAGGGTCAGGTGCTAAGTATCGTTATGATAGGTTCCCTGCAAACATCAGAACTGAGGAGCAAGAAGAAAAGAGGAAGCAGATTCTAGCAGCAGCAACTGGAGCTCTTGAATATTCTGTAAAGCACACTGTTAGGTATGCTGTATAAATTTGCTGGTAGTTCCCTTTGCTGCTGCTAAGCAAGCTTGCTTCTTTAATTTAACTCTTTTCTCTTGTCTCTTCATTTAGTTCTCCCTCAATGCATTCTGGTAAAGATTCTAAGACTGAAAGCCTGAGTCCGAGGGAGAGAGCTGTGAGTATCCTATCATTGTAGTTCTAATGGTTTCCACTGGTTCATCTCTGTGGTTGCATTAATATGATTCAACTTGTTCCAGGCTGAACGTGAGCGCATGGTCCTAGACATTAAAGTGAAGTTGCAGGTATGTTGATTTTCTTTTTAGTATTGTTCGGTGGTATTGTGATTGGTTGGAATATTAAGGGTGTGTTTGGATGTAGGATAGGGGGTTGGGCTTGGGGTTGGGAATAGTATATATTTGAATTAGCATAGGTGTTTGATGTGATGTATATATATGTGTTTAATATATGATATTTTGAATGGAAAATTAATTTTGATGTAATATTAAAAAATACTCCCTCACTCATAATTAAAAGTACCATTTTTAGTTTTTATATTTGTCCCGGTATTACTTTCCTATTATAGTGAAAGTATGCTAATACTAAAATATCCTTTAACTTTTACATAAATTGTACACATGCTATTACACATATACATAATATATAAAGACAAAAAATGTCAAAACCATCTTACATACTTCTACTAACCAATAAAATACTATTATTTTTTAATTTACTACAAAATTCCAAATGAGTACGAAAAATAAAATACTAATATTTCTTATTTTACTTCAAAATTTCAAATGAGTACGAAAAATAAAGTATTATTATTTTTTAATCTACTAGAAAAATTCACATGACAGAGGAGTAAGAAATAGGGAGTTGATTTTATTTTTTGAGGGTAAAAAAAAAGTGATGAATAGTGGGAGTGTGACCCCTAGTCCATTTCCAAACACACCCTAAAGTATGTTGCTTCATTAGGAATCGTGAAATTTGAAGTTGCTTGTGCTGTACTAGACCTGGTGCACCTTGATTGTCTAATCTCATTTTTCAACAAAATTTCAGGTCTGTTTGGTTATGTGATTGGAAGTTCGGTTTTACTATTTGGAATGAAAGATATTTGGTTAATGTTTGAGTTATCATGCAATATATATTTAATTAAAAATTAATTAAAAAAATATATTGAAGTATTTTAAAAACTATGCTTCAACAAGTATATTCAATATGAATGATTTTTTTTTGTAAAAAATAAAATTATATAATATAAATAAATAAATAAATATATATTTATACATGATCTATGAATTAATTTTATAGAAAAAAGGGGATTTTTTAATATATATAACTATATATGTTTACTTAGTAGAGAGATAGGAATACAAGATTAGTGGTCTAACTTTAAAAAAAATTGGAAAATGTTTGAGATGGAAAATGTTGGGAGCACGGCGCCAACTTTCCTTTAACTCATGATCAAACTGACCCGAAACTTTCTATTGTTTATATGTAGTTCTTTTGTTTTGTCGTTACAAAAGTTTTTGTTATGTTTGTTTTCTTACAAACAGAACTTGCACATAATAACATTAATAGATTATAATCAATTTTGACATGTCATTCTTCTTTGAAATAAGGTGTTTCCCCAAAGTAGAATATCTTGTCTGATACAGTGAAGAACTTGTAATATTTTGGGGTTTTGTTGAGCAGGGATTGTGGCTACGGCTTTTGAAATTGGGACCAACTGATGATCCTCTTTCATCATTTGAGTATGGAACCATCCTGGGTATGATTTTAAGATAGTGATTTTCATTTTCGTTTTTATTTTTCTGAAAGATTTAATGCAGCGAAATTGATTTCCGTTTCTGGAGATTCTGTAGTTGTAGCTTTTTTAGTAAGGGCATTGAAATGACAAATATATATCTTGGTGTTTGTTATTGCTTTATCAGCTTTAATAGAGTCTGATGCTGAGGGAATTGGCGGTAGTGGATTTGTTGAATGTATACGAGAGCACATCCATTCGGTATATGTTCGGTTCCCGCCAAACTTGGTTAAATATGCCATCATATTGTAAAATAACGTTGACAACCCTCCACCCCAGGGATGGACTGGTCAATTGACGGAAGAACAGTTTATTGCAGTGAAAGAACTGGTATGTTTTACTTAATTCTTCGCATGCTGTGTTCATATAAATTTCATTTCAACACTATCAATAAGCTATGGAAGTATGGATGCTCTCGACCGCAAATGTGAGTAAACGTGAATAGAAAGCAAGACCCTCAGATTGGTCATTAGGGCAAATTTGTATGTCTAAAGGCTTTATTCCAGAGGTTGTCTATTGAGAACTTTCTTTTGTCAGCTATAAAGTTATCAATATGGTTTACCTTCACTATAGATAAACAAATGAACTTCTTGATAGATGTTGAGATATATACATATGTTTGATATATGTCTTACTGTATACTCCCTCCTTCCCAGCTTTATTGTCCATGTTACTATAGATACGATAATTTAGGTAAAGTATAATTAGTAAGTAATTAAAAAGTGTATTGGTAAAAATAATTATTGTATAATAAAATAATTATACTTAAAGAGTAAGAAAATTAATTAGTTTAATTAAAATTAAAAAATTATAAATTATGAAATTTAAAACGTGAAAGTGTATAATCATATTTAAAAAAAAGGACAAATTATGTAGGACGAATCAAAATGAAAAATATGGACAAATTATATGGAGTGGAGGGAGTATTAAATTAAGTGGTCATTATTGTTTCCATATATATTATTAGTTGGTTAATATTTGCATCCATCTATTTTGTACATCGCCTATATATAAGCAATGATTTATTATTCAATACATTTCAAAATATCTTTAGATATGTAATAGGGTATTAAAGTCATATTTTCTATAGGTATATGAGATCCTCAACCTGGAGATCCTACCCCATGCCATCACCACCACTCCAATCTCCATTGACGCCATCCCACTTGAATTCTCTCTAACGCAATGAGCCACAATAAAATATATCAAAACCATTCTGACTTGTTCCTTTTTCCCGACCAATTCCGTCGTCGCTACCCACATTTCGAATTTCCAACTTCAAAATGAAGCCGACCACCGAATGCTGCCACCAGAAGCTGCAAGTATGAGCCACACACACCAACCAGTTTCGCCCTCTGTCACTGCTGGCTGCGTGTGAGAAAGCGTCCCATGTTTGGCAACCAAATTGTCCCAGAGGCAGCATCAGGGGAATATTTCCTACTTATTTGTCAACTTTGTTTCCTGTTTTGATCAAGCCTTATGATACTCTTCTTTTCAGAATTTCTGTGATATGTCTATTATGACTTAGACTCCTTTCAGATTTCTAGATCCTGTTTTGATTCTGACTCACTTTCAGAGTTATTGACCCTGTTTGTTTTGCTCTGACTCCTAGAGTTCCCGACCATGTCTATTCTAACTTTAATTCCTTTTAATGTTACTGACCCTGTCTATTCTGACTCGGACATTGTCGCTTGTTAGAGTTCCCAAGGCGACTGCCCTGACTCTAGAAGGAATTCCTGACCCGTTTGTTCTGACTGACTTGTGGAAGATTTTGATAATTTTCGCCCTGACTCTAGAAGGAATTCCTGACCCGTTTGTTCTGACTTTGACTTGTGGAAGATTTTGATAATTTTCGCCCTGACTCTAGAAGGAATTCCTGACCCGTTTGTTCTGACTTTGACTTGTGGAAGATTTTGATAATTTTCATTTTATTCTTTCTACGCAACCTAGCTTCTACAACACAACCTTAAGTTTGAGGGCAGATGCTAGATATATACATATATGCACTATATTTGTTACTATATATTAGATTAGATGGTTATTGTTATCATATGTTAGATTAAGTGATGATTATTTGCGTATGTCTATTACCTTACTTATTTGTTTGTGTATATTTTGTAACAATAGATGTCAATATTATTATGGGGGTTAGGAGAAGAAGGGGACCAATAAAACTGTAGAATTAAAGAGAATGTGAAACATAACATCGTTTTTTCCTCGGTAGTACAACTAGATGCATCTCCTGACATGCAGATAGTGAGAAATCATGAAACAACCTGAAGCTGGTAGCTTTTTATTGACAGAAACTCGACTCCATTTTGTAATAGAAGATGAATGTCATATGGTTCTACCCTCCATTCTGTTTCACATATTGACCTCATTAGTCGTTATGGCCCCTGAACGAATGCATTTTGATTGTCTATAAAGCATCCATAGTATAAGGTACATCCGCAATTCTGAACTAGTCTGAGATCCTCAAATTTTCAGGATCTTATAATAACTTTAACAATATGAAATATTACTGCCTACATGACACAATTAATAGTTACAGTAAGGAAGCGTCCTTATATTGGGCAAAATCTAGAGCTCTACAGTAACACTTGGGCTTTTAACAGCTGAAAACAGCCATCAGCCTGGCAACAGCCCGGAATGACATGATAACTATCAGGGATGCCCTTGAAGTTTCTGCTGAAATGCACAAGAAGGATGTAAACAATATTCCAGATTATGTTCAGAGGCATCTTCGCTCTCTTTCCATCTGGGATGAACTACGGTATGCATGAATTCTTTCATATGGTGATGTTGCTTTCTTTACTAATGTAATGCAATATAATTCATGATCTGTGCTCCACTTTATTTGTCCGACTGTCATTCCTCTGGATGTTTTCTATTTTTTGATCTTCTTGGTTTGTTGAATGGACATTGGCCTTACAATTCTGGGGATTAAAAATGATGAAGACACAAGTGTAACAATTTTTGAGTGACATAGTAGTCAATAGTAGCGCTATTGCGCCGCCTAGGAGTGAAACAGCTGTCCACTACGACAGCTGTTCCATATCAGTGCATTTACACACTCGCGGCAATAGCAGCATATTCCTGTGGTGTGGGGTGGATTTAGAAATATGGGTTGGCACAATCGATTCAAAATCACCCTAATAGTGAATGACCGAATCTTTACATTTTTAAATAGTTCTCAGGACTAGTCACTAACTGTGCATTGTAAAAGATAAAATTCCTCAATTCCTACAAATACACAGCATGGACAAGGAAATGGTGTTTTTTGTTGATGGATTGAGGATTTAATCTTGTACAATGCTCAGTCAGCAACTAGTGCTAAATACTCTATAGAAAGATCTTTTAGTTCCCAAATCAAGTGAATAGAAAAGAATTATTTCATTAAAGAGAGATTATTTGCATCTGTAACATGTTGGCTGGCATAACCCCCACCCCCCACTCCCCCTCATTTGTGGATTTCATTGTATGGTGTGATTACCCTGAACCCTGTAATGAAATAAATGAAAAAAAGAAACCACATAATTAGAATATGGAAATAAAATAGAAGAATAGGTTGTTTGCTGCTAACCAGTAACTTGCCAACTGAAATTTGAGAACGATTCATTAATTGTAAGGTAGAATAGATTGATATGCCCTGAATAAGTAGACATATGTTAATAAGTAGAAATTAAAGTCTGAGTCTTCTATGAAGCTGTTCACCTCTCTTTGTGACACATTGTTCTCTAGACCTTTCTGCTATAAGCTTTGTTGATTGTTTCTATGATCTGTTGCAGCTTTTGGGAAGGATATTTTGAGTACCTGCTTGACCGCTTTTCTAGCAAGTAAGAACATCATTTATGCTCCATTTTATTTCAGTTAATGGAATCAAAATCATTTTCGTGTTGCAGTTAAATTGATTCATTCAGTCTATGATACAGTAATGAAAATTTGTCCTTTATTTTATTTTATTTTATGTTTTATAATGTGCCAGCTTTTTAATTTATGATGTCAATTTTTCTCAAATGATTATATTAAGAGGCATTTAGTTTCATGAATGTCAGTAAATGGTGCTCTCTTCCAGGTAACATGGATAGATCCACACACGAGAAAAATCTCAACTACCTCCTCTTTTATCCTTGCTTAAACTGTAACATGGATAGATCCACACACAAGAAAAATATCAACTACCTCCACTTTTATCCTTGCTTAAACTGTAACGGTTGAGTCATGAGCATCTTATAAATGTTGAACCTGCCACAGAGTCCTAGTTCCTTATGGTCATTAAACTCTCCCATCTTATAAATCAAATTGCAACTTATAAAGTCTTGAAGCAACCATTGTTTGATCTTCCATGCTGTTTGATGATGTGCAAGGAACTTGTAAGCAAGTCTAGGTTGCAATTGACGCAAAGTAATATTCTACAAAACTTGGTATACCAAATCTTGTTCACAAGTACTTGTGTAAAGTGTTTCCCTTGCCAATAGATTGTTATGAGTCAAGTTTTATGCTTTGATGGGCAACCTGTGGTAGTTTGGTTAACATTGCACAGTGTTCCTTAAGAGTGCTTAAGATTTATAGATAAAAAGGTGAAATGATCTTGTTTACTTCGTATACATAGTTGAGGAAGGATCTGGTGCAGCCTTGAGCTCCTTTTCCGTGGCTTGATATATATTCTATATATTTTGAATCTTAGATATTTGTAAACCATTCCAGTATATTGGACTGTGAATTGATTATTATTTGTTACATGTACTGTAGTCTTAATCCTTGATTTTAGCTAGTGATTTGGCATTTTTTTTTTTTTGATCGGAAGGCTTTTTTTCTTCATATGCAACATGCACAAAATAGTTGAAAACCCCATTCTGAAATTGAAATGCCTACACTCACCAGTTATCTTTGTGGTCTTTCTTATCTTAGGTCAACCAATTATGCTACGTTAGTGACAACACAACTAATCATAGTAGCAACTCATATGGTATTGTTCTACCTCTTGCTGTCATTCTCTCATGCTATTGCTATTCTCTGTTTTTTTAAGGTTCGTTTTTTCAATTGAATATCAATTTTCTTCTCCTATATAGGTTGGCTTGGGACTTTCTGACCTCGATGCATGGTACATGATTGAGACAATAGCAGGGAAAAACAATATTGGATATAAGCACATCGTAAGATACATAATCCATGTTTGTCAAATGGTTTAATCTGACCTGATCTTTTTGTCATTAGTTATTGATAGTTTGATTTACTTTTGGGCACGTTTATCATAAGGATTTGGATTGATAGGCTATTTTATCTACCTTAATTTTATATTTGTCATCAATTATATGAGACCTGGTTTGAGAAATTGCTCGTCATTGTAATAGTTAATGTTGTATTAATAATCTAACCAAGGAGGCGGATCTCTTAGTGAGTGGGTCAAATCAGGATGGTGCTAATTTGATCAAATCAATATGCATAATAAAGGTAGACATCATAGCATATTTGTAACAGAGCATCTGATGTCTACCTACCTTTAGTATATATGTAGATTGGGTTGACTCAATAAGCAAGAGATCTGCGTCCTCTAACCAAATTAAGTGTTATTAGTTAATTTACTACAAACTCTCCTGGATAACTTAAACTTTGTCAACTCATGGTATGTATACCTTATGATTTTATCCATCATGTTTAACTCTATCTATTTTTTGCTCAAATATTACTTTCCAAATCATTATTATCTTGTCATGTTTTTAACGTGTCGAAATATTTGAAAATTGACATTAGTCCTTGACATTTGATTCATGTTTTGAATACTAGAAAATTATGTGAGTCTTCCTTCCATATTCATCTATCAGAATATTTATGTGCGTTTTGGTGTGAACAAATATTTATGTGCGTTATGGTGTGAACAAATATCGTGTAGTTGTATGGTTATTCATGTTTGATTATCTAGAATAGGCTTAGTAGTAATATTTTATGAATGATGCCTATTTCCCATTTTCGTTTTTCTGCTTTCATTGTATTTGCATGCTAACCAATACCACCTGAATCAATTGAAAAGAACTGTAAATCCTTTGAGGCATGCTTTTAAGATGCCCAACTTGATATGCCAGGATATCAATATGCTTGTCCATAGTGTCTCGTGAGATGCTCATGGTTTGCCTTTATTATTGTCATTCAATGCATCATTATATTCCTCTTATATCGATAAATTTATATATCCTTTTATAAATAATTTGCTGTGTATCAGATAAAGATTAGAGGGTTCCTATCGCATATCAGACAAATTTGGATTGGATATTGGGGAATATATTCTGGTAAAACTCAGTCTGCATCCTCCTTTGGATTGCCTTCTCCGCGTCCACAACATGCTGCTGATAGCACTCAGCAATCATCCGAGGCATCTGGCGTAGGAAGGAGCTGGGTACAGAGCATGTTTAGCCGGGATCGAGCGAGCTCCTTTAGTCGAGTTCGTAAATGGACATCTGATGGTGGCAATTTAGGTATGTTAGTCTTCTTTAGAATGGAACAATTACCTAAATTTTCTCTTAAATAATAATTTATTATTTTTGATACAGCTGCAAATGAAAATGGATCCCTTCAGAAGCAAGATCTGTCCCCAACAGGGCAGAAGAAAATACAGACAAACATCCGTATGCTAAGAGGTCATAGCGGAGCAGTCACTGCATTGCACTGTGTGACCAAAAGAGAGGTTTGGGATCTCGTTGGTGACCGTGAGGATGCTGGATTCATTATCAGTGGAAGCACAGATTGTACAGTAAGATTGGATAATAATTCAAAGTTTTTACTTTCAAATGTGATCATCCAGGAAAAACGTAAAGCATTCTATTGATTTTTTTCTTTTTTCACACTAATGTTTATTTTTTTGTAGCCGAAGAAACTTTTGTTGAGCACTTTATTTACCTTATAAACTGGCGCATTGTTCTTAAAAAAATATATCAGTAAAAAATGATATTTAAACACTGTTTATTTGCCCAGGCAAAGTGATTGTGCAATGTGTCAGAACACAGAACTGTGACTATTTTGCACTTTGAATCATCATATGCTATCGGATATGATCCATAGATACACATATAAATCTCCAAGAAAGAGAAGTTTTTAGTTCAGGATTACCAGATGGCAAATGTGAACATTTCCTAAAGTTCTTTTATATATTTATTGTACTAATATACTTCCTAACAAAAAGAAAAATTATCTCTGTTTGTCATGTGTTAGATATCTAAATCTCTTACTATGTTTTGCTAAGTTGAGTGAAAACCCTTTTAAATTTAATATTTAGATCTGAAATTAATTTCATGCCATTCTCCTCGTGGTTTTTAGATGTACCAAACAGAAACTCCATAATCTATGATTTCATCATAGATAACCTGCGCAAGACTTTAAAAATGACCTCATCCTACCTGTTGCCTTTCAAATTGCAGTCATTGAAGTGTTCTTTTCTGTGCTGTGCTGATTGTGTTTGATAGCTTATGGAACAAAATTTCAGGTGAAGATATGGGATCCTAGTCTCCGTGGTTCTGAACTGCGGGCTACTTTGAAGGGCCACACTAGGTATTCACGTCCCCTCCACCCCTACCCCCCGCGCACATCTGTTAGATCAACATTCTTTGATGATTTATTTAATATCACTGGTGGATTCCCCTTGCTAAAGAATTTAATGCTGACATATATAATTTATAATCACCTGTTTAACATCTTTCAACAGAACTGTCCGGGCCATAAGTTCTGATAGAGGGAAGGTGGTTTCTGGCTCAGATGATCTGTCAGTACTTGTATGGGATAAACAGACAGGTCAGCTTCTGGAAGAGCTGAAGGACCATGATGCACAGGTCTGATTGGGCATTACAGTTAAACTGCACTATGTGTAAACACCTCCCCCCCCCCCCCCCCCCCCCCCGCATTGATTATTATATCTCTTCTGCTTCTGGGAGTATAGGTTGAAAAAGCTGCTTAGAGAGGAAGGTTTTGGTCTGATTTGTTAATTGTATGCAAAAGAGAACACTCTACATCTCAGATCCTAACTTTTCTTTCCAATACATATAATGTTTCTATGTTCCTTTTACTTGACAATTGTATACCTTTCAGTTACTTCTCCTAAGAGCGCACACTGTCTGTTATATCTCCTTTAGGTCAGCATTGTGCGGATGCTTTCAGGTGAGCGTGTCCTTACTGCTGCACATGATGGAACTGTGAAGATGTGGGATGTGAGGACAGATACATGTGTTGCAACTGTTGGCCGTTGCTCTAATCCGGTTCTCTGCATGGAATACGATGATTCCAATGGGATCTTGGCAGCTGGAGGCAGAGATTCGTAAGCTACTTAATTTCCTTGTATAGGTGTCCTTTCGCAATGAAGAGAAATTCTAGTTGCAGTGGCCACTGAAAATGACTTTTTTTTTTCCCTCTTTGTATGTCCACTTTTAAGGATTGCAAACATTTGGGACATTCGGGCTGGAAGACAGATGCACAAACTTACAGGGCATTCAAAATGGATCAGGTGAGATGGTCATTTGAACAATTTTTGCTGCTTTGTAAGTTTGGAATCTGAAATTCCTTGGTGACTACACAGGTCCATTAGAATGGTTGGAGACATGCTTGTAACAGGCAGTGATGATTGGACTGCCCGCATTTGGTCTGTCTCTCAAGGAACATGTGATGCTGTTCTAGCTTGCCATGATGGTCCAGTGTTATCTGTGGAGTACTCTATAGCAGATAAAGGAATCATTACAGGTTAAAACCACTGTTTTTGCAACCAGTCCTTTTCTGTGGCTGTTATTGCAAAGTTAAAATTTACTTTAATGTGTCACATTGTTCGCATCTTATCACATTTTTTGTTATATTTAGGATCCAATGATGGACTTCTTCGCTTTTGGGAAACTGATGAAGGTAACAGGGTTCAATTTTGTTCAGTTGTTTATCGGATATCTCATGGGTATAGTACACAGCTACACATGCCTCCTTTTTAAAAGTTGCACCAGCTTCTTTTAGATACAACTAATCAATGTAAATATTACAAGTTTATTTTAGCTTCTCTGATTTTGTTGAGGAATGTGATTTATTTTTCTCCATCTCTGTTCCGTTGTACAAAATAAGTTTTAATTCTAATTTGAAATGAGTATCTTTTGGAATTGTTGTGATATTGGTGATTGGTGGTTAAATGCTTTGAACAAGGATTTCATAATGAGACGCTATAAATTTATCTTGTTCTCTGTTTTTTAGGATGCAAGGAATTGTCTGTGATTGACACAGCTCAACAGCTTGTGTTTCTGCACGCTTTTTGTTCATGTAGGACTTATGTTCTTGGAGCATAGATACACACTGCTAATACTTTCATGTTTCATTATGCAGGCGGTATAAGATGCGTCAAGAATGTTACTATCCATAGTGCCTCGATACTGTCTATCAATGCCAGTGAGCACTGGTTAGGAGTAGGAGCAGCCGATAATTCGATGTCCCTCTTCCACCGACCTCAAGAGAGGCTTGGTGGACTCTCCAGTACAGGTTCAAAGATGGCTGGGTGGCAGCTCTATAGGACTCCGCAAAAGTCAGTCGCTATGGTGAGGTTCCCTCTTTACTTACTACTACTATTACTTACGTTGGAAAGTAACATCATGAATGGGCCACTGGCTCTAGACAGCCATCAGGTTCTTTATTCACACTATCAGTATATTCTGATGTATCTGATAATGGGCCACTGGCTCTATGACAAAAACAGAATTTCCATGTTTATCGGTAACTGAACTCTATGGCGTTGAGCAGATACCCCTTGGGTCTGATCAACAGCATGAGAGTGAAATATGCTCAAAAACACTATTCAAGTAAGTTTTGTTGGTGATGGCTTCAGGTTAGATGTGTAGCTTCTGACCTGGAAAGGAAGAGGATCTGCAGTGGGGGACGAAATGGGATGCTGAGGTTGTGGGATGCAACTATTAACATCTAGACTTGTTTGCCTGGATTGCACGCTGTATACAGTTGGAGAAGAACCAGTGAAGCGATATTGAATTACGCCGGTCGGGGATTGGAGCAGAACCAGTGGAGCGTTGGCTAGGCTAGGTAGGTATGCACAACTGTTGTTGCTGCTTGAATTGGAAATGCGATGTTTTGGTTGGTCGGGTGGTTCTTCCCAGGTATGAAGCAGTGTCGTGAGTTTTGTTCATCTCTCGCTTCGCTGGGCTATGCATTGCCTGGCTGTGTTAGTGGTGTATTAAGCTGGCGTCCTTCAAGGCTGGTATGGTCTTGGTCTTGGTCTTGTCTTGGTCTTGGTATTATGATTCCATCTTTTTCTCGTCTTGTCTGTGTGCACTCTCATTCAATTGGTTTGATTTTTACCGAAATCACTTTCCTTTTTTTGTTTTGTATAAATTTTCATGTGAGTTAGTTTCCTTGGATGCATTATAGATAGGTGTGTGTGTGTACGGAGAAACGAAAAGAAGAAGATAAAAAGGGGCATTGAGTATCCATTCACAAATAATATGGGGAAGATGCATGCGGACATAATTAGTAATGAAATGCAGCAGCAGCCATCAATGCTCCACCCCTGAGGCCCTTGAAACCTACTCGTCTGTGTTGCTGCACCACATCAGGCAGGCAGGCAGGCACAAGGGGAAGCAAATTAAAGCAACACTGAATGAATGAGGGAATGAATCTTAATATCACGTTTACTTGGTGCAAATGCAATGCAATGCCATTCATTGCCTGTCCTGTCCTGTGTTGTGTTGTCTATCTTGTTGGCTAAGCACCAAAACAAACTGCGTGCCCACACCTACCCAAGTGTCAATCTCTCTCTCTCTCTCTCTCTCTCTCTCTCTCTCTACTCCTTTATCATTACAGTCGGATGATGAATATATATATATATATATAATATTTGCTTCTTCACTTAATTAACAATTCCTTAGTGTTGCCACCAATTCCCACTCCCACTCCCACGCCACACCACACTACACCACACCACTGTTCCCTGCATCTTTATTATGATAGAAAACTAGAGAGTTGGAAAGAAAATTAATTCCTCCGGTCCGGTAATGCAAAACCCACGAATTAAGCAACGCAATGAATCGGAGTTCATCAACATATGATAGATAACATACTTGCCCTGCCCTGCCCACAGTTTCGTATCATTCTTCTTTATTTATATAGTATATACTATAATCACTTTCTTTTCCACTATAATCACTCACCCCCCCCCCCCCCCCCCCTCTTTTTTAAGCAATGAATCAGAGTTCATCAACATTTGATAGACGTGCATGTATATTAAGTGTTAAACACGACAAATTAATTAATCGCATACTGATAGCGGGCAAGTTGACTTTGTGAGGAGGTAGGTGAGTGCAAAGTTAGGTAAGAGCGTTGACTGGGGGCAATCAGCCAACTTTGATTACATTTTGTTACGGGTGGCTGGATCCCATTCCCATTCTCTCATCCCATCCATCCCAATCATATTCATACAGACAACAATAAATAATACTATTAACATTATTTATAACAGTATACAGCCCCATATATCAAATTAATTATGACGACTAACCATCTGTAGTTAGTAGTACGGTACGTTTTGAAGAAGTTGAATGCATGCACATACAAAAGGCATTACTTGACTGCTTCTCTGCTAGTTATATCTATGGCTGCATAGTCTTTCTTTATTGCTGCTACATGTTTCAAACAAGTTGCTATATATATATATATATATATATATATGGATTGTCAATGTATATATATATATGGATTGTCAATGCAACCCTCCCCTTCCTCTGCAACTTGTTTACTTATTTATTTCATAAGTCGATGATTGACTAATTCTCCTCGTGTTTTTGTTGTTGTTGTTAAGTCACTTAATTAATTTCTTACCCGATTTGCACCGTTTCTCATATGCCAGCTGGCCTTTATCAGTTGTCTTCTGTCTTATATTTGTTTTAATTCGCTATATTGGTTAAGCGTCTTCTTGCATATATAGCAATTAGTAGATCTCCATATACCATCATTTTGCATATTATATATATATATATATATAGAGAGAGAGAGAGAGAGAGAGAGAGAGTTAATTTGAGCCAGTTTAAATCACTAAATTCTTACTGAATAAACCAATAATGACAGCAGCCTCCGCTTATATATATATATATATATATATATATATATGTGTGTGTGTGTGTTACTAACGAAATCGGCATGCATGCATGCATACAGCTCTTGCCCTCCTTTGAAGCACATTAATTAATTGAAGTAGCACCCAATGGACTGGTATATATATAATTAATACATACATAATTTCCTAGTTAGCTGCTACTTTGATCTCTACTCCTTACGTACTAGGAGATAGCTATTAAAATATATAACACTTCTTGTCCTTTGTACCCATTAAAATTGTCTTAATTCCCTTGGAAAACGAATTCCTTCGTTATCACAATATTATCATAATACAAATGTAGTGACATGCAAACTCAAGTTCTATATTAAAAAATTAGAAGAAATATCTACACCTTAAGTCCCACATATAATATCATTAATACGAGGTCTTTAGGAAAAAATTCAAAAATAAATTTGTGTAGGTTCCACCTAAAGCGGACAATATGCATACTTATAATACAACAATATAATTAATATGACTAGTTTGTTTATTAGAAACATATATATATAATTTGTTACGCTTTGATATGTCAACCTGCATTGAATTGTGGCATAGCTTTAATTATATAAGCTATAATGCTCGTTTAAATACTAAAATTCCTTACCGAAAATTATTATATTGTGCTAACGATATATATTCCACATATCATTAAAGTAGAGATGTATACATATATACACATATATATATATATATAGTTCACAGCCGGGTCACTGCAATATTTGATGTTGCAAGTACTTTTGATCAATAGATTGATATTTTTGCATATCATTAAGCTTGAGGTTGTTTAATTTGCCAGTATTGCAGAGCTAATGAGAACTTGTTTTTAAGGTTATTGATATAACTAGCTACATGGAAACTTTCGATGAGCTAGAACACCGACTATTTTTATTTTAATTTTAACTTTTATTTTCGGGAAGTATACAGTCTTCACCATGTTGTTGCAGACATATATATATATGAATAGATATATAAGTGTGTGTGGCTGCTGTTCCTTGATTAATTAAGGTCACCAGCCGTAGACAAATGGAGGACAAAGCCTAAAAAACAAAAAAAGTATAGTATAGTACTGGATGTTTGTAATTATTAGAGCATATTATATAGTATCAATAAGCGCCCTCCATACCAGCAGAATTTAGATAACATATATAGATGGAAGTGGATTGGAAATATTGAGGAAATTAAGCATGCAGCAGCATATATGAGCAAATATATGATATATATATTATATATATATATGATATATAGAGATTTGAGAGCAATATAAGATAAAGATAACTAATTAATGAATGCATCACCCGATCATCTGCCGCATGGGAGGAGTCATCATGCCAATCTGCTGCTGCAGTCTGGCCACGTTCCCAGCCCATCCTAGTAGTAGTAGTAGCAGCAGTAGCAGTAAAAGAATGAATGAAATAATCAATCAACCAATTAATTAATGAATGAATGAGATGTAGTATGTATGTAGGGATGGAGGTATGTTCCAATATAATTAATTACCAATGGAAGGGTCGAGGCCCCTGGCGTGGAGCTCCCGGTACTCCTGGCAGAGAGCGCAGCACTCGCAGCAGCAGTGCACGAGGCAGTCGGGCGCGGGGGATTCCGCCAGCCCGAACTTGGCCCGCATCTTGCTCCGGTAGCCGCACGACACCACGCACGGCACCGCCAAGCAGCATGCTACCCCCCCGTACACCATCCCGCTCGTCCCGCAGGCTGTAAGATAATATGCCAATATATATATATATATATTAATTGATCAATCAATTACTAATCATTTGCCCCTAGCTACCTCATTGGCTGCTAGCTTCGTACTTACATGTCGTGCCGGAATCCACGATCTCTGCAATCTGCCCGAATGTCACGCATGGGAACAACACTGTGATGAGAGCTGAGGTGGCCGAGAGGACAGTCGTCAGTCACACGTGTATACATATACATATATATATATATCACTTGATTATCAGCAGATCGATGGTGTAACTAATATTATCATAATCATCATCAACAACAACAACAACAAGATCAACAGCTATATATTAGATATATATGTGACTTCATACAAGCTAGCTAGCTAGCTAGCTACTGATCGATGATGAAATATAGATACAAAAAGGGATTAATTAACAATACCGGTACGTATATTAATTGAGCTAGTACGCACATACCATTTTGGGGGTTGGCCATGCAATCAAAGAGATGTGTCTTCCAAGGTTGATTGGGGATTTGTTGAAGGGGGGGCTGCTGCAGCATTGGATTTGGAGCAGCAGCAGTGAATGGATGACCCACCGGAATCCCGATATAATTATTATTAGTTTGGGCTGCAGCAGGTGGCCGAGTACTTGGCGGGAGAGCTGCAGGCTGCAGGTGGGTGGTGGTGGTGCTCATCATCATGTGATCTTGACGACGACGACGGGGAGGAAAGGCCTGAGTCTTATTGAGGTCATCATCATCATCATCATCATCAACAACAACAGCACCGCCGTGATTATAATGATTACTATTATTATGATCTGGAGGAGGAGGAGGAAAGGCCTGAGTCTTAAAAAGATCCTCATGATCATCCTCATCATGATTTGGAGGCGGAGGAAACGCAGCAACAGAGTCCTGAGTTGCTGCAGGTCTGCTCTTCTTGTTAGAATCAAAATTGTGCGCAGGTGGTGGTGGTGGTGGTGGTTCATAGAGATCTTGGTCCTTGCGGTGGTGGTGGTAAGGGGTGCCGGCGTTGTCTCCCACCCGTCCCATATCTGATCCGATCCGATCTGATCTGATGTTAAGTCTTAATTAATTTCTGATGGACGGATGGATGGAGGAATCTGTAGCTCTGCACTCGCTCGCTTGCTCCCTCTCCCTCTCCCTCTATATATAAAACAAAGAATAATACTACTGCGTTGTAGCTCTCTCTCTCTCTCTCTCTCTCTCTCTCTCTCTCTCTCTCTCTCGGAATGCATTGCGTGCATGCATATGCCTACAGCAGCAACCGACGAGTTAGTTCTCATTTACACTGCTTGCACCTCAATTAACCCAACCCAATTACTGTCAAGGGCAAGCACATATTAACCCAACCCAATTACTGTCAAGGGCAAGCACATATTAACCCAACCCAACTATATATGTCCTCCTAACTCCAGAAAACAATAACAATAATCACAATAATGACGATGATGATACAGTGTACAGCTATATATATATATATATAAATGCAAATATATATGGACTATGGGAGCAAGTCAGGGAGTTCAACAAACTACTTGTAATTAATATCTCATTATATTGATTTTATATCATCAATTAAGCATATAAGGCGACCGCAGCTGTATATATTTATCAGACTTTATAGATACATACCTATTTATCTATATGTGGATATGTGATGATGTGAGAGAGGAAAGGAGGGGCGATGCTGAGATCCCTCCGTGTGTGTGTGTGTGTGTGGGATGTATAGCGACGACAAAATCAAATTAAAATGCAAGCTGGCCTGCCTCCTGTTGTTGGCAATCCCAAGTTTTGACTTTTGTGGCCATTGATAGACAGATAGATCGATACATAGATAGGTAGAGGATCGAGAGAGACGATGAATTTCATATATAACTAACTAATTAATTAATAGTGAATACGTGGAGACAATATTGGTTGACTCGCAAAACCCGACTTAATTTCGTTTTTATTAATCATCTACGCATATGAACTAACAACTAATTCTCTCTCTTCATCTATATATATATATGTATATAATATGACAAATAGTATGAGTTAGTAGATGATTTATTCTTTTATCATTTTAAATCAAACTCAATAGTATTATTTATTTTATACCATTTTTAATAAAAATATATTTTTTTTATAAAACATCCTATCAAATTATTATTTAAACAAAAATTTAAATAAATTTTTTTTTATTTTAAAATGATTTCATACAACAACCAAATAAACATAGTTACATGTTTACCTGGTGACGCATTTGATTGTATTTTAGTATATGCTAAGATATTTTTTATTTAAAATTGTTTTTAAATAAATAATTAAACTACGTATATGTGATTTTACATTTTTTGAGAATGTTTTTTCTAGACTGAAGATGTATGGTAATATATATATTTGATCATACACAAATTTAAAAAAGTAGAAAAAAATAAAAAATAGTATTTTATTATTGAAAATTGAAAACCTCAAATGAAAGCATTCTAAATATTTTGTTCCGTGAATAAATAATTTAGAGGGTACCAATACACACACCTGGTATTCTCGACAAGCTATTGATTAATCCGTTATCTATTGTTTGCAAACTAGGTCCACAGGCAATTCACACGCGACGCGAACGTCTTTTTGACTGGTGTTGGTGACATTGTTCATCATTTCCTTAAACAGCAGCCGCAGGCAGCCGGCACATCCAGAGCCTTTGACGTCCTTGACTTCCAACCACTTCCTTTCTCCTCCTCCTCTTCTTCTTCTTCTTTCTTCTCCCCTACAGCCTCCATCTCCACTTGGTCAAGGTCAACTATCCCTCCTCCACCACTGCCGCCGCCGGCGTCTTTTCATCTTCTTGTTTCTCAATCCTCACCATTCATTGAACACCCCCTTCATTTCCACGATCTTCTCTCTCTTAGTGTGTGTCTTGCTAATTCACTCACGATCAACCTGGATTGTGGCCTTACCTCCGGGGAAAGCCCCTGGAGCTTTCTCCTTGCCGCCCCAATGGGGATCCTTTCCAATATCTGCACCTGCCTACGAAGAGCCAACCACGCCGATGCCTCCCCCACGGACGACGCCGCTCACCAAGATTCTTCCGGTTTGTTTTTCAAGCTCGAGGCGTTGCAGATTGCCACTAATTTTTTCTCCGACTTGAACCAGCTTGGTCGCGGCGGCTTTGGTCCAGTATACAAGGTCTATCATCAATTTCTTTGAATTTTATTAATTAATTAATTAATTTCCTCTCCGAACTCCATCTTATCCTTACCAGCAAGCTAGGCTGCTGGCTAGGTTTCCATTCCAAATGCCCCTCCATCCATGAGCTCCGTTCTTAATTTGGCGGCGGTCGTAACTCGTAAAGGGGGATCAGTCTGCTTGTGATCACAGATAATCAATTACTGATCTTTTTTTTTTTTTTTTTTTTTTTTTTTTTTTTTTTTTTTTCTTTTACCTACATTTATTCAATTTGTTTGTTTGTTTCCCCACTGTGATGCCCACGAGGGTGGGTCCAGACAAGCAGGATACATGAATAATTCTTCTTCTATTGCTTTCTGTATCATCATTTTTGTATATCTAATAAAAGAATCCCCAGTGGTTTTGGCTTTCCCCGTTCCTGCAACTACACAGGAGGGAGGCTACCAATCAATGCTTTCATCTCCTTGTGCATGCTTAAGTATTAAGGTTGGCTGGCTTCTCTTTCAGGGATTGTTGCCAAATGGTCAGGAGGTTGCCGTCAAGAAGTTGTCTTTGAATTCAAGACAAGGGCTGAGAGAATTCACGAATGAAGTCAAATTGTTGCTGAGGGTACAGCACAAGAACTTAGTCATGTTGCTAGGGTGCTGTGTGGAGGGACCTGAAAAAATGCTTGTCTACGAGTATCTGCGCAATCGGAGTCTCGACTACTTTCTTTTTGGTATGGACCTACCTGGCTCTGCATGCGATGAATGTTGATCGTGAATAAGATATTGAAAATGATAACATTCATTTTCAGATAGAAAGAAATCTCCACTTCTTGACTGGGCAAAAAGATTCCAAATGGTGAAGGGTATTGCCAGAGGTCTTCTCTATTTGCATGAAGAAGCTCCGGAAAGAATCATCCATAGAGACATCAAAGCCAGTAATATCTTACTCGACGATCAATTAAATCCAAAAATTGCAGATTTTGGTCTGGCAAGGTTGTTTCCGGGGGACGAGACTCATCTAAGCACATTTAAGATATCTGGAACTCTGTAAGCAGTTACCTATCCATCTGTCTCAATTTTTCTGAAGTCATCTCCCTTACATCTAGTATAGCTCCATCTTCCTGCCCTCATATTGGCAAGAATTTTGATTTCTTTTTTTTTTTTCTTGCTTTTTGCTGAAAACAGCGGTTATATGGCTCCTGAGTATGCAATGCGTGGATACTTGTCCGTGAAGACTGATGTCTTTAGTTTCGGAATCCTGGTTCTGGAGATTGTTAGTGGAAGGAAGAATCATGATCGCTCGCTTGGTTCTGAAAAGGCCGACCTGCTGAATTTTGTAAGACTCAATGCGGTTTCTTTTTCTCTGCAATTTCTTCCTCAGTCAAGATAGTGTGTCTGGGTGTGGGTTTGTGGTGATATAAATCCTCGACTATTTAGGGAAGGTGTTTTCCAAGAGGGTTAAAAAGAATTGGTATCTTAAAGAAGTGTTGCACTAAAGTTGCTAATGTGTATAAAGTCAAGGAGCAATGAGAACTGGCTTGATTGGCACCGGAAACAGCCACTTCAGTCATAGACTACTCTATACTGTATACCATCATTATTGAGCAGCTACAAAATCCATAACAGTTGGCTTAATATGGTTTCGATTATGCGCATGATTTTAACCTGATAGCTAAACAGTTGTGGTTTGATCTAGGTTTATACTATTGTGCTCTCTAGTGTGACTTGCACTGCTGTTACTTCATGTCAACTGCAGAAATGCCCTCCCCGCCCCAAGCATTCATGGTCATGGTCATGGTAGGTTGGTTGATCCTTGATCCTTAATGTTTGTTTGTTTGATTTTTTATTGTTGATAGGCCTGGAAATTATTTGAAGGTGGGAGGGCGCTGGAAGTAGTGGATGCAACCCTTAAGGCAGGTCGATGTGTTGAGGATGAGGCGGCAATGGCAATGTGCGTGCAGCTGGGACTCTTGTGCTGTCAAGGTAGGATTGTGGAGAGACCGGAGATGCATGCAGTTCACCTCATGCTGTCAAGTGATTCATTCACTCTACCACGGCCTGGGAAACCTGCGGTACACGGGCGTGTGGGAGGGTGGACAACCGCCTCCTCTAATCCTTTCACGGAGAATGCGTATGCCGGCAGCACAGCCACGGTGACGATGGGTGCCACCGCCAAGGTCTCGACAACAACAAATAATCTTTCGGAGGACTTGTCTACAAATTCAATGTCCTATTCGTCCATAGATGAAGGCAGATAGGTAGATAGAGGATACCATGTGTTGACTACTGACATGCATTGTGCCCGCTCTGTCTAGTAGTAATATTTCTTATGAATACAATTGGGTAAAAAGGTAGAATGACCATACATCATACATACGTACGTAGTAGATGCGATAAAAATTGATAGAGGGAGTTGTTAATGGGTGTCGTCGACCCTTGATTGGGTAGGTTGGTTTCTTTATTTTCTGTGTTTTTTTCTTTTTTTCTTCCCGCCGAGTGGAAAGAGTATACATATTATTATACAGACGCATGGGGCTGTACCATAGCATGGAATGGATCATCGGCACCAAAGTATCCTTATTCGATTTTAATAAATAAATACATCCAGTCATCCTCAAGGTTTAGTTGGTGTAAGACCTGAGTTCAAAACTCTTAGTTGACGACACCGACGCCGGCTGGAGGTTCCAATCTTTTGTGTTTGTTTGGGAGTTGAATTTTAAGTTGAGATTTAAAGAATAAAAATTTTAAATTTGAATAATAAATAGATATTGATGTGATATTTTGAATATAAAATTAATTTTAATATTATATAAAAAAATATTTAATTTAATATTTTTAAGAAAAAAAAAAAGGACGAACTGTGTATTTAAAATATCATACAAACACTCCTCAATGAATGCTTTATTGTTACCGACCGTTGAAGTTGGCCCTCCTGCACAACCACCCACCCTACTTTGGACTATCCCCTGGAGTAGCAGCAGCTGCACGCACTTTCTTTGTTGCCTAAATGCCCAACCCTAAATTTAAACCCAACGCCAACGCCAACGCCAACCCGCCCAAACCCCTACTGCAATTTAGCAATTCAAACACACAACCCTCCTCGCCCTCTCTACATCCTCCTCTTCCACTTCTCCTCTCTGCTCCTCCCCAATTACAACTACAATTACATTTACAGTAACACCACCATCTTCTCTCGCACCTGCACCCCCTAAGTTTTCTCCCCCTCTCTCCTTTGATTGGTCCAACTCCAATTTGGGGCTCGCTCTTACATCGTTCTTGATTCTTCTCTACTGCCAAGAAAGAAATCCCGCAAAGAAAGTCTAGACCGTAGAATGCCTGTATCGACTAGGTCCAAGGATTTGAGCAGCCAACAGAAAAGCCATCCAACTACACCAGCAGCACGCAGAACCCAACCACTCTCCACCCCCGACCAATGTCGTCAACCAGAGGATGACGATGCCCTCAAGCAGAAGATGAGGGCATTAAACCTTTTGTATGAGCAGCACAAAAGTGCCCTCTTCAAAGGCAAAGAAGAAGCACACTTTTCCACCCAACCCACTGTGATGGGTCTTGTTTCTTCTCAAAACATTGTTCATGCGACGCCACGCCCGACTTCAGGGTCCGACGTCTTCAAAGAGAACGACTTTGTGGCAGCTCATCAACCTAAAGTGGCCAGGAAGCTCTCACTGGGCCCTCCCAAAAAGGAGGAGGAGAATGCCGCAGAATTAGAGAGCTCCAGTCGTGGCCGAATTCTGGTGTTCGTGCGGCTGAGGCCTACGACGAGGAAGGAGAGAGAGGCAGGATCCAAGTGTTGCGTCAGAGTCGTAAATAAGAGGGATGTTTGCCTAACAGAAATCTCAAATGACAAGGACTAGGATTATCTCCGACTGAAAAGGCCTCGCAGCCGCCACCTCACCTTTGATGCTTCATTTCCAGACTCCACCTCGCAGCCCCAAATTTATTCCACCACGTAAGTTGCTCATGAAGATTTGGCATTTCGCTATCCATCATGAACATTTTGGGCAAAGTTTCCTTAATGTTTGTATATAAGATGATACAAACAATCTAGATTGTGAGTTATGTTCAACTTTTCACAGAACAGCACACGTTGTAGAAGCTGTTTTGAAGGGGAGAAATGGGTCGGTGTTCTGTTACGGTGCGACGGGGGCTGGAAAGACATACACGATGCTCGGTACGGTGGAGAATCCAGGGGTGATGATCCTGGCTATCAACGATCTCTTCAACAAGATCAGGCTGAGGAGCTCGGGCGGGCAAGGGCACCATGTGGTTCACTTCTCATACCTTGAGGTTTACAATGAAACTGTGAGAGATTTACTGTCCCCTGGCAGGCCCCTTGTTCTTCGAGAAGATAAGCAGGTGGGTACCTCTTTTAACTCTTCTTCTTCTTCTTCTTCTTCAAGGAAATCTAAATCGGACAATGGAACCAACACGTGCCAATGAAACTTCGTCAAGGTCTCATGCAATTCTGCAGGTAGCTAGCAGCAGCTGCTATCTGTAAAACTATCCTTCTTACATAATTGTCTATTCGATCCGCATAATGCAATCTCAGGTTGTGATTAGGTACCAAGCGCAGAATGGTTTGAATAATGATGCCCATGCAGTAGGAAAGCTATCGCTCATTGATCTGGCTGGTTCGGAGAGGGCTCTGGCAACAGATCAGAGGACACTTAGGTCTCTTGAGGGCGCTAACATCAATAAATCTCTCCTTGCCTTGAGCAGCTGCATGAATGCCCTTGCGGAGGGCAAGAAGCACATACCATATCGCAATTCCAAGCTCACTCAATTGCTCAAGGATTCCCTTGGTGGCACCTGCATCACAGTGATGATTGCAAACATCAGCCCCAGCAGCCTGTCCTTTGCAGAAACTCAAAACACACTTCATTGGGCAGACCGAGCCAAACAGATCTGCATCAAGGTTGGTCTTGCTTCACCGTGTCTCTATTGCCCTTCATACATACATACATACAATTAAGTTTTGGTTTATAAAAAGCAGGATGCTGCGCAGGTCTCTGACATACACGAGGAAAAGCTGAAACCAGATTCTGAAACAGATCAGGACAGGTTAGTGTTGGAGTTGGAGAAGGAAACAGAGAGTTGAGAATGGAATTGGCTCAGCAGCACCAAAAGCTGATGACAATCCAAGCGCAGACCTTGGCATCAGCAGCAGCTCCAACCCCGTTAAAGGCTGCGGCTTTCTTATCCCCAGCAGCACCAACCCCGTTAAAGGCTGCGGCTTTCTTATCCCCTACTCCATCTTCTCATGATCAGACCGATGGAAAAAGGAAGCTGAAACCTTCTTTCTTGGGAGGGGGTTGCTTTTCACCAAGATTAAATGGAAGAGTGGAAAATGAGATGTTAGGAGAACTGGCAAAAACTGTAAGGGCACTGAAGGCAGAAATTGAGAGAATTAATAAGGATTTTGCGGTGCAAATAAAGCAAAAAGATGAACTGATCTGTGAGCTTTCAAGTAAGGTTTCAGAGCTAGGCGGTGGTGAAGCGGCTGGGGCGAGCAAAAGCTCATTTGATGCAGAAGAATAAAGCAACAACCGGTGGTGGTGGTGGATTGATGAAAAGCCCCCGAAACAAGATGCTTGTACCGTCATCATCACCCACCACTTCCACTGTCAGAAAACGCAGCTTTTGGGACATAGCAACAGCAACCAGTCCTTCAGTAGTGCAATTAACTGTAAGAAAGACCAGAAGCCATACTGCAGCAGCAGTTCCTTCCATGCTTCCCCAGGTAGTTGTGTTTACTTGTTTCCTAGAAAGAAGAGGAGTAGTGCATGCATAAATTTACGTGTTCCCATTTCCCAATCCATCCTGTCCAACTTACGTGGTGGGGGGGGGGGGGGGGGGGGGTGGGGGTGCATGGCAGTTTGCTGAATCTATCGTTGGAAAGCAATTAGCCAAAGTATGCTACTGTTGGGGGAGGAGCGAATGATTTATTACCGTCGGTAGCAACTGCCTTCATTACATTGCATTATATGCCCAATGAACAACCCAAAATTTTAAATCAACCCCAACCTCAATTCGGAGAACAACCCTTCTTCCTGACGCCCGCCCTCTGTCTCTTCTCCCCAATTACAGCAATTACACAACCTGATTCAACTCTTATCTTGTATCATCCTTGACTCTTCTGTGCTATCAAGAAATCCCACAGAGAAGGAATGGAGCGCAAAATGCCTACCTGCCTGCGTCAGACGAGGTCCCAATCCAAGACTTTGAGCAGCCAAGAGGACATGTCCATTGCCCTCAAAAAGGACACAGATAAGGCCACTATTAACCCTTTCGGATAAGCAGCAGCACTGGCAAAAAAGGGACCTCGAAAGCAAAGGAGAAGCCCGCTTTTCAATGTCACACTTGGAAAACAAAACTTTGTGGTGGGATTCCATACATCTGAAGTAGCTCTCCTAGGCCGCTCCTCAAAAGTGGGAGGAAGAGGAGAATGCCTACCGGTCAAGAATCAGAATGTCGTGGACTAATGTGATGAATGAGGAAGGGAGAGAAGAGAGCTAAAGCGTATGAACTCTCTTGACTTGAGAGCTTTAAAAAATAAACAGCAAAAAAAAAAAAAAAAAAAAAAAAGGAGAGTAGATCCCTTTAGATTTTTTAGTTTTTGTATGTTTTTCTGTCCTCACAATTTAGGTGGGCAGGCAGACTGAAGAGTCGCCTCACACGTACACCACAATAGCAGCATAACCACCATTAATAAATTAATAATATCAATAGCAATCGGAGTCACGCGCGCAGCGCTAGCATACGGTTTGGTGCGTTTCGGATTGAATAGATTGTCGATTGATTTGATTTTGCAGACACCGCTTCCCTCCGGAACTGCTAAGGGCTGCTGCGGCATATGGAAACCGTCGTCGTCAGATGCGGCTGCTTGCCTCCTCCTCCCTCTCCCTCTCCATCTGGTAACTCGCTCAACGCTTTCTCTTTCTCGCACCTGTGCCCCCCCCCCCCCCCTCGAGGAGGAGGAGGAACTTTGACTACCGATGAAGACACGGAACACTTCTGCATACTCATTCATTCCGCTTAACGTTTTTCACAAGTTGAAACCAATCAATTCCATGTTGATGAAGTGCTCTAACTGGGATATCTTTCCTTCCAGTTCCAGACACACAATACCACCATCCCTATAAATTCACTATATTGGATTTGGATTGCCAGCTGCGTGTACTACATACATTCAATCAATTTCTTATGCTATAGTTACAGCCTCATATTTGAGCGAGCCCCTGTATTGCCTAGGTCACTCTGTTTACTGCAACTGTTCTTCTTACCATACAGGAGATAGATGGCTTCACAAACAATTGATCAACCGAAATACCTCTATGACAATGCCGATTGCTGGTCTTGGGAAAGGTGGCGGGGTTCTGGATAAACCTGTCATAGAAAAGACCACTCCTGGCCGTGAATCTGAGTTTGATTTGAGGTATGGATGGATATTGAAACTTTTGCCCATACTTTCAATGGCATCGCTGGAGCACTAACTTCAATGAAGATTTAGCTTAAGATATCGGACTTGCACCCTAAACCATTTCATAAGCTTGTTTTATTCCGTGTTACATTAGTAACTCTTAAAATCAGTTTATCTATTTAACTAGTCCAGATTCACCACAATAATTTTCTGGGGTTTTCTTTTAACTAACAAAAAAAAAAAAAAAAGTGTCAGTAAGCTTGGATGTTCAGTGCTGAAGGGGAGTCTAGTCCCATAAACAACGTATCAAACTCCCTATGTAGTACTTGGCTGATTCCATCCTTAATCATCAATGTCGTAATTATCTTCATTTAAGCATTTATTCTCAAGTGGGCATATTTTATCTAAGACTCACAGTATATGTTTCTTCTATTTTCTTTGTAGTTTTTTTTGGAATTTTCCTTATCGTTATTAATGTGGAGTGACGAGTTTTTATTTTCGCTGCATTTTATTGGGCCTGGAGGTTTTATGCTCACATTTCCAAACCTTGTTTTGCATTATATTCTCATTTTTCACCTATTAGAGCTGTCCTGATTTCCCTTCTAATGTATACATTACCTAATTTGGCTAGTCTTGTATACTTGCATGTCATCTCACCATTCTAATTTTAGCCACCCTCATTCTGTGTTTATTTCAACATACCTTATCATCATTAAACATTCCAATCCATCATTGTTCTTGCCCTAAAATTTCTGTCCTTTAGGTCAGAATGGGGACTTTATGGTCACATAATATAGATGACTACTTTGTATCTGAAGTACGAAATTATATGGGTCATATTCTCGGTACTCATATTATTTGTAGTCAGAATACCTTAATACTGTCATCTATTATCTTGCATTCCTCCATTATCCCAACTTGATTAATACTTTAATACTGGGAAAGGTAGATGCTTTTAACTCACACCATATTAGAATATTAACATCTCCCTAATTTTATGTTACCATAAGTCTTGTAAGACCCTCACCATTTAATCATCAAACCAAGCAAGCGTCTGGCTTGGCTAGTGTGATTATTGCCCCATATTACTTTCATTTGTCTGATTATCAATTTTGTCACTGTTCATGGCATTATGGAGTTTCTTATAATGGAAAATATGAATAACTTTCACCAGAAGTTAGTTGGTATCATTAAAAAGTGTTCCATATTATTCTTTAATATTGCTTCATTCGTATTGGTTTATTCTCCATGTTTGGAGGCAGGAGCTTTTTGCGCTTATGCTTATTACAAACCAATTGTGTTCTAAACACTTATAATGCCAAAATTCCATTTAATAATTATGCAGTATGTGATACCATATTGTTGCTTTACGGTTTGAACGGATTCAATTGATTTGGTTTTACAAAAGCTTGGCCTTCAGTCAGCAACCTCAGCAATTCTTTTGTTTGCATCTAGTTTCTGCTGGTATCATATGATTTTTGAGGGGTTTCTTGTCATGATAACAAATGCAAGATTTGAGATTCAATGTTTCTTGTTTAGAAGGATGAGTAAAAAATCCTTTGTTTCTATCTCCAGGAAGGCAAGGAAAATGTCCCCTCCTTACAGGGTGCTGCTGCATAATGACAATTACAACAAGAGAGAATACGTGGTGCAAGTGCTCATGAAGGTTATACCAGGAATGACTCTTGACAATGCTGTGAATATAATGCAGGAGGCACACTACAATGGAATGTCTGTGGTGATAATATGCGGTCAAGATGATGCAGAGGAACATTGCATGCAACTCAGAGGTAATGGGCTTTTGAGCTCAATAGAGCCTGCCAGCGGTGGTGGTGGGGGATGTTGAATAGGAGATGCACGCATGCCGCTAATGGTACAAATATGTTGGCGTGTACATACGGAAGCTACTCTGGAAATTGGATAGTTCATCCACATTACCATGAGAACCCTACATATTTTTCAGTGCAGTGCTGTGCCGTGCAGTGCCGAATGACTGCTATTCAGGACAACCTTCTTCATATGTGTTTGGTGTATCAGTATAGTAACTATAGTATGGTAAGCAGAATTTACTATGGCAGTGCATGCACCACCCCTGGGTTACGAAGAATACAAGGAACTAGTGCCAAGAGACTGACTATTTGTTAATTACAGATGCGTATGCTTTTGATTTTATAGGATAGGATAGGGTAGCATATAATCAAGAGTAGTAATCAATATTGTGCAAACAAAAGGCCAAACGATCGTAAGCAACAGCCTGAATGCATGCATGCATGCATTAGGTAGCCATGGGTTGCCCTTGCAATCACCCCAGTACACGCAGAGGGACAGGGGAGAGAGAGAGAGAAGAGCAGTAGGGTGGGATGCAAGAATGGATTCGAAAACGAATGTTCTCCCTGGAACAGCAGGAGCAGCTCTACTTATTATTTCCTCTGTTCCACATACTATGTCTGTCCGTCTCACATACTATGTCACTTTCATTTTTTGAAAAATAATTATACACTTTAATCTTATTGGATAATTATTTTCTATTGATTACATCCCTTTTAAAATACATGTCTGTGTAGCAGACACGATACGTGGGACGGAAGGAGTATTTTATAACCCGGAGCCCTACTCAACCCTTAATAACTCCCAGACAGAGGGAACTGAACTCACTGCACTTCTTGCCTCAAGCGCACTTGACTGGCTAAAATATACAGTGAACATTACGATGTCGGAGCCTGGACTGGAGCTTGGTTTTCGTATAGCATGTCCCGTTAACTACCCATAAGAGTAGTAATTGACGCTGACAGAAACAACCTCTACGGTAAATTACGGTAGTGATATTTATTTTCCTGTCCTCTAATGATTATAATTGCGATAATCAATCCCATTCCCATTTTTATCGAGGATGCTAGGAATCATTAATATTATCATTGGAACTTTTGCCTACATTAATAGGAAGAGCAGCCCCATTGAAGGCCATAATATAATAATCAAAATGGGCTAAAAATTATCCATCCACAAATGACGCATGTATTGAGAATGGAGGGGAGTGGGGCATGGAGGGGGGTGGGGCAATGCAATGATGGGTCTCAAGGTATTTTATGATCACAATTTAATCCAATACATATGAATGAATAGTCTGAACCGTGTGATTCACTCTTTCATATTATAATCGAATAAATAAAAAGGAATTTTTTTTTATTGTCTAATGAAATAAAAATAACAAAATAATTAAATTAACGAAGAACTAGTTATTAAAGGATGGATGACTCGAGGATGATGCAGTTATACAGTTGTGTTTTATTATCAATTCAATAAGTTAGTTCATTAAATTATCAATAAATTGGTTATAGTTATAATAAGATCTGACAACCAATTTTTTCTTGTGTAAATAACTAAAGTACGCCGTTAACTATCTCTACTTAAGCTAATAAACATAGGTATGTCCATAAAAAATAATCGCATTCTAATTTAGAAAAACTCAATTTTAAGCAATTACTATCTCAGATGAGCAATTAGATTTGATTATCTATAAGAAACTATTCAATTCGTTTATCACCTGTGTGAATACAATTGCAAATATTATACTTAAATTGACTTTAGATTATCAAACCAATTTAAATATCAGTACCAAAATATCAAATCAATCTAACAATTACAAATATTATTATCGGGATTAGATAAATATTGATAATAAAAAAGTTAAGAATCTCCAAAATATCTACTTCATGAACAATAAAGAAAGATAAAATCTTTTCTGTTGCTTACGGCGTCCTCTTCGTCTCTGTGTAACTCCCTCTCTCATTTTCTCTTTTAATTTTGCCATATTTTTGTAGCAGTTAGGCTTTTGGGCCTTCAACTTCATTGTGGAATGCTGATTTTTGTTCTTTTATTTTATTTTCAAATTCATCAAATTTGTTTTTTTTCCTGTATATCGAAAATAAATAATACACATAAAATCCAATCAAAATCAATTAAATATCACATAAAATACATGCAATTTCGAACTATTAAACAACACCACCCGCACACCACGTAGTAATAATAATAATAATAATAATAATAATAATAATAATGATTGGTATCCTTTCCTTCCTCAATAATTATTATTCATGCGTGCCTGCCGGCCTACCTGCCTGCGTGCATGGTTTCTCTAGAACGAGTAATGCTCTGTGTAATAAGCCAAGGAACAACCAACTGCCATACTAATATGGATTATTAATGGTAAAAATGAATCCTTCCTAAACATGCATTAATTAATCAATCTTATCCACAATCAAAATCACGATCATATTTACATACATATAGTCCACATTGTTTATTCAATTCGTTGCACCGTTTGCAGAATCTATACTCCCAAGATTTGGCTGCTGCTGCGTGAGTGTATGCATGCATCTGTTTGATCCATCCTATAACATGTATCGTTCCCTTTCCTTCACATCCCATCCACAAAAATTAAGATTAATTGTAGTTACTTCTCTATCTTTTTTTTATTTTATTTTTTTTATAATATGAAAACTGTATATTTTATTTTATTTTATTTATAATATGAAAACTGGTAGCCCATCAAATTTAATAATTTGCAAATTAAATTCGATAAGACAAAGGATCGTAAGTCCACCCTCGGGCCACCAGAACATCAGTTACCTCTCTATTTGGATAATTAACGAACTGATAAAGGTTTCTAACCTTATTGAGAGACACAGTGAGAGAGAGAATCTCTATATTCGTGTGTGCCACGTTCAGTCAAACTCCACTATAAATACCACCACACGGCCCCATGTGTCTTCGCCTCAATTCAACTAACTCATCCCCCACGACTCAACCCACGCTATCGAAATTGCATCCCCTCTTCCATCTCATCGATCACCACCTACAGACATACAACAGCTACCCTGCCTGCAGCTGCACTGTTGACATTCTCACCATTATATATATATATCAAAATTCCTCTGCATCCATCCATACGAATATACATACACATATCTATATTAGCATGGCCGTGACTATTCAGACCACCCTTAACTATCTAATATTGATCGCAACGGCTGGAAACCTTTTCCTGCACCAGCTGATCCCCATTGCTGCTGCTGCTGCTGCCACGTATAACATTTTGGACTTGGGAGCAGAGGTTGATGATGGCGGCATGGCATGGGCAGCCACCAATTCCAATTCAAATTCAAATTCTAATTCTAATTCAAGTTCTAATTCCAATTCCTTAGTGGAGGCATGGTCCTCAGCCTGTGCCTCCACGAAGCCATCCACAATTCACATACCCCAAGGCAGATTCTTGCTCAAAAGCCCCCTGCACTTTAAGGGTCCCTGCGCCAACAAAGCCATCACCTTGCACATCGACGGCACCCTCGTCAATGCCATCCGCCGCCATAACTATAGTAATACTAACAGCAATTACTGGTTTCTATTTGAAGGAGTAGACGGCATCTCCATACGGGGCGCCGGAACTCTGGACGGCCAAGGTGCTGCCCTCTGGGCTTGCAAGCAATCCGCCGCCGACGCCACCCTTTGTCCCAGCGGCCTCACGGTACCCGCTTGCCTGCCCACCTTAGTACTTAATTACATACTTACATACATACATGCATGTACACAACTGATCGATCATCTTACTACCACGCCGTCGCCATGCATCCTGTACAATTGGACAGGCGTGCATTAAATAAACAATAATTAATTATATTTGCTTGCTCGCTGGCTGGCTGGCAGACTCTGGGGCTGTGGAATTCGAGGAATGTGGTGATGAGTGGGTTGAGGTGGGTGAACAGTGAGATGTTCCACATAGTGATCGACGGGTGCGAGAATGTGAGGGTGGAGGAAGTGAAAGTGGCTGCGGCGGGGGAGAGCCCCAACACGGACGGGATCCACGTGCAGATGTCAAAGTGGGTGGAGATTGTGAAGGCGAGGGTGGGGACGGGGGACGACTGCGTGTCGGTCGGGCCGGGGACGGCTAACCTGCGGGTGGAGGGCGTAGAGTGCGGGCCGGGGCACGGGATCAGCATCGGGAGCCTGGGGAAGGAGTACGAGGAGGGCGGGGTGGAGAACGTGACGGTGGAGAATGCCGTCTTCAGGGGCACCCAGAACGGCTTCCGAATCAAGACCTGGGGGAGGCCCAGCAGGGGATTTGTCAGGAATGTCCTCTTCGACCGCGCGCTCATGGACCACGTGCGCAACCCCATCCTCATCGACCAGAACTACTGCCCGGACCACCGCAATGATGCTGCACGCTCATGTCCTCCCCAAGGGCGAGGGCTGCAGGTGCGCCACGCCGCGCCGCGCCGCGCGTCATCCAGCTTCATCACTCACTCACTCATTATACACATATTCTTCATTCGTGCCATCTCCATCTGCTAATTAATTTTGCAGGTATCCGGTGTGCAAATCAGCGGTGTTACCTACCGAGACATCCGGGGCACCTCAGCAACACAAGTGGCCGTCAAATTTGAGTGCAGCAAGGCCAATCCCTGCCGCGGCATCAGGCTGGACAACGTCAACCTGAGCTACGATGTCGACGACAACGACAACCAAAATCGGAGTCAGAGAGCAGCACAATCATCTTGCTCAAATGCAGCCGGCACCTCCTTCGGCCACATCCAACCCTCCAGCTGCTTGTTTTCTATGCATTAATTAATTAATTATACATTTATATGCATACATGTTAGTATGCCTGTCTCCGTACATACATATATATATATATATGTAACCGGCCAAAAGGCAAGACTGACTTCCTATTTGGTCGTAATCTTAATTACTTTGTTGCGGTAAGAGTATAGAGACAAACGTGCATGCTGAGCTGAGGCTACTGTAAAACAAATATTAATTTGGGATACACATTGCATGTGTATGTATCCATGTATGTTTATATACATATAAATGCACATATACATACACATATATACACATACAGTGTATGTGAGAGGGGGGTGGGTGGGGCTGGGAGGGAAGGGGGCTGGTGATTCCCTCCCACTAATTTGGGTTGATATGAGTACGGGCGGAATTTACCAAGTTTGATGAAGAAGAGGAAGGCATAGAGATCTTGTCGAATGTAGGAGTGAGAGGAGTGAGAATAATAGCCAACAGCATTAGTGTATGCATGCACTGCAATCGGCATTGGTTGAAACTCTCGAGTAAATTAATTTAAGGATGGAAGAAACAGGGCTGGGGATTGCAACAAGCGGTTCTTGGTTGTTTTTAGTCCAAAAAATTTATATTTGGGAAAGATTCAGGAATTAAAATTTTTTATCGGACAAAATCAAGACAGTTTATTGATTTGATATATATAATTTATTTCTTCTTTTTTTTAAAAAAAAAGGCCACGCTCAACTTTTGAGCCAAATGACATAATAAGACTCCATCAGCTTTCAAATTCAAACACAGAATCGTCAACAGTCTGACCAAATAGTACTAAATAAGAAAGGATCAGAATCATATCTCGGTCCACTAGCAATCCCACCATAGAATCACCAAACTAATTGCTCATGTAAACTGCAGCAACAAGTCATGTAGTAGTATTGCACCATAGACAATCTTAAACAAACACAGACTCATCAACAGTCTGACCAATACATGAGCTGCAACTCATGTGTATGTTATAGTAATGCAGATAAGATATCCAGTCGTTACAGAAGGCACCATCTCCCAGCTTGAACAAAATCATCAATCCTACACAAGAAAAGAGTGCCGCAGCCCAACTCATTAATAAGGAAATAATCCATCCATAATATATGAAGGACAATGAATATTCATTCCCATCAAGTTACTCTAATGAACCTTGGGAGAACCATAACCATTAACCAATGGAGCACAATATGCATATGTATTCACAAGCACGCACCCATAGAGCTCCATGCTTGTGAACTAATATAGTGCATTATACTAATCTAACAATCTCTATTATGGAGTAGCTATGTATGAAAGACATGAATAAAGTTGATTACCAAACTCAATGGAAAAAAAAGAAAAAGATACTGCAGTGGGTTGCTCGTGTCAGATCACAAAAATCTCTTAACCCTGGTCTATTTCTTTTAAGTATTATCACAAAGAAATTAGGAACATTTAGGATAATGGGATGGATATGGTGGATTGGTGGTTTACCCAAGTTCTAACCTAACACAAAGTTTGCATGCTTTCTTTCCAACCTAACCAAATTCCCGTCCCAGGTCTTGTCTTGCATTGAGTTCAAAATATATAAAAAGTGAGAGATATCCCACAGAAATACAAATACAAAAGAAAACTACAAGACACTTCTAATAATTATTTTTGTCCTAAAAAGTAAACACTAAAAAACATAGTAACTGATAATCTGTCATCCAAGAAATCACTTCAAACATAATTAAAATTTTATTGGTACTTCAATTATGTCCCACAACTCACCACACTGGCACTCAAATATTTGAGAGATTCATAATTCATGCCCCAAAGTAAATGGATATTGGAACCGTACAGTGGTTTTGTTTCCAGATATACACAATTTTCAGAGTAAATCATATTCAAACATTATCATGGAAGCTGTCTCTCAATGCCAGGTTGTAAAATTTTCTGTGACTTATTCCCTCATAATTTTGATATTAATACCTATCACTAAAGAACAAGTTACGACTCACATTTCTTATATGCATTGACATCAAATAAATATCCAGCCAGTCTATATCAGGTTATGTATAATGAACCACACTCAGATTTACTTATGATAAGAGGGTAGCATACCTCATCATCATCATCTTCACCTCCATCTTCCTTCTTCTTCTTAAGGCGGGTTGTACCGCCCTCCTTAGAAATGGGCAGCTTCATAGCTCCAAAGGGTGTGTCAACATTGATGTTTCCTTTCATCGAGTAGCCAGTTCCTCTCCCTCTAATCATATCCCAAAGCGCAGAACCACAGTCCTTTGGCCTAAAAGTGATGGGAATATCAATGTAGCTGATCCCATTTTTTTCTATGTTAGCAGACTTAGCAAGGTCTGCACAACCAATGCTCACATCAGATAACCAAATCTCATAGTCAAGGTCATTAAGCCCCAGATCAAAGTCATTTTTATTTTCCAACTTTAAATGAACAGTGGCGACAGTCTCTTCAAAAGAGAACTTCTCAAATTTAATTTTCTCAATATCAATGTCTGGCTTGTAAGGTATAGGGATCTCTCCAGTCTTTTCAAGAGGCAGAGTAAGCCTACCAAACACTGGCACATCCACTATGAGGTCAACCTTGATTTTGTAAGGAATGATGCTTCCGGGCTTTATATCATTATAAGTGCTCTTGATATCATCATATATCAAACAAACTGGTATCTTAACAGTCTCAGAACCATGTGCGTGTATCGTCCCAGCATCAGGAATAAGTCCAGAAACTAGTTTCCTCCCATCACTCTCAATTAAATAGTTTATGTCAATGAGAGGGATGGGAATAGGATTCGGGTTCTTCACAAGGACATCCACAACTAGATCAGCCTTTTCAAGATTGATGTGGGGAATATGAATCCCAGTAACATCTGCAGTTGGTTTCCCAAATCCAATTGTCTCCTCAATTTTTTCTCCAATATCGCTGATGAAATCTTTAACCTTTCCAAGAAACCCACCATCTTCTTGGTCTTTCTTGTCTTCCTTGTGTTCCCTGTCTTTAACTTCCCTCTCAATAACCTCTGATTTACCAACGGATTCCATAACTGCCAGGCAATGAAATTAAAATAGTTAACATAATTTAGCCAACTAAAGAGAAATTGAGTTCAGTGAAGCTACAGGGCTACGTACAGCATATATCAAATTGAAATTAGAAAATGCAAAGAATAAGCGCGATAATCATGATCTGCATTTGTAGTCCCTAGTTTTATTGTGGGAGACTAGTATGACAGTAGTTTTAATATATTGATCAATCCCACTTAATAGTAGCAGAACTCCAAATGTGAAATAGAGTCAGGTCAAGGCCCATTAGCTATGCAATGGAAGTTCAAACTAGAAAATGGAACCCAAACAAGAATAATTATTAAAGAAACATCAGCATCATATTTGGTGAAACAAGAGTTCTTGCAGATCTAGCTCATTCCATGAGAATAAACTTGAGAAGGTGAAAGATCCAAAATCCAGAGGCAAGTGTTATCAAGTAACTTGATAAGATCACAGATTTTATCCATTTTTGCACCCTTCTCATTCACAGCCCTGTAAATCATCTTTCGAAGACTTCAATTGCAAATGAAATCAGAAATTCGAATATATATATATAATATATATGTATGTATATATATGTGTATACGTGTGTAGCTGCGTAAGACTAGAGATCCATCATCCAACAAGCTCAGGACCAAACAATGCCCACAATTACTTGAGATTGTCCTCCAAAAACAAACGTAGGTCCTAAGAGGAGTGATCTGATCCAAATGCACCGATCGGTAAAAGACCAAAATTTGAGCATACAATTGAAAACAAATCCGCAGGGATGAAGCCACATACGCATGTCAATCACAGATAAATAGAAGGGTAGATAAATTACTATACCGAGATGAAGCGCTGAAGCGGATGGCAAGGTGGAAGGAAATCAGAAACGAATGAAGGGACGGAATGACAATATCAGTGTGGAGTGTGGAGAGGACATAAGATCAAGCGCCGAACAGAAAAGGGGAAGCAACCGGAGTTGCAAAGAGCACGTGGCGTAGAATTTTGGGTGGTGCCGTTCGGTCGTGTCCTCTGTGTTGTGCTGTGTTCCCACCTCACCTCAGGGTATCTCATCAAGTAGTACAATACACAGGATTATTTTTATTATTAGTCAATTAATTAATATCCGCTGTGCTGATTTATACTTTGCCGACAGCGGGCTGGACAGATGGAGGAGCCTCTACGGTCCTTATTCAGCGTCCATCGATCTCCTGTGGCCCATACATCTACGGTCCTTATTCAGCGTCCATCGATCTTTCATTGCCCACACATCTACCGTCCTTAAAGCAACAGACAAAAAAAAAAAAGCTAACAGTAATAATAAAAAAAAAGCCACCATAGACATGTGTTTAATTTTATTATAAAATGTCCACTTATAAAACAAAATAAATAAAAGTAAATTGTATCCTTTCATTTACCCCAATTCATACTCTCTTCGTTCCGGGCAAAAGAGTCGGAATTTTGTACTAAATTAAAAAAAATAATCTTTTATTAGTTAGTTAAATTATATAAGAAATTTTGACATTTTTGTTATTTATTTTTATATATAAAATAATTGTATATGTAATGATATATTTGTAATTTAGGTAAAAAAGATAAGTATTTTTGTACTGGTGTATGATACTTCGAGCATATGCAGATGATTTTTCGACTTTCCATTTCAAGTAATAGGCTTCACACTCTTATTTATTTTTTGGGACACTTAGTGTTGATTACTTAGAATTGATAGACTTAATGTTGCTTGGTTGGTGTTGATGCCTTAGGCATGTTGCCTTTAGCCTTTGATACTTAGACTACCTAACCTATTCTAGTATCTAAGCTTAACTTGGACTGTATAGCTTGTATCAGTAGAACTACGTATGGCTTGATCCTATTTGGGTACGTAGGCAGCCCATTTTGAGTGCAACCATAACTATATAGTTTTTTTTTTTTTTTTTTTTTTAAATAAAAACCCTAAACCCTAAACTCTGAACCCTTAACCCTAAACCCAAAGCAGTGTTGTTGCCGAAACCGGGCCTCACCCGTTGTCAGTGACTGGAACGCTAGTTGCGGTCGCATGCGAGGACCGCTTTGCTCCGTCGCTAGCTGCGATGCCCACTGTCGCCGCTTATCATGTCTCGGTCTCCTTTGCCGTCCTCGGCTGCCATCGGTGCTCAGCCGCGGTCACCTGGCCCCACCAAGGCAGTTACACCTCCGACTAGTGCTACCACTCTATCTGCCCACAAGTCTTTTGCTAGGGCAGTCACCTCTGGCACTGCCTTTGCAACCCCCTATGATGACGAAAATCAATTCTTCTTTCTGACAGCACCTCATCCCTCCCCTGTCGGGACATGGATTTGCAAGGGAGCGCCGCCGTGGTTTTCTTTTACTATTGATGAAACTTTCAGGTACGCGGCCACCCACCCGTTTACTTTGATTGGTAAATTCTCTTATGGCTATTCTTCCTGGAAGGATCTTACCGATGGCTTTGCAAGCTTTCGTCTGCAAGGGAAGTTTGTTTTGTAGCGTTTGAACCATAGGCATATCGATTCGCCTGATGACCACCTCTGATTACACTCGCCTGTGGATCCGAGGGACCTAGTTCATCAAAGGATTCCCGATGTGCATCCTCAAATGGACCCCGAGCTTCAAAACTTCAGAGGAGCCACCCTATGTTCCAGTGTGGGTGACCTTCCCCTTGTTTCCTCTCCATATATACCACAGGGATATGCTCTTTGTAGTTGCTTTAGGTATTCGTTCCCCACTAAAAGTCGACACCCCACTGCCAACCGGAGCCGCTGCCAACCATTGCCGCTGCTTCCATGCACGTTTTATTGTGGAGGTTGATCTCTCAAAGCCCCTCATTGATACTTATGAGATTTATCTTGCCACTGGCGTGATCGAAAAGAAGGTCCTCTATGAATGTCTTCCTAGCTTCTGTTCCTTCTGCCGTCACCTCGTCCACGCAGCTTCTGTCTGCCTACGCCAAGCTGCACCCCCGCCACTGCAGGTCAAGGTTACAGCCAGCCGCCTCCCTCTTCCCGTGGTTCCTCGCCCTGATACTGTGTCACTGCCCCCTCCCTCAACCCTGGGGCCCCGACACCTGCCGCCGCCATTGAGTCCCGACAACCCCCTCGGCGCCGCTGTCGTGGTCGCCACAATCGCACCCAGGGTAAGCTTACTAATGACCCTACTGTTAATCATGACACTGTGCAGGGAGCTGTTCAAATCCTCCGGCGTGAGCACCCGAGGCCATCCCAAGACACCAATCGGGCGCCTCCCGCTACCTATCATAGACCGCAGGGCCCAAAACAACTTTGCTCCGGGGTGAAGGTTACCTTTGGGGATGCAATGGTTGTCACGGATAACTCACTGTATGACAACCAATCGATGTTGTCTAACCCAGAACAAATCGGCGCCACCCATGTCCCCCCGGTGGCCCATGTGCTACCAGCTCATACTGTGGTAACTCCTGCGCCCCTCACAGGAAATGGACCCTCGTTACACCTCTCTTCTTTATTGTAGGTGACCTTTGGGAATGTACAAGACTCGCTGATGGAGTTGAGAGAACGTCCTTCAACTATGCAGCCCTCGGCTGGACCTGCCAACGATGGCCCCTTGCAAGGGCGGCGGCCATCCTACCCTCGGACGGCTTTTTCCACCGCCTCTGCCCTTTCTATACCTAAATAGCCCTCATCGGGCGAGTATGAGTCCCTTGGGGCAACACGTGTGCCTCCTGATAGTGCACAAGGACCCTCGGAAGCTATGCAGCAGCCCCTTGCAGGACCTGCGGACCCCTTTGACTACACCTCTGCCAGGTGCTCGCTGACACCTTACTTGTGCAAGCCAGACAGCCAAGCACCTCCCCTGGTTCTTTGCTACCTTTGAGGGGCGGTCTGGTGCCCTCGGCCTCCCTGGTGGCTGCTACGGACCATATGCCGGTACCCCTGAAACACAACCGGCCTTCTGGGGGCTTCCCCCTGGACATGGCCTTGATAAAGGAAAATGGGTGCTAGTTTCTGATTCGGTTGAGACTTCTAATCGCCATCGATGTGGCCTCTCAGTAGACACATGTTTTTCAGCTTCTCACACATTTTCTCTGGATCCCCTATATGATGATGACTCTGCCCTCTAGACAGACTTTGTGGATGACTCAGAAGGGGATTCGCCCCTTATCAAGGATGGAGCTCCTCTTATTGACTCTCTAGCGCTATCCCCCCATGACACAGCTGGTCCCTTTCGGGGCCTTCGCACTGGGACCCCTAGTGTGGAACCACCTGACATAGTTGATGTTGGGGACGGCCGTGGTTCTGAGCAACCCCTCCTGCAGACTTCTTCGCAGCCGCTTCCCTTTTCTATTGGCGGCGGCTCTGAGCAGGGAGGAGTGCATTCTGAACACAATTGCAGACCCCCCATCTCTCAATGGCTCGTTTGATACAATATCGACGGGCACCCAGCAGTGGCCATTGCTGCCGGCCTTCTCTCGGCCGGTTACCCACAATATCTCTCGTCAACGTGACAACTTTTCCAATCACCCCTCCACAATTTCTCAATGACGAACATCTCTATGTTAATCTAAAATTTTTGGGGCATTGGCAACCCCCGCGCTCAGTGGAAGGTGCATTGGCTCTGCAAACATCACCATATTCGCCTCCTTGTCCTTTTGGAACCTATGGTTGTGGCAGATCCTATCTATTTTTGCCGCCAACTTGGATTCTCTCATATGCTAACCAACACGACCAACTCCATCTGAATCCTTTATGCGACCTCCTTTCGCGTGGAGCTTCTTTAGGAGATTGATCAGTGTCTTCGTGTGCAGATATCATCTCCGCAGCTCCGCCGCCCTTTCTTGTTCTCAGGTATTTATGCTCAATGCTCTATGTACAACATTGGGATCTATGGTCTTTTTTGCAGGATGTAGTAGCCTCTAGAGTGAGCTCTCTTTGGCTGATTGATGGTGACTTTAATGCCATCCTGGACATCTCGGAGTGTTGGGGCCTTGGCTGGCCCTAGCTGCGCTCAATCCTGGATTTCTCAACTGCAATCCTCGATACAAATCTCATCGATGCCGGTTTCGAGGGCCCTACAAACACATCGAAAAATTGGCAGGTTTCGGAATGCCTCAATCGGATGCTATATAATGCCATATGGAAGGATTTTTCCGGGTTGACCCGTGTCCGGCATCTGCTGTGCATGCACTCTGATCATGCTCCATTGCTAGTTCATATTTCGCATGAACGACATCAATTTACCTCTATTTTCAGGTTTCAGAACATGTGGACCAGCCACCATACTTTCCAGGACCACGTTCGATAGAGCTAGAAGACCCCAACCGGTACCATTGGCTTCCTCAACCTATGGATGAAGCTGTGGCGCCTTAACTAGGCTCTCAAGTGGTGGAATAAACATGTCTTTGGTAATTTTTTCCAACTAGCGGACTTTGATCAGGACCCGTCCGAGGCTAACTTTCTTCGTCGGCAGTGTAGTGCGGCTGCTCTGACGCATGCAATCACCATGGAAGAGGCATTCTGGAAGAAGAAGTCTGCTTGTAGATGGGTGGTTGATGGGGAACGAAACTCCAAGATGTTCCAAACCATGGTGAAAGAATAGTGCCTTCAGGCGACAATCTTCTCAATGCGGGATGGTGTCCGCAATCTTACGGAGCACTCGGACATCAAGCAGTCGGATGTTTCTTAATTTTCTATAATTTTTGGGCAATCTAACGATGCGGACACCTCCGATATGGATGAGTTGGCTGACCCGCCGCTACAGGTTCTGCCGGCTGAGTGTGCCGGGCTCTTGGCGCTGCCGATGATTGCAGAGGTCCGTGTGGTTGTTTTCTCATTTGCTCAGGATAGTGTTGTTGGCCCCGATGGGTTCTCTGTAGCGTTCTATAGCAGTGTTGGCATATCATTCATGAAGATGTGCTCGCTGCAGTCCTGGATTTTTTCTCGGGCACCCCTATCCCTAAATTCTATACAGCGACAACTATTGTGTTCATTTCCAAGAAGGACGGGCCGATTGTGTGGGCTGATTATCGCCCGATCAGTCTCTGCAATATGAGCAGTAAGATCTTCACGAAGTTGCTCACTATCCGTCTTGGGCCACTACTGCCGCA